CCACTTCACGCCGTTCCTTTTCTGTGAAGGCTTCGCCTCTCTTGTCTGCGGAGACTAAGAGCCAGCACAAGTCTGAAAGCAAGTCCAATTTGAATGCATCACAGCGGAGTGCCATCAAATGGTTTCTCATTGGAAGCATTCTGGGTTTGGGCGCAGTGACGTTCTCCGATCAAGCGCAGCATGCGTTCCAGGCGGCGAAACGCAGTGGGCGCGTTGTTGGCGCGCTGGCTGTCTGTATCAACGAGTAAGTGATATGTAGTGACTCTATAGACTTTTTATATATTGCGCCTTGGCCAAATCTCTAACATAACCTCGAATCTTCGCAGCTACCGTGTTACCCTGAAACAAGACGCATCCTCCCCCGAAGAACACGACGCACTGCTTCGCGCATGCCACAAGCGATGCGCCGAGCGTACACTCCATGTCCTTGAAAAGAATGGATCGATTTTCATCAAATTGGGCCAGCATCTCAGCAGCATGGGGTACCTGCTTCCCATCGAATGGACCTCGACATTCATCCCACTCCAGGACAGATGCCCCGTCTCGTCAATTGAGTCAATTGCCGAGCTATTCCGCAAGGACACAGGCCAGGATATGAATCAGTTGTTTGCATCTTTTGAGTCCACGCCCATTGGTGCTGCATCGCTGGCACAGGTGCACATCGCTACGTTGAAGGAAACCGGACAATTGGTCGCTGTTAAAGTCCAGCATCCCGCGCTGGACGAATGGGTGCCGTTAGACTTGGCTTTGACTCGATTTACTTTCTCCATGCTTAAGCGCTTCTTCCCTGAATATGACCTGGAATGGCTGTCTAAGGAAATGGATTTCTCACTCCCGCAAGAGCTGGACTTCCGCATGGAAGCCCAGAATGCTACTCATGCCAGCGAGTACTTCAAAAAGCACTCCGACGCCCCACTAGTCATTCCCGAAGGTTCGCAATGCGAGGCCCTTGGATGTATAACTTGAAGCTAACTAAACCCTAGTGATGTGGTCCCAAAAGCGTATTCTCGTCATGGAGTACATCGCAGGCCACCGCCCCGACGACCTGGAGTATCTGGACGCCAACAACATCGACCGCGACGAGGTCTCTGCCGCACTCGCACACGTTTTCAATGAGATGGTCTTCGGCGACAACGCCCCACTCCACTGCGATCCTCACGGCGGCAATATCGCCATCCGCCCGAACCACACCCGCTCACACCCCAACTTCGACATCGTCCTCTACGACCACGGACTCTACCGCAACATCGACCGCGACCTGCGCCGCAACTACGCCAAGCTGTGGCTAGCTGTTATCGACGCAGACGTGCCGCGGATGCGTGAGTTTGCGCAGAAGGTCGCCGGCATCACGGACGAGCAGTTCCCACTCTTTGCCAGCGCCATTACCGGTAGAGACTACAGCGTGCTCACAAAGAAAAGCGTCGTTTCTTTGCGGACGGCTGAAGAGAAAAAGGAGATCTCTGGTGCGTTGGGTGAAGGCATGCTGCAACAACTGGTTGTCTTGCTAGGCCAGGTTCCGCGGATTATTCTTCTCATCTTGAAGACCAATGACCTCAGTATGTATTTCACTTCGAATCCTCAATTCTTTTGGGTATCATCAACTAACTCCCTCCCAGCTCGCAGCCTAGACGAAAACCTTCACACACGCCAGGGCCCAATGCGCTCTTTCCTCATCCTCGCGCGGTATGCCACGCGCACCGTCTTTGAGGAGCAGTTGGATCTCATCAAGGAGTCTGGTGGTGTCTTCCGCAACTTTTTCCGTTTCTTGTGTGCCTACGCGAGCTACCTTCGCGTTGAGGTCAAATTGTCTGTTTATGAAACTATGCTATCCTTGAAGACTCGCTTCGGCCTCCGGGGCGGTTAGATGGTGTTCTTTTCCTGACGGCTGGCTTGCCCTTGGTTCTTTTGGTCTGTTTTCCCATTATATCCCTTGTTTTTTTTTTTCTTGCTTCATTGGCACGGATTGTCTTGAGTAGTCTGTCTGTGCATCAGCGACGGCGTTCTATATTTCTTTTCACATATAGCCTCTTCATCTCGACTGGATTGTCAAGAGTATGGGTTGTTCTATGTTTTCGGGCTTGGTTCTCAACGATCCAGTGTGGTCCTGTACAAATAGATAGATTGTGGATACATCTTAAATCATAGACTGGTTCTGATATTACTTTTTCTACTTTTACAAAATGGTAACTGTGTCTGGTTTCACTGTTTCATTGGAAACTATCAAGGCGCTGCTTTTCAGAAAATGGTGTTGAGAGTATCGATCAAGGATCCCAGATACCGAGGCGCCGTCGCAGAAAAAAAGGAAAAGAAAGGAAAAACGTATCAGAACGTGCGAAAAACAAGGGAATATGTACATCAAACAAATGGGCAATTTGTTCGTTTTCATCTCATCCATCGTCATCCCTCAGCGCGCATTTTCAGCAGCACCTAAGTACAACGAATCCCAAATCCACCCATTCTTGTCAACGATTTCCGACAAGAGCAAGTATCGATGATCAAATGATTGTGTATTAAGACAACCTCGGAAAAAAAAAAAACAAAAACGCAAATTTCGTCAAACGAAACGAGTGGGTTGCGTCACACGAATGGAGAATCCATCTGAAAGGCTCACACAGTCAAAGCAACGAGGAATAAATTAAGCAGTAGCAGCAGTCTCAGCCTTGACGTCAGGAATGACGCCGCCCGTCCCGGATAGATCTGTAGTACGGGTGTTGGGGTTCTTGGTGTAGTAGTTTGCAATCGCAGATTTGATAGCGTCCTCGGCAAGCATGGAGCAGTGCACTAAAGTGTATGTTAGCATAAGATCTAAACCAAATCAAACACAGAATGAAAGACATACGCTTGACAGGAGGGAGACACAACTCCTTCGCCACATCGGTGTTCTTAACCTTGCCAGCCTCATCGAGGGTCATACCGCGAACGAGCTCGGTAAGATAACTGGACGAAGCGATAGCACTACCACAGCCGAAAGTCTTGAAGACGACATCGTCGATACGGCCGGATTCCTTGTTCACGCGGATCTGCAACTTCATGACATCGCCACAGGCGGGCGCACCGACAAGACCAGTGCCGACGTCCTGGTCACCCTTCTGCATGGAGCCGACATTTCGGGGGTTGTTGTAGTGATCCAGGACCTTCTCGTGGTATCCTCTGCGCTGTTGAGCTGGGGCGGGAGCAGCACGGCGGATGGCGGGTTGAGTGGACTGCAGGCCGGCGAGGGGAGAAAGGGCGCTGCGAGTTGCGACAGACCCGACGCGGGGGGCAACGGTAACGAGGCGCTTGAACATTGTGAATTATTATAAGTCTTTGGGGGTATTGATTTTCAGAGCTGATATGTGTTGGGAGGCGAAAAAAAGATGGATCTGATAGGGAGTGGAAATGATGAATTCATAAATAATCTGATCGGAACTTAGATAAGCACGCTAGTCCTAATGGGGTAGTATCTTTGACCGGATCGCCGGTCGTCGGAGATGACAAAGATGACGTTCAGTTTTATTTTTGTGATATTTGAATGCGCCAAATGGGAGAAGTTGGGGTATTATATCTCTGTGCCAGTGAGAGTGCGTGCTGGTGATATCAGTTCTCAGGGGTGGCGACCGTTGCGCACCACTCAAGTTCTCCGCGGTGGACTCGCCCGGTGTCTTGTTTTCCGCTTCGAGAGCCAATTGTTTGGAAATGATATCAAATAGTGGAGAGAAGAACGATGGCAATCAATTATCAATTTGATGTGTTTTTCGACCATTCGAATACCTCATAGTACGCTTATCACATTATTCTACTGCATTCTCCCACCTTATTCCCGCGGAATTAGAGACGAAGAGTTCCTCTCGGCTTATTTCCTATCGGGATATCCATATCCGAATATTAAACAAAAGAACCAGGCTAACCGTATTCATCCTCTCGTTGCTTACTCCTCAACCAAGCTAGTATGATACAAGTACGGAGAATTACAGAATTACAGGCATCTAGCAACGCAACCTGACTGAGCAGTCGCTTTCATTCAATATATCAAACCACAGACCTCCAAGCCCCAGATCCAATGCAAAGGTAAAAACTAGATATGCAACCTACAAAGCCTGACGAACAGCGGACTTGAACTAAACCAGGAGACAGGTTAGCAATGAACAGAAAAAAAGACCAGACAGCCCTCTTCCTGTGTAACATACCGGGATAATCTGAGCCTTCTCCATATCCCACACACCAGAAGAGACATAGATATCCTTGTTAAGAAGTTCAAGCACCTCGGCTTCATTCTCTGCAACAACAAGCATCATGCTTCCCTTGAAGGAGGGGGTCTCGCCATCGGCGGGGTGGGCATTGAGCATGGCGCCTGGACAAGAAACAACCCATATCAGTATACATGCCTCAGAACTTTCGATGGCCCTAGACAAAAGATAACACAAAAGTAAAAGTGAGTCACATACCACCGGCAACAATAGCACCAGATGCAACGTTCGGCGTAACGCCCTCGAGGTGCTTACTGAAGACCGCATTAGCAAAATCCATCCACCACACACGTCCCTAGATTCCAAATGATGGGGAAAGACTCACGGGCGAACCTCAAGACGCTTCGCCTGCGCACCGGGCTTATCGGGCAGGATGCAGAGGAACTCTCTCTTAGCAGGGGCGGAAGACATATTGCGGGATTGGAAGGTTATTGATTTTCTGGTATGGGAGATTTTAATTGAAGCCGAGGGGGAAGGGAATAAATGTGTCGGGACACGGAGGAGCGGTCGCCGCGCGTGGGGGAAAGCGGGGACTTTGTTGAGGACGCGGGTTAGACGAAATGGCATAGTGAAAGGAAATGTATTGGATTGTCGAGTTTGGGGTTATACAAATATATGTATGCGCCTACAATCGGTATATACCGGATTTTCCTCTAGGGGCTTTCCTAATTGAGCCGCTTTGATGAGCTTAGACCCTCAAGATGGACCGATGAAATTGGTCACGTGCATATCTAGATTGGCCCGATGATAATTACACAGACATTCTCTCTGTTGCTAGTTCTTTCTCAGTGAGACCTGCAAAGCTGGAATCTCAACACTGACAGGCTGACCACTCTGATCCAGAGAAAAGATGAACTCGTCCAAACCACGACCTCCATACTGGAGTCTATCAAGGTCTAGCCAGGACACACAAGTCGGTGTGTCATTATCCGCCAGCTCAGTCACGTCCTGAAAGACAGCTCTGAAAGCCTGCCTAGAGCCAGAGCTAAAGTCTTGAACCAGTTGTGTAGGATACAATCGAATACTCAGATCCGCCGGTTTCGCAATACCCATGATCCCAGCGAGTGTTGCACGAAAGTCGGTGCCATTACTAACAAACTCCTGAATATACAACCCCGGCAAGCTGTCGAATTCAACAGCAATAGACGAATTGATGTCGGATGTCTTGTATGCGCCCCCGAAATTCTCGGCTGCCTGCTCGATAGCTGTTTTCATCAACGCTTCTAGCACGACATCACCGATGAGATCCGCGTGTGCATTGAGATCTGCGGGAGCCTTGTTGTCAGCCGAGAGAATGGCAAAGCCGACACCGAAGTCTGGGACTAGACCGAGGTATGAGCTGTAGAGGCTCTCGTCGTTGCCTTCGTTGCTAAGAACCGTGTAGATGTCGATCATGGATGTATCGGGGTATGAGCCGGCACTGTATATAACCCATGGGAATCCAATGGAGTTGACTGGATTGGAGGTGTGGGAGACTGGCTTGAACCAGCGAGTTGTTTGGGGTTTGCTTAGTAGGGTTGAGTTGAGGATTGCTTGACCGGCTCTTGCGAGATCTTTGACGCTGGAGAAAAGAGATTTTGATCTGGCATGGATGCACTGTTAGATTGGTGATTGAGATGTGTGGAGAGAATATGGACTTGCGCTTTGTCTGCTTCATGGTGTGCTAACCAACCACTGGCTTGTTTGCTCACAGGAATAATTCCCGCAGTGGTATTGGCTGGCGCAAAGATTGAAGTTTCAGTCATGCCCAGGATGTCAAAGATGTCGTGTTGAAGGGCTTTGCTGAATGGTTTCCCTGTGCGCTTTTCTACTATATAGCCTAGAAGCTGGAATGCCATGTTGGAATAGCTGGGGGTTCCCCCAGCTGGAGCCACGTGGGTTCTGTTGGCGAGGTGTCGAATGAAATCTATGAAGATATCAGTATACATAGATGATAGGTACAGAGTTCAATTCCATACCACTGTCATCACACTTGAAATCATCACCACAACAAGGCATGTGAATGGCCTGGCGTGGAGGTAGTCCCGCCTCAGCAGGACCTGTTTGCAAGGTCACATCCTTCGAGCAATCTATTCTCAATTAGTCCTGATCATCAGCGACATTCCTGTTCGGTGTTCTACTTACAGTCCCTTGCAATTCCAGACATATGACTCGCAAGTTGACCGACAGTGACATCGTCCCACCTGGTATGTCCAATCATATCTTGTTCTTTTGTAGCATCAACCAGCTCAGGGAGGTACTTGGTAACAGGGTCATCAAGGACCTGGTCTCCATCTCCCGTGAGAAGACTCCATACCGTGAAGACCTCAGTGAGACCACCAATGCGATAAATGCTGTGTTTGTCCGCAACGCGAGATCCCACTGAAGACTGGTTCAATGTAGGGGCTGTGTGGTGATATTGCCAGAAGAAGGGCTCGTCTTTGGCATTCCCGGCGTCGGACGAGAACAAGGCGATGCTAAAGGTTGTGTTTGGCGAGATATCCCCATGAGCGCCAGTATTTTTTGCAACTAGTGCGTCAAACTCCTGCGTGAGATTTTTCAGGGCGCCTGCAATGGTTTTGTCATTTGTATCGAGAGAGAATGGAGGAAATGCAGGGCCGAGAAGTGGACATGGGGTGAAAGACAGAGCCGAGGAGAAGGGTAAGAAAAATACTGAAGCCTGAAGGATTGAGATCATTTTAAAAGAAGCACAATGGATTTGGATTTGGGTTTGGATTATTGCTTCCTCCATATATCTCTTTTATGTCCAAGATCGGGTCGGTTATGCGAACTCTTGGCGGCTTGTATAGATCGGCTCGGCGATACGTAGAAACATTGAATCATCGCAGTTTACAAAGTCCAGCACTGCCACCTATTCGCTTTATTTCTCGTATTGGGGCATTTGTTCACGTCTTTTTCGGCATCTGTTTGATTTCTTCAATTTGGAAATCTTTTTGCCTTTTAGCTGGAGGGTATGATGCGAAGTGAGAGAATATTTATAAGGAAGTAGCCTCATAAAATGAAATATTGAATTCATTTATACCCAGCCACGCATAATCTGCTCAAAGGAAAATGCAGAGAGGAAATCATGGGGAAGTTGGAAGTCCTCCGTCGAAGATAAAAATGAATCCCCAAGAGGGACATCAAGATGCTCTGCAGCCTCCGCAACCCCCATAAACCCATCAAAGTGTGTCGGCTCCAAACATGACGTGCGTTGAAATTCTTCAAAGCTCCTCTCACTGTGGGCATTATCCTCTTGTCTACCATGTCCCCTGAGCCAATTCTCGATTTGAACTATACGGTTCTTGAAGTTGACGAAAACATCTCGAGCACCGTTCATATCTACATCAGAAGTGGACAACGCCCCAACCCTCGATCTTAATTTTGACAGCATATCCATGAGCGCAGCAGTTTGATCTGGCTTAGAGGCTGCCACGGTATATCGATAAACAACTAGCAAGGCAAATGCTATCTGTACCCATTGCGTATTGTTGAATCCGACTTCTTCGTTGGATGGGAGCTCAATGTACAGATTGAGGATTGAACTGGCTGAGATAAGTGCTGAGACTGACATTTCTTCTCCCCAGAAGCTAGATTTGAAGGGTGATTGGTGTTCTTTGTTGTTAATGTTGAGAGATAGTTGGTACAGGCAAAGCCCTGTCGCGTGGTATTGTATAGCGAGAAGAACTTCGTTTATAGCTGTAAGTTAGTCTCATATCTCTTTCAACGCCCACCTGGTACTCGGCTAAGACTTACAGTTTTCATTGAGGTCGAAGGGTAGATTACGGTAGAATGCCTCCAGTTCCGACTTTAGATTGGTGATATAGAGCTCGGACCCCGATCCAGGTGTTTCCAAGTCAAGTCCATGCTTTGCAGATAGATTATCGACTTTCTCTGCAATAAATTGGAGCTGTATCACATAACTGATGTATTTGTCATGAGGATACTCGTTCGCTTCGCTGATAGCCTTGCAACACTCTTCCTGGTACGGATGACGCAGAATCGTAGATTTCTTTTGCAATAGCATCGCAATCCTAAGGCGAAGTAATTGTTATTTAATATCCAATAAGCCCGGATAGGACAGAAACTCACGTTGACGATAAATAGTAACAGCCCAGGACAGCCCTCTGCTCGTGGCTTCCCCAAGAAGGCCGATTAAGCGTCTGATTTTGCAGATTATACTGAAGCCCAAAGCGCAACTCTGTCTTCCACGTCTTTGTCTGTGGCGGACGGTCCAACCGCAGATCTACCATGAGGCTTATAGCCAATTGGATGAATTGAGTATAACGGTGTGGCCGTGAGTGATAATGCAACCTGCCATATGTTATCAAATATGACCACGATATCAAAGTATTCATAGGTCGGCATTTACCATGCGAGGAACACCAACAGTCCTTGCAGCAACTCAAAGGAGATTTCCCCGCCGATGACCATACGTGATGCGACGACTTTCTTGACTTCGTCCCCTAGAGCCCGTTGCAGTGGCATATTCTCGTACGAAGCTGATGCAAGGATTGCTAAGCATAGGAACGGCTTCTCCCGGCGGAGCTGTTCGACAGATACATCAGGGGGCACAACCACAAATGGGAAGTGTGGGGTCAGTTTGGCCTTGAATGTGCTTAGATACCTTTCGGCGGTCTCGATGTCAAGTAAATCTCGGCTGATGATGTCTTCAAGTGCAGCATCGCCATCAGCTAATGATGCGCTGCGCGTGCTCGTGTTGTTGTCATTGTCTTCTAGGCCAACACGCCCAGCTTTAAGCTCATTGATCTTTGACTCAAGAGCTGCGATCTTCCTGAGTCATGAGTTAGATGTGAATAAATCATATTACCATCACAAAAAGTCTGCCCACCGGTCCTTGTGGAAGCCTTTAAACCGACGACCAGTCTGGCGCCAAAGACATTCCTTTCCCAAACGGCAACATCTGCATCGTTTAGATAAGCTTCGGTTTTCTTCCACAGAGAGGCTGTTTAATCCGAATTCCTACCGTTTACACGCGGCGACATCGGTATCCCGGACACATCGCACCTTGGAATCCGCGCAACTCTGACACGTTTTAGATACGGGGGGCATCGTGTTGTTAGCTTCATCTGAGGAAGTGAAACTGGGGCCAATTAAAGCGGTGATCCTACAGATCACATGCTGAGGTAAAAAAAAGCTTGGACCTAACGATGTACTTGCGTGTTGAGAAAAGACAGCAAAAATATCAGGCGGATCGGAGGCCTTGATTTAAACAAAGTGGTTCAGCGGTGAGGATATCCTCTCATCTTTGGGATCTCAATCTTGCTAGAGTAAGGCAACAAGATCGTTGAGGCGATTACGTTGCCTTATGTTTTGGCCCCATTTCCTGCACGGTATGCAGCTGATGCTTGAAATGATCTCCATGTTCATTCGGGGCCTTAAAGCTAACAGAATAAAAAATGGTTATACATGAGACCCCTAAGAAAGTATACGGTGTCATCCCTTCCAATCCTTATAAAAATTTTAAATGGGTATGTTCTTTAGGATCAACCAGATCATCGAGCCACCCAACTTTGAGGCCCCTAATATCAGGCTTTTGGCATCAACCTCAATATATATACCCCAAATCGTCGAAGAACGGCAAGATTATGACGGCACATATTTTCTCACCAAACGGATTTGAGGTCAATCATTAAATGGAATATGGCCAACGATGCCGTTTGCCTATAAAGAACGCGTCGCAAAACAGACCGCTGAATATTTGATGCAGCTCTAAAGGAATATGGCTCGAGTTTGCCAAAGTAACATGAGCTTCAACTAGCCTTACAGCCGAGGTCTATGCTAGGGAATCGTTCATTAAACTACTTCCTAGTGTTACTAGAGCATACGGCTTCTGCTTTTTGCAGGAATGATATCGTGCAATTGATTATATACATGAAACTCGGCGCGGCGCGGATATCTGCCTTGCTTCATCTGCAAGAAAACCAGACTCATCACGCAGCATCTGGATTTCAACTGAGTTGGCCTGATATCATGCCTCTCATCTCAAAAAAAAAAAAAAAAAGTCAAGGACGCCAGCTCAGCATATGACAAAACAAAAAAAAAGACGAATATGAAAGAACAATTTGGAGGTGACCTGCATAGCAGAATCAGAATCAAATTTGGAAACAAGAAAACACGACAGCAGACGGTCCGGTTCTCGGTCCCTGATGTAGGTTTTCACAACAGACGATCGAGATTGAATCACTCGAGTGTACATGGACACACATCCCCATAACTCGGGATGTGTGTCCCAGACACAAACTCGGTATAGGCCTGGAGAACCGGCGAACTCTATAAACCTGCGACTCGCCAAACAACATTTTCCCCCGTAGCGCCAAGGTAACAAATACACACACTCCCTATAACGCGGCACGAAGATACTGTATTAGGGAAGTCATTAGGCTTTCCGTCACGAAACATCCATCCAAAAGAGAAAGAAAAAAAAAATGGAAAGGAAGATAGGTTAGGGAAGAAGTAAAATCCGCCGTGGTTAAGAGGTTCCGATGGTGATGAACGGGGAGGCAACACACGAGCGGCAATGAAGAATGGTGGATGTTCGACGACGGGGTGGGATCAAAGATCAACTTGATCCCAAGCGAGATTTCGGGCGGACGGAATGCAGGCGGAAACTAGAACGCTTTACGGTCTCCAAGGTTACCGGGCTTCTCGTCGGTATCGATGTGCCAGACCACGTAGTTGGGCAGTCCGACCACCTGGTAGCCAGCTCGCTTGGCCATGCGGGCGAAACCTTCAGTCTCGGCTTGGTTCTCGAAGGCGTATGCGGGGAAGTTGATACCGGAGCGGTGCACATCGGCCTTGACTAGGATGTTGACACCACCAATTCCGTCAAGCTCCACCTCGTCATCCTTGTTGTTTCGCCAGTCGCCCATGCTGACCAGGTAAGTGCGGCCGGTGTCGTACTCTTTGTAGCCTTCGGCCAGAACGGTGTCGGTAGGTAGAGACGCGCGCAGACGGCGGCCCTTGTCGGATTCGATCCACGAGTTGTAGTCAACTAAGAATGAAGATGTCAGCAATCAGCATCGCATACAGAACGTCATGGGTATACATACAGCGACCCTCGATATCGTGGCCATCCTGGTTGTAACGGTGGAACCAAATGTCTAAAAAAATATCAGAGTCAGCCAGCTGTTCGACCTCCGGTCCGAATTCCAGTCAAAATAACATACTTGGTACGAGAATGTCCTTATCGTGGGCCATAAAGTCCTCCAGGATACGCTCGGGGCAGTCGGTGATGTCCACGTCCCGCCAGTACACCCAGGAGTGATCGGCCTTCAGAGCCGAGTATAGAAGGTAATTACGAGCACGGGCAATAGCCTTGCGTCGTGGACCCTGTGCGGCGAACGAGTGTCGCTCCTCCACAGTCATCTCAACGTCGGCACCGAAATCCTTCTGAATAACGGTTGCACTGCGGAAACGAACTTTCTCCTCGGCATGGTTCTGGATGCGGTCGAGTTCGGAGGCGAGGTTTGCAAGAGTGTCGTCCTTGCAGTCACCGACGAGGAAGGCCAGATCGATCAAATCGTGTGGATAAGACAGTTTGTAAAGGAGGTCGAAGTATTTGGCCAGGTAGGGAGCGGCGTCACGAAGAGGTGTGAGGATGAGTACGCGTTCGTGGTTGAGAGCAGCCTTGGAGGTAGACTTGATCGGGTTCAGGTTGAGATCGACGATGGAGGTGGAGTTGACTTCGTAAGGTTCGTGGCGGTTGAAGAGGACGGGGGTCTGGGCGTGTGCACTCCATTCGACCATCTCGTTGATGGACATCTCCATGGGCGACTTGCTAGAACCATAGCAATAGAAGCTGTTGACAAGTCAGTATGGTTTCCCGATGGATTGCGTATTTCGGCTCACCTTTGCATTTCTGATGCAGACCTGCTTACACCACGCCACATGAGGATGAGTAGGCCCGTTAAGGCTATAGACACCAAGAAGCGAGTCCGTGTTAATAAAACGATGATTGCCCTCCATGGCGGCAATCTGGCCTTGGCCGATTTCCAATTAACACCACCCTTTGGCAACAACATGATGAAAGAAGATGTGTAGAATTTCAGGGGCGCTCCCGTCTCTAACACTCGTAAACCCCCCGAACGAATGTGGCGAATAAAAGAGGATCGAGAGGGATGAAGTGAAGGGTTGATAGGGAGAAAATAGGATTGGGAACGGGGGAAATGCGATTGCCTGCCAAGCACGGCTAATATCAATCAAGACAACTACATTTCTGCAATGATGAGCATAACTTCTTAGTACATTGTTATTAAACAGTTGTTAGGTCTATTCTACTGTTTTACCATACTAGATCAAATAAACATATCAGGTTATTCACTTCCACTGTCTCCCTAACACACCAAGTTGCCGAGACTTTTTTTTTCTTTATTTTTATTTATAGCCATGATCGTCTAGAACCCTGTGAGCCTAGGGGCTAATTAGATTGACATGAACATTATATCGTCTCTGTCGCCACGTAGATACATGTAGTATTAAATGTGTTGTACATCTTACTCCGTATTCTGGGCTCCCCTTAGGTACTTACTTGCAAGGGATTGCGCGTACACCTGACAGTACTTTGACCTTATGTCTTAAATTTCAGCCTTTCTTTTCGAATATGCCAAGTTGTAATTTTACGTATTTGTCCCTATTTTTTCTCGCTTTTTCCCTAGATTTCCACAACTCAATCGAAAAGTACGGAGTAAAAAGAAAGTAATCGAAAATGACAGTGAAATCTCCAACACGAGGTTAAAGTGAGACACGGCCTGGACCCAACCATAGCTTATAATACAACGTACGGAGTATATGCACCTATTTTTTCTACATTTGAAACGACAACCAGTATAATTTTGAACAGCTACTCATTTATAAAAGGAATAAGAAAAAAAAAAGCAACCTCCCACAATCCAAATCCTCTAGGAGAACACTTGTCCATTTCGTAAAGTGTGGACTGGTCTCCACCAGCTGACACTTCAGACAGCCTTTAATCGACAGCTGATTCGTCCCCGACAAGAAATCCACGTCAATTAGAACATTGTTTGCATTCTTATGTCGTGAGCCCAGAGTTTCCAAGAATGCTTAGAAAATGAGAGCATGTTTGAATTATGTGAAAAGGGGGACCTAAATTTGTAAAATCCTATTTTCAAGTCTCTAACATAGTGGGAATGTAGCGTACTCACACTTTCTACGGTACGGAGTAAATAGAGCTTTTTAACAAAGATAATACACTGTATACCGCTCCTCATATTCAGTTCAGCGTCTTGAGCAAGCCAAACAACATTATGTAGATCGCAAGATCTATGGAGCGAGGGGTTATAGCATGTCTATAGTTGCTAGAGTATAAACATGGAATTCATCACTTACCAAATGACTGCAGTGCGATTGAATAACTACATCGTAGACCACTTCTCAAAGCAAACACGCGCTAGCGCTAGGAGATCTAAGCGATATAGCGAGTATAGGAGATAAAAATAACATAGACATCATCAACAAATCATGGTTATATGGGAAGTAAAAGTCCACGGGTGCTGCAACCACACCATGGCTGATGGTTTTATCCAGCAATATCCAGCGCATGTTACCATCTAACCGAAACAACTTTGAGTTACAGGAAAGCGTGGTTTTCATCCAAGTTGATCCATTGAGTCATAGCTATAGACATAGAAAAAGAGAAGAAAGTGACAAAGGAAATAAAAGAAATAAGCAAAAGGGCAAAAATATATCCACCTGAACACATATATCCATAGTGTAAACAACGCCAAAGGACAAGAGACAAGAAAAGGAAATAGGAAAACATTTTGTCCAAGAAAAGAAAAGACGAAAGGAAAAAAAAACACCGAAGCACCAAAATCAATCAACAAAGGAAAGGATTCGATCAAATTGGAGATTTGTTGTTCATCCCCAAAATCGCAGAAAATATTATTACACAATGCAGGCGCTAAATGCACATGGAGCGGGAAGACGACGGAAGGACTATGCCAAACTGATCCGAGAGTAAGGGAGAGCAACCACTGCTGCAAGGGATTCATGTGGGAAAGAGGATGCAGCACGGACAGAAAGGTGGAAAAGGAGTCATGATATCATCAGGGAAGAGTGTTCAATATTGGGGCGTGCATCATCAATCTCCACTGCGGATTTATGGAGACGCAATATGAGAGGGGCGGCGAGACGGCGCCGGGAATGAGAAAGAAGAAGACTGAGAAGGAGGGAAGGCAGGAGAAGAAGGACCAGTCATAGGCGGGGTGGGGGGTGAGATAGGAGCTGTTGAAGGACTGCGAGGTGGAGCTGGGCATAGAGTCGTGGAAGGAAGAAGTGTAGGAAGACTCGGAGGGCATGCTTGCAGCGATCTCATCGCAGAGCACCCGCATGCCAGGTAGGCCGTTCTTCTTCTGGCGCTTATGTTCAGGGAACGCGAGGAGGGGTCCGGGGCTAGTGCTCTCGGACTTGGGGGAACGGAACATCTGCTCATAGGACTTGAGCTGGAACTCGAGGGCACGGTTGCGATCAGCCAGCATCTCGTTCTCCGCTTTGGTGGCTTTGAGCTGTTGCTGGGCAGTTTGGTTCTGCTGCTGCAGGGAGCTGACTAGCTGCTGCAGCTGCATGCAGCGGACCTGGGGCTGCAGCTTCTCTGAGAGCTGCGGTGTGACCTGTTCCTGGCGGATAAGGTGGACGATAATGGCAAGCATGAAGTCGACTAGGTAGATGGCTCCTTGCACGATGTGCTCCTTGGATTGAGTAAGGCTCTTGGAAGGATTCCAGCCTGCTCGCTCGAGGAAGAAATCGTGAATGCGGCTGTCTAACTGGCGGTGCAGCTCGCTGAGATTGCTGCGTCGATTGCCCTCTGCGATGCGGTGCTTTTCGCGCTGGTCATCTTCAATAGATTGAGCGCTGCCCTTGCGCTTACGGCCACAGAGCTGCTGTAGAGGAGCCTTGCGGTTGAGGTTCTGTGGAGCCACCAAAGCCATAATCTCGTTTGGCGAGAGATCATTGGGCCAGTCGACCGAGTTGGACTTTTGCATGACAAAAGACTCTTGCCAAGAGCTTTCGGCAGAGCTGGCCGGCGAGGGAGGTGTGATGACATGCTCGGCAGCCGCCCAAGTCGACTTGAATTGGAAAGTGTCCTGAGACCCTGGGGTGGTAGGGATGAGAGCTTCCTTCACATTGAACGGGCTGAAAGGACCGCGGGGCGGTAGGGGCAAAATCTGAGGAAGAGGAGGCAGTCGACGCTCCTCGCCCACATCAGAGGCAGCCATATTGGTACTAGGGTTGAAAGAACTTCGAATGTTAGGATATGTAGGATGATATCAGGACAGCGATGTAACTCACGGCAGAGAGCAGCGGCGAGGGATGTCGTTAGTCATAGAACTGCTTTCTTCATACATCGTAGTTGGTCGTTGAGCAATGGGGGATATGTGCAGTGGCGAACGTGTCGAATTGGTTCGAAGTATGTCGAGGCGATATGTACTGCAAAATCGCGGCTGACTCGTGTTCTTGTGTAGATTCAGGCGGAGTCGGAGATTGAATGGCGAGGAGAGTGTAGATAAATCAAAGTTGTATATGCACAGTAGGAATGGACAAAAGGGGGCAGGGCTATAGACAGAGCAGAGAAGATGAGGCAAAATTAAAATCTACACGGGGCGAGTGTATACAATTGGTGAGATAGTTCATGGAGAAGGGATATCTTGCGGGCTGGGGTGCATGTTTATATGTAGATTGGGGAGAGTACTTTGTTCGTCAGTCCCAGATCTCAGGGCTTTACGAACCCGGGCGAGGGGAACCATTCACACCCAGAGCCGATCCTGGACCGGCATGAAGCGCGGAATTCGGATGTCATACAGCCAGAGGTGTATCTCTTGCCCCACATCTTCATAACGACGGGGAAGCAAGACGGGCATCCCGGGTGGGTGCTCTGGACCACTTGCTAGTGCCCGCTTGGGCCGAGGAAGAAGCGCCAGAGAAGAGAAATAATTATATTCGGTATCACAGATATATCTGTCACATCCTGCACGGACCGAACCTCACATATGTACCAACCTGTTGGATCAACGAATGAGAGGAACACGATCAAGCCCGAGAGGAAGGTTCATGATGATCGAGGACCCCTAATTTGTCACCCAGCTGGTGGGGATCGCGATCGACACGGGGAAGATTTTAGTTTTTAGAGCATTATGGCCCTTGCATCAATAGTTGTCCCAATTAATGACGTTGGAGGTTCTTTGTCAATATCCCCGGATAACTTATACGGAGTGTGTGGAGGGGAACCGTTCGCCAGAATGAAGCGGGAAAAGAAAAAAGAAAAAACATACACTGAAACGTACCTAAGATTTGCTTGCATATTTTAAGTATCTACGTACATCCGCGGCTATGTACTCAGCATCAAGATTCCCACTGAGATCTCGATGGTGACATGCTGTAACACAATCTCAGCATGCACCTCGACATCTTGCATAGATAGTCAGGAGAAACTTCTACGACTGTGCTATATTATCAAGGGGCTACTCATACAACCAAGCTAATACGCCCCGAGGCGCTTCTGGCAAATTTCAACTGCACCTAAGGTAAATAGAATCAAGCAAGGACCGCGGGAGTGTCATCCTGATACATGCGAGGAGGTATAATAAGAATAAGGATAATAGTTTCATACAATGGAGTCGGGAATAATTGATCTACGAGCAGGAGGCTATAAGCGCCATTGACGGCCTCAGCGTTAGGATGGTGGGTATGTGGGTATGATCAAATGGGGGTGGTAAGCGAACCAGAATACAGCAGGCGAAACGAGATCGAGGAAACCAACGAGTTGGGACGGCCGAGACCCAAAGACCAGGGTACGTTTCCTGTCAGGCAGCGAATCATTAAGGTGGGTATTATTTGGAATCCTTTGACACACAGACGTTAGAGAATTGACAAGTCAGATGGAGGGAAATATCGATGTCAACTTTATTGAATTCATTTCGAGCCAAGCCCTAAAAACCCTAAACATGGACACGTTCCCCTAGTGGAGATTCGAAGCCTTATGTTCATATTCATTTCAATCTCAAATAATGTACCCCGTATATGATCTATTTCTCATCCCTCGCTCATTCCCGCGTGTTGAATGGTGGGAATAGAGCTGTCATATTCTCCTTTCCTGTCTCAGCCAACCGTCAATCAGCTTGCTTCGTGGCGACTCCATCGAAAGCACTAGTCCCCACGTTCTGGCCGTTCGTGTTCACGATCCCTGTTATTATTCCATTATTTATCATTCTGGTAATAATGACAAAAAAAAAAACCCCCACATAAATTATGGACATACAGTTCTATGCATTCTACGCAAATTCCACACCCGAAAAGATAACCTCACCTAAATTATCCCCTCTTTCGTGCTTTGCGGGCTTCCATCTGAAACTCATTTCCAATATCCCTATTTTCTCTAGGCATATGCACTCGATCGGTGGCTTACACTAAGTTTCGCACGCCTATGATCCATCTGCAAACGGCACGTACAGTAACTCGAGGGGGGGGAAACTCACATGAACCATTCGAGTTCGAACTCTACTTCAAACATTATTGTTCCGAGAGTTCACTGGACCCCATCTAGACCTTAGGGATCTTCACGTCCTTGTCGTTGCCTCCCTACTTACCACTTTAAGTGACGTGCATCTTCTCCTCTCCGGATCTTCTGAATAGCAAGCCGAAATCTTAAAGGTTTTAGAGACCAAATATAAAGTTTTAATCCCCTTCCCCGGGACCGATGAGGTTTGGTTCCCTCTACATGGAAGTGTTAGCATGGTCCTTTTTCGACATCTACGTCTCAATTTTAGTATCCCTGGGTTCGTAGGATATAAGTGGTCCGGTGACCATACCTCTTTCGATATTACACAGCATTCACTCCTCGGACGGATCCCCGTCCCGTGCGGCTCATGTGTATCAATAAATCCACCGTATATAACATACAAATTCACTTTTCTCAGATCCTCTTCGCTCCCACGATGTCATCGTAAAGCTTACATCATCCTCAGCCCCAATGAGCATATTGGCTACCCTGCCAAATCATTCCCAATAGTCATCTCTCCCGTGCCGCCTCTTGACCTGTCAGGTTTCAACTATCAGTGACAAGGCGGGGACATTATACTTTGAGAATTCTTATTCGAACAGTATAGATTAATCTACCTAAATGTAAATCACTTGACTATTTTATGATTTGAGATGTTCAAAGTCATCTGAAATACTAAATCTTCGCCAAGCGCTTAAAAGCGCCAATTCATGCACGATGCCAGATTTTCTTCCCTGTTTATATTGTGTAGCATGGCAACCAGGATCAAGGGACTTGCTATACCACGGGTTCCTATTCCATGGTGCATATCTACTACGATGCGTGATTCGATCGGTTTCCTCAAGTGCAAATTGACCTCTCTCACCAGAACTGGGAGAAGGGTAATTTTTTCTTTAGATCTTCGATTATTATTGCCATATTTCCTAGGTCCACTTTTAATCGCCCCTCTCAAATTCCGTACATATAGTGCACTACTGTGCGTGTTGTCTCCCCACTGGAGCGCCTATAATTTCCTACTCGTTCTTGAGTGGCAAGCATAGAAATTCAAGCTCGTGTCAGACTGATCTCACGACGGAAGGGGCTGTGTCCTGTTAGTCTATTCGATACTCCGTAGAGGAAGGTTAATTTCAAGAATTACTTGGCACTATACAGGGCACTCTCTCCGCCTACGAGCGTTGATGGACAATAATTATTGTCCCCATACATATTTAATATCAAAGACGGCATAACAGCAAGGGCAGACGATCATCATTGTTAGTCAAAAAGCCATGTGGGCCACAAGGAATAACCGTCCACTTCGTACGTACTAATATAATTGTGTGTTTTACTCCTGATTACCCGAATGGGCGGCAGGCGTTTACCGTTCAAAAGTACTTGAGGGGAAAAAAAAAATTCCCAAACCAAAAGTCCAGAAGTCCAAAGTCTTACAAAATCCCGCAACCCCAGGAACGAGCACGCAACAGCTTTCTAACTGGAATATATTCCCCGACTGTGCAGTTGCCACCGGCTCCTGCAAGGATAGCTATTTAATACACAGATCTAGCAGGCGCCCGCGGTGCAGTGTGCGTACTTTGTACATCTTTTCTAGGGACTATTCCTAGAACTCAAATTCGCCGCATCTGAGAGGTCACACTCGAGGGGTTTCCGAGATGCATGGTGCCTACACGCACACACATACTCCGTACTCCGTACAGTAGGTATACATATGCTCCCCCGTGGAGTTCGCGATCGACACAACAAAGGTACTGTGTGGAGCGCTGTACAATGTATCTTTCGCTCTCGGTCTACGGAACAGGGATCGCCTAGATCTGGTTCCTACATGATGCATTATGGCATCGATTGGCAATACGGTGCGCTCAGGCATTTCCCACTACCTGGATAGCTGGTTGCCTCCAATGCAAGGCGGATGTATAATCTTGTGGTCCAGACCTAAATATGTACATCTTTCTTCAGGTACCCTTGTTTTCTTTTTTTCTAGTTGCGGCCTGCATGCATCATATTCGTGCAAGGCTTGGCTATGAGGCGACAAAGATACAGAAGCGGAGTTCCGTATGGGATATATCCTTGCCACCTTGATATTACGCTGCATGTTATGGTCTCTACGGAGTACTCCGTAATCTCCATTGCCAGCTCATGGCTTGCACTGCTCTCCACTTTTTTTTTCTTATGCGTTGAGCCCAGGGTGGTCCGTACAATATAGGCAAGAGGGCCACATCACCTACATATCATGGGGTTTCCTCATATTATGATCCAGTTTCTTCTTTTTCGAAGAAAAAAGAGGATCAATGTCCACTATCAGGGCCCCACGAAAAGTTTATATTAGCAGTTTCCCGTTTACATCGAACTCAATGCAGATGTAGATCAATGGAACTTAAAAAAAAGTCACCCAAAGTACGTACCGTACAATATACTTGTAAAGTACAAGGTTATAGACGTCAAGAGGTCCGACCAGTCAGGCCACGATGGCTATTCGGCTCGCATTTATGACAGGATCTTAGCAAAGTATATTTTGCCTTTGTAGATCCAGGACTTTGACACTGAGGGATCAAAATGCCACGTCTTAGAGGTTTCAAATTAGGGATTCGAAACTCAGATGAACAAAAAGAAAAACAGAATAGATTTCTTTTTGAAAAAGCCCCATGGATTATGGCTACTTTCCATCCCAGCCATCTACATTTCTTTTCTAATTTTTACACTATATATATATATATATATATATATATCATGATGGCTCTATATTGTGTCTTGTGGGTTCAACCCATGCAGGCACGGTCCGGAGCCCATGTATGTCGACACATGCGGCAATCTTGAGATGCAAGCATACGTTTAACACCCTTCCACAGTCGTCATCCACTCCACTAGTCTATACGATATATATACGCGATTGTCTGTTCGCCGATTTCAACGATCAAGTGTTCGTTGCTCAAGATAAGATTCTGGCGACCGTGAACTAATGCACAACGTTCTTCAGAGCGTAACGATCGCCGATTCCCCTCTTCCCAGCCACCGGGATCACGCTCTGCAGATTTAGTTGCAATTAATTTAGTGCTGGGACCATTGTCTTGTATACTACTCCGTATTCCGTAAAGCGGCATGTCAATATATATACTTTATAATAATTCAATATCTACATACGGAGTGAATAGCCTTTATATAATAATAGCCACCATGATTGGCCAATTCAGTCTATCAAAAACCTCAACGTCCCGGCCTTCCTTCAACCCCATATCATGTGCGGATAAAGGAACCAACCAGCCCCTTCGATTTTTTGAGTTCTTATCCGGTTCACAAACTAGCTGCGATCCGGATCTTTTTTCCCTCACCCTTCCGGCAGGGATCTTCGGATCGGATTGAGGGATGTGGCCCGCTGCTGGGGATTTGACTTATCGACTTTTCCCCAACGAGCTGGGTTGGCATTGGCGGCTCCATTTTTCACTATTTCGAGACTTCATTGCGAGTTAGAGAATGATATTGACATGCACAGGATATTAACGTATGGACCTACCTACTTGGGAGTTGATACTTACTTGGCCTACGTGGAATACTATTTCCATTTTCACACTATCTAATATAATTGAAGCTCTCTAATTCTCTCCCGAACTAATCCACTGTCGGGAAACGTTGTCGGGGACTACCCCACGCCTTGCCACCTCACAAACCCCGACAAAGAGGACCATAGAGCATGAGAGTTCCGGTGATGACTTGAGTTCAAAAAGATCTTCTGGCCTGTCTATTCCCCCGATCCATGTTCCCTGTTTCATAATCTATGATCCTTCCCGTACTAAGGAAGCTAGTAATTAGCCTGGCCGAGAAAGAACAACGCACACACTCCATTTACATGGATGTGTTCTACCGATATCTACCGTCTAGTGCTTAGTTTGTACCCATCGGCATCCATTTCGTTTTCTGTGATCCTGGTGCGATATGACCTCAGATTAAGTGGTTATAGTACGGAATAGATATGTAGCTAGACAAGCTAGTTAATATGTCGTACGTGACCGGGAATTTTATTGTGGGTTATGGATGTGGATGCTTGCGGTGTTTGACTTTTCAGTGCGGGATTTGGACATACATGGAAGAGGCTAGATTCATGAGTCTTTGCGGGAATTTGGCTTTCGGGATCTGCTAGAGGTTAATATATCACCAAGTAGGTTGGAGATTAGAGCTAACGCTTGAAGGTTGAATATGGTTTGGTTGTGGGTGTTCGTGATGTGTGGATATATCTCGCGTTGGGAAGAGAGTTTGGAAAGGGTTCAACGTTACGGGCTTTGGTGGATTATGGGAAATCGGGCAACAGATCCACAGATGCGCCTAGACTACAACATATATGGACGAGTGGCAGCTTGATCTGCGAAAACGTAGTGTCCAAGTGTGCATGCCGAGGTCCAACGGACCAAGGGGATGTCGCTGGCTGCTCAAGACTACTGCGATGAATATGTATCAAACTACGTCTCTTGTGAACAAATGTCGGGGGTAAAAAGAGATACAATTACAATCATTAGGTCGCACGCAACAAGAATAAAAGGCAATATTACGGTATCAAAAGGCTCAAGGAATGTTTACACAAGAAGTACAACAAGAACCGAGATCCAACCCACAGACCCGAAGCAGCTTCCCCTCTCGGTATGCCAACAGGGAACAAGCAGGTTACAAAGTGTAACCGAATACATTAGGACGCGATGGGCGAACCTTGGAACATAGCAAGACAATCAACACAAAGGATAAGAAAAAAACTCCTTCCTGGTGAACGACGGGAACGCGTCTTCCGGGTCAGAATCCATATTGCGAATTTTCTCCACGAAAGACCGAATTATTATCGTAACAACTGCAATGAGGAACGAATATTGAGATCGTTGCTTGGTAGACTTTTATACAAAATCCCCAAGGTCATTTGAATCCTCCACTAATCCATCGCTTACAGAAGCTGGGCAAGGGCACCGAAGATGGCAGCGAGGCCGACGACGGGGACGTTGGCACCGTTCATGAAGGCAGCACCGGAGCTGGTGCTGGAAGAGCTGGAGCTAGAGCTGGAGGAGTCGGTCTTTCCGTTGGTAGTGGGGTTGGCGTTGGTGGCATCACACTTGAAGCTACCCTTGATGACGTTGTCGCTCTTCAGCTTGCGGAGATCGTCGCAGCTGAAGTTTCCGCGGGTGCTCTGCATGTTGAAGCTACCCTCGACATCCTTAAGAGCACCAAGAGAAAGCCTATTTGCTATTAGTATATATGCGCAGAGAAAGCTATGTGAGCAAGGTCACTTACTTGTTGAAGGTACCGCTGAAGTCAATGGCACCGTTGACACGCTGCAGCATGGGCAGACTGATGGTGGAGAGCTTGTTGTCACGGGCAATAGTGAATCCACCGGCAACGGTCTTCAAAACGGGCATGCTGATGTTGGACAGCTTGGTGTTGTCCTTGAAGATCAGGTCACCGGTCTGAGTCAGGTTGGGGGCGGAGAAGGTCTGGAACTTGGTACCCCAGAAGCCGAGCTGACCGGTGAGCTTCTCGAGGGAAGGCAGGGAGACGGAGGAGATGTTCTGGAAGGTCATGTTGGTACCGGTGCCCAGGTTGGGGAGATCGACCTCGAGGGTATCGAAGTTACCCGAGAAGCTGATCAGATCGGTGGCGTTTTGAAGGTTGTTGATGTTGATGGTCTTCAAATCACGGTTGTTCTGGATGCTGAAGGTACCGACAGTCTTGAGGGAGATGCCGTTCAGGTCAGTCAGACCAGTGTTGGCAATGCTGACATCGCCAGCCTCGCTGACACCCTTGGGGAAAGACAGCGACTGGAGCTTGGGGAGAGCCTCCCAGTTGATCGAACCAACAGACTCGAGCTCAGCGAAGTCGAGCAGGGTCAGGGTGGTAAGTCCCTCCAGGTCGAAGGCCTTGCCGATCGAGGTAAGAGAGCTAGCGGTGATAGAGCTGACATTCTGACCACCGGAGCAGATCAGACCACCGGAGATCTTCTTGATGCCGGAGAGCTGGAGGTCGCCGCTGAAGGACTTGTCAATGGTGATATCACCCTTAATGGTGGAGCAGGTGTTGACGCCATCAGCATCACTCTGGGTCTTGATCTTGGTATCGCCACAGTTGTCGGCTATATCACTGTTAGTCGGTGTATGATAAATGCGAGAAACTCAATACTCACAGGCAGCGAAAACGGCCTGGGTGGCGGCCAGCACGGGGAGGATGTACTTGAGAGACATGATTCTGAAATTGTTAGCGATGGAATTTTGGGAGTTTTTCGATCAGGGGTGTGGGGATATGGTACCGATTAGAGATAGAATTCAATAGCAGAGAAAATCCGCAATGAGTGATTAGAGAAGAAGCGCTTCAAACGAGAGGGAAGCGGAAATACTGCCAAGTGGACAAGGCAGGAACTCTCAAATGGTAAGAACGAATGGACGAAGGTTGGAGGAGGAAGAAGAAGAAGGAGCCTTTGGGCGAGGAAAGGGGAGGTGGAGATTGTTTGTCTAATCTTACCAGGTGCCACTTTTTTTTAAAATGCCATACCAAGGGGGAAAACAAAACACACACAGTACCGCATCCGGCGTGTCAGGGCCGTCCTAGGACAGTGCCAGGTATTTTTATCGCTGGTTTCAACATCTGCACTTACCAAAATTACCAATAAATTGAAAAAAACAAAAAATTACACAAATATGAAAACTTTAATAATTTCCACACCAATTCCTGCTTTTGAACGCGCTAGCTCAGTCTCGTACCACCTTTATCCTCGCCCCCCTTTCTCCATTTGTCTATGTTGTATAGAATCTGATTTGGGAATTCTGTTAGGATTCATTTGATATTACTCCATATTGGATTAAATATTTCATTATAGAGTAGGTGTTTTTGTCAGTTTCAAATTGGGCCATGCACTCGGCAAGGTACCGTGTATACATAACTTGAGGGGCCTCGGCATGGAGTGAATATGCGACACGGAATAGATTTTGTACAACCATACAATCATTTAGTCTAGTAGCTTCGCTTTGTATCAAAAATAAAAGGTAGTCATCTATCCGCGGTAACTTGGATCTTGGGCAAAGATCCCATGCAAATTTATGCTCATCTACGGAGAGGATACGGAGTACAGCGTTGATACTAGAAGGATCTAATAATAATGCATAAATACTAGCCTGTAACCTTTGTCCAATCCCACAGCACTTGACGGGTCAATCCGAAGTTCGCTAGCCAATCTATCAACGGCCCTATCCTATCTATCCCCTGTTGTCGTCATCCATGCAACCAAGCTCGAGGCTCCCCTGTTGATCTTCAAGTGTTTTATGCTGTAACTTTGCTTCTCATTGGATATTATTACATGTATATGAGACAATCTCCAACCCCTAAAGCTATTATCGCACAATATACTTGGCAAACTCACTGGATCCCTTAACTCTACACATGTCAACAAAACACTGGACACGCAATCTTCAAATTTGTCGAAGCTTCTCACTTTGATAGTGGTCGATCTAAATTTGTGGGAACCCAAGCCTTCCTGGACCCGCCCCCTGCCGCTATCGTCGATTCCCCAGCATGCGCGACTTCTTATTGGCACGTTGGAATGACTCGCCCTGTATCACTGTCAATCATCGCTGTTTTCCGAAAATACACCTCTACCTGAAGCGAAACAATCGCCCCCTCGCGAGTGTGATATGCAGATGGTGTCAGAGAAGGCCGATCAAGCCCCCCTATTTTATGCGCTATGCGCACAACAAACAGGTAATTTAACTATCGAAGATAGTTAGTCGATCGCAACAGATTCTGTGGAACTTCGCCACACTTTCTATTTGTACCCAATTAGGCAACTCACTAGATGGGTATACATGCATCCACCTTGCCTATATTGTACAATGTACAGCTTTATATCACAATGATGCACCTCCAAGATGATTGCAGCGACTGTGGAAATTTTCAATATACAACGGTACTGAGGAACGAAAATTTCAACATCTGTGTGTTTTCGGTAATAATACACCCAGCTATAAATTTGGCCCTCGGGGATGGAGCTTCAATTAAAACGCGACGATCAAGCCGTGGATGTCTAGAGCTTCATCGGCCCAGTAAACCTTTTGATAGAGATTCCATTGCATCTTCTTCAAGAGCCAATGGAATCTGCAGTATTGACCATTATATAATTACACACAAATGTTTCTTCTTTTAAATGGCAACAATGTCATTATTGTTACAGTGTAAATTTGGCAAATGTTTCACTCGATACATCTCACCCCACTCTTGCACCCACTAAATGATCTGTTTTTTCGATCGCTTAGACTATCTAAAAAGAAATCTAGGTCATTAGGTATATTCTACCTCTTGTACGGAGAATGACCGCATTGTCTTGTAGCAAAAATACAAGTCTGCAAAAATCGGAAAAACTTGACAAACCTTGATACTTGTCCGTGCCCGTTACGCCACAAATATGGTAAGCTAAACCTAACTCTGTGCTGGCGGTTCTAAACCTGGCAGCCACTTGTCACAGTACGAAAGACACATGTGTATAATGATTTCTCATTCAATTGACATTCCTATCCTATCTAACTAGAGGCCTAGAGAATACCGGAATGCGTGGAACGCCTAGGAACCGGTATATCGATCTAGGGGTCGCGGGTTGCCGCATTCCCTAAAACACACCATCGACCAGTGCGAAGTAAACATGCACAATTCACTCACCTGACCACTCTGGGGTATGTGATTATATCCTAATTCGGATAATCCCAATCGTCCATACTAGGGCTTCAATGCGAAGATTTTCGGTCATCTGGTTCTCGTGGTCCGTTAGCTTCTAGGATTAATGGTCTCACAAACAAGGACTCATTCTTGTTTCGAACTGATGCACGAACGTCTTCGGGGATATCACTCGGTCTAACGCTTCGGCCTAAATGCCAATCTTTGTTTTTACTGGTCGATCTCTAATTGCATTTAGATGGACGGTTGATTCATCTCCACTAAATTCTTTTTCTTTCCGCTTTTCCCGGATATAATTAATCGGCTACACAACATAAGGTCACTATAATCGTAGATCACTGGTGTGTTTCAAGTAATATCTACATGAGCAGTACTTCTAATATAAACCACACCGATATATCATCAACTATGTATATCTACATCCATGCAAGGTTGATCCCTGTCGAAATTTCGACGTAAAATCACTGGTATTGTATTACAGAACTACCATGGATTCAACATCAATGTCCACGGGTGTTCTTGCGGATGGTTCCTTGGGATTGTATAATAACGGAGTATATCGCATCCAATCGCGTGAGCTTTCAGTATAAATCCAACTTTAGAAGGTACAATCAACTTACTTTCCGTGAGCATTTTTCAAATTTGGTTTGTTGTTACCATGGAGTGAATTAGCTCGGGATATTTATAGTCTGCTGTATTTATTAAGACATACCGGACATTTTCTAGGTTTGAATGGTATATATGTATTTAGATCGAGGCTTTTCCTTTTTCGACGTTTTGACGTAAATCATAACACTATATAATATATAACGGAATTACAGAATCATCGACGAATCTTAACAAAATCACGCATTCAACTCTCTTCTCCCTCTTCTTCTAGGTCGAACTAAGTATGATGGTTACGTCACGCTCGTTGACAGAATTTAATTTTCAAGCTCGAGTTGCGAGTCTACTATGAAATTCGGCACCTAATTTCGCTCCCATGCGATGCTCAAGCAAAGCGTGATCACTGATGTCTAACGCCAGATAGCTCATAATATGAGGGACTATAACTGCAGCAATAGTAGCCGGCGCTGGTCACGGCAGTGCAGGGGTATTTATAACAACTGCGGACGCCGATGTGTGCAGTGGGCGATCCACAATGGCTATCTTACTTCGCGACGGGTAGTCAGACGTTAATGAAGTGATTTGGAGTATGTCTCTACAGAGAGGGAAGACAGAGAAAGTAATTATGTGCGCGATTCGATGTCAGATCCTACTCCTGTAAGTATCAATATAACTCACGGCGGACAACCCTGGGTAGGAAGAAAAGCTCCATCAAATATGTTGTGAATGCATCATCTCGTCTTTGGTGAGTACGTGTAGATTTGAGTGTAGGGATCTCTTCATGAGGAATATTTATGATGCTTAGGAAGGGGATATTGAAAACTATATATTTCAATCATGTCATGCACGGAAAGTGGTACCCCTACAAGTATGCACAAGAAAGATGAAATCAATTATCATATTGAGAATCAACGCTCAATGACAGAAGCTTGCATGTCTGTCCAGGTGCCATTGAAGAGCGTCATTGTGCTTGGCACTCGTGGGGTAGCCCGGCGAATTCCAACTCCGCACCTCCGCAAACCCCAGCTTGGCTTACACCCCCTGGAGACTTCCTCAGATCCATCACATAGGCCATTGAAAACGGGCTATCTCATAAATCATTCGAAGATGTCACTCAGACGCTCAGCCCGACTGGGGTCCATCCCAACCATCAAGACCCCACTACTGCAAAGCGCAGCTCCGAGGGGAGCAACTAGAGTCCAACATAGCGCAGTGACAAAACCTCGCAAGGCACCCACAAAGTCCAGCAAATCAGATAAAAAAGACACAAAGACGAAAGCAAAAACAGGAAGATCCTATTGGTCCCCTGAACCAGCAGTCATAGAGAAACAAGAAACAGACAACCTGCCCTCAACCACTAACCCCACGATATTCAGACCTCAGACACCACCTCCCCTCGACCGCCCCGTCGACCCGCACCGAACAAACGCAACTCTCATCACCCCCCACGGCTCAACAGTAAACGCCTATGCAGCACACGCAGAAGATGTCTCGCCCTCAAAAACTGGCGTTCCTCGGCCAACGGTTACAACAGGGACATTACTCGAGAAAGCCACCGCGCACCTCATAGCGACAGATCCACGCATCGCAACAGTGATCGAAAAGCACCCGTGTCCGCTCTTCTCGCCTGCGGGTTTGGCAGAGGAAATCGACCCCTTCAACAGCCTGATTAGCAGCATCATCGGCCAGCAAGTCTCTGGCGCAGCAGCAAAGTCTATCAAAAACAAGTTTCTGACGCTGTTTGATTTACCCGATACTGTTGCTCCTGATGGGCATAGACATGCAAAGTTCCCGACCCCAGATCAGGTCGCCAAGTGTGATATCCCCACTCTGCGCACGGCGGGGCTGTCGCAGCGCAAGGCGGAGTATATCCAGGGTCTTGCAGAAAAGTTTGCTAGTGGAGAGATCGGGGCAAGGATGCTGGTGAGGGCTACTGACGAGGAGCTTTTTGAGAAGCTTATTGCTGTTCGTGGATTGGGGAAGTGGTCGGTTGAGATGTTTGCTATGTTCGCGCTCAAGCGCATTGATGTGTTTTCTACTGGGGATTTGGGAGTACAGTAAGTCTTTTCCTTCCATGGTTGCTTTTGTTCCACGCGAATTCTTAGTATTATGGCGGGGACCTTTTGTGTCGTGGCTTAGGCGAAGTGTTTGCTGACACCTTAGTAGACGAGGCTGTGCCGCTTTTGTGGGCCGCGATGTGAGCAAACTCAAGGGCAAGGGTGGTGGTAAGTTCAAATATATGGCCGAAAAGGATATGCTGGAACTTGCTGCCAAGTTCGCACCATACAGGTATGCCTGACCCCATGCATGGTGTAGACAATGTGCTTACTTATTTGACCTAGGAGTCTATTTATGTGGTATATGTGGCGGATTGAGGATGTTGACGTGGCTGTTCTTGGTGGTTGAAAACCGTAGGAGTATGTATTTGCCTTCGTGAATCAGGCTGTCTCGGTACCATGTTATTTGCTAGTTAGTTATCGAGCATTGAAGACGGTGCTTTAGTATATATCGCCATAGTGCAGAAAGTCAGCCACTGAGAGTGAATTGTGACTCTGATTTCGTGACCATGAACAAATGGGTGTAATTGAAGATGTTATACATGTGCAGCTAGGTTATGTTGGGCGCCTGACGCCCAATCCAACCACCTACCACGCATAGGCCATCCCCAACCACCCTAGCGATTACTAGAGTTCATCAATACAGAAAGAGGTGCAAGACCCGCTTGTGGATTACAAGATCGACTAAAGATATAAGCGCGCGAAGAAAATCGATTTGTACAGTATCAGTACACTCAGGCTGCGTAACCAAGCCATGGGCCGCCGACGACGGCGCCCATTCCATTACGAAGAAAGCACACCAGGCGTTTATTCCATGCCAACAACAATGCTACCCCAAACCCCCTGTTTTCATATTCTATTGAACAAGGCAGCAACGGCTTACTTGCGGACAACAAGGTTGTCAAGGTCAGCACGCTCCTTGGCCTCCTTCTCGATCTCGCGGATGATAGGGCTGAGGTACTCGACGTCCTATTTGATTCGCATCGTTAGCATTATGTTTGGTAGTGAGTAGATGTCCCAAAATGAAGTCGGGGTGGATGTGACAAATCCGTGCAACAGGATTGGCCGATATGGAGTCAATGCGGGGAGGGCGAATTTTGGATGTTGGGGACTCACCTCCTCGGGCTTGATCTGCTCGTGGGCGGGAAGGAGAGTGTGGGAGATAGAGCACTGCCATTGACACATTTGTTAGGTCTTGCGCTAGTCGGATACAGAGGAAGGGGGTCGAACCTGGAAAGCACGGCGGATACGGAAGACACGGTCATAGGCCTCCTTGGCAGGAAGACGCTTGATAGCCTTCTGGACGTTCTCGCTCTCCTCAGGGATCAGGTCATCGAACCTAGTTGGGCGGTCAGCAAATGTTTCAGTTCAACCATGCCACGAGCGATATCCGAAAGACCGGGGCTCCGGGCAAATCCGATACAACTACGATCGCATTCCAAAGATATGCCACCGGTGCGCGACGAATTCAACCAGCCAATTCCAAATCATTGTGTCAATCGCTCGTGGCTGAGGGGTTGTCGATGTGGGAGGGCAAGAATTACTTGAGTCCGAGTCTCCTGTAGCCGGCGGCATCGGTGTACCAGTGGGAGAGAGGGGTGAGCCAGCTCTTGAGCCATGGGCGCTTGACGATGTAACTGGCGAGCGAAGGGGCAGACATTTTGAATCCCGGGTATCCCAATTGACGTGGGTGTGGTAAAGGGTTGGAAAGGCTATCCGACTGGAACACGAGATGACCCGATGTTGCGAGGTTGTGCAAAACGGAGCTCGAGCGACTAGTCCTGAAACGGAAATTTTACGCCTGAGGCTTATAGCACGTGACATTTATGCCTCAGGCGGTGGGGAGAGTGGGAATGTCAATCGGCGCACTCCACCCAACGGATAGGTTTCCTATGTCATATTCCCTTCTCGATCTTATCACTTACTTTGACAGAGATGGGATTTGTTAAGTCTCAAAGCAATCACTGATCCCTGCCTCCACCGAGAAGCTTGATTGCTCTGAGAACCCCGCCCACGTCCGTGCTGCAGATAATAGAACATTGCGCATTCAAGCAACCACACCGGGTTCGGTAACCATCGGCCCCAGAAAACTTTCTCTCAATTCCCCGTCGTTTCCCACACCTCCTACTTCACACTATTTACGGACTTTGGATATTCGAATAAATCTACGTTTCTTTCCCAGCTCGGTTTGAAATAGGGTTCTTGGGTTCCGGATCGAGCACCCGATATGCTCGTGTCCGGGGGGCCTCGTTGATTTAGTACGGTTCGACAAGCTGCGTGGCCAAGATGTCTACAAACGGCCGAAGCACTCCGGAAAGCTCACAAAACCAAAGTCGGTCAATCCATCTCGACAATGCTCCCAACGTGCCCGTCGCACCGAGCTCTGATTTCAAAGCTCGCCTCGAGGTCTTTTCCACCAAGATACCCAACTTTTACATAGCACCTTTCTGCGGAGCTAGCGCTGGCGTGGCCTCTGGGATTGTCACCTGTCCTCTTGATGTTATCAAAACGAAGCTCCAAGCCCAGGGGGGTTTCGGCGGGGAGCAAAGGAAGTTGGCTCGGGGATGCTGTATCGTGGTATGCTCGGAAGCGGACGGAAGATTTGGCGAGAAGATGGCATTCGCGGTCTCTACCAGGGACTAGGTCCAATGTTGCTGGGATATCTTCCCACCTGGGCTGTTTATCTAGCAGTCTATGACCGGACTCGTGAATATTTCTATGACCAGACAGGTAGGTACCTCCAGAATGGAGGATTGGATCATTCATCAGTACTGACCAAGTTACAGGAAGCTGGTGGTTATCTCGAGGCTATGCTTCAGTCACAGCCGGTGCATGCTCAACAATCGTGACGAACCCCATTTGGGTCATCAAGACCAGGCTCATGTCACAAAGCCTTAAACAAAACAGCGAAGGAGTGCGAGCCCCTTGGCAATACTCAGGCACATGGGATGCTGCTCGCAAGATGTATCAAATTGAGGGCATTCGCTCCTTCTACTCTGGCCTCACCCCAGCTCTACTGGGACTAACCCATGTGGCCATTCAATTCCCCCTCTACGAATATCTAAAAATGGCGTTGACAGGCTATAGTATCGGTGAACACCCCGATACTGGCAGTTCACACTGGATGGGAATATCCCTCGCCACTTTCCTCAGCAAAGTCTGCGCAAGCACAGTCACATACCCGCACGAGGTCTTACGGACCCGACTCCAAACACAGCAACGGACTATTCCGGCACAATCCCACGAAGAGATTGCATTCCGCGGCGGATTGAAACATCCACATGACCGCGGCCGGTCGGGTGGCATCTCCTCCTCGGATGGAATGCGCAGTCGCCCACGCTATAATGGCATGGTGCGCACATTCCAGACAATCCTCCAGGAAGAGGGCTGGCGTGCGTTTTACTCCGGGATCGGCGTCAACCTGTTCCGGGCCGTCCCGGCTGCAATGACGACTATGCTCACCTACGAATACCTGCGGAAGCAGATCAATACAATGCAGCATGATGGTGCGCTGAGGATCCAGATGGAAGAACAAGCTCGGGGATCTATTTGATACCCACGATCTATCAACACACACAAATGGCTACCTCCTGTCTTCAACCTCCTCCCTTCATATCCGCTTCTAAAACATCGCTCCCACCGCTTCTGATCGCCAAGTCCTCTTTTTTTTCCTTTGTCGCAACCTGTATAGACATGGATGAGGCGGTCTGTTTCTTGATCTTTGAAGATCGACCTTTAGCGAGCAAATTTTGGCTACTGCATTCCGAAAGCATACGAGGGTCTCGGCATAGACGACAGTGTCTCCAGACTTCGAGCTGACATGTGAAACAGCCTTCACATGTTTTCACATGCTCGCTGCACCTTGGCTGAAAGATTATTGTTGCCCAAAGCATGTCTTTTCTTTCTCTTGTTGCTTTCTAAACTTGTCTACCATCCTCCTGGCTTTTGCATATCTATTTTTGTATATACATCACATATTATACATGCTTGCCCATTCTCGTGAATACACATACTCGAATAAAGCAATGACTTTCATATCTGATTCTAGAAGACGATGGATATATTTCAATTGAAATTACCCACTAGATAATGATCGATAATTCTCATGTCGACCATTGCGAAGCCTCTGGCATAATGTCAACAGTTCTCCAGACCACACATATCTTTTTAGGTGCCACCTCCTTCGTAGTGCATATGTAGTGTTGCATTTGAAATTGTGATGATATAAGCATTGTGATAATCTGAAAGGGGCAAGAATACTTTCGAGAATGGCAGGTTGATGCCATAGGGCCAAAACTTGCTGGTTTTATCTTCATTTTTTTTTTCGTTGCTTCCGATGATCTTACCTCGCCCGGCAAATGTGACATAGCTATTGCCCTCTGAATCTGGTCGCTTTTTGCGCTTCTCAACCTTGACTTGCAGCAGCTTCACCATACTAGTGTGCTTGCTGATTGAAGTTCTCAGGCAGACTGACTATCTAGAGCCTGACGTGATCCAACCACGTCATTTTCCACTATTCTCGCAATAACGAGAGAGCCAAGTTGACCGTAGTCCTGGAGCAGCTTAAGAATCTCCCTCTTCTCACTACGAGAATCCACATTGTCGCAAATGACTTCCACAAGAACACAGAATAATGGAATCCCGAGGGGGATTGATAGGAAGATTTTGAGAGCGATTTCAGGAAACAAGGAAGTCATCCAGTTGTCTTCGATCTTCACAGAAATCTTGAATGCAGTCAGCTTCTCTAGAGGAAGGATGCCGAATTTATCTGCCACAAGATAGACGGGGAAGGTTTTGGAAGCAACAGCTTGTTTGTGTTCAAGAGACATCGCTTTGTTCTGAGACTTGGCCGGAGCTTCCTGTGTGTGTGATCGGGATAGTGTGTTTTTCTTTTATTGCACATCTTAGTCATGGTCTTCGTAAGTTTGCTGGTAGAGAAAGCAGATAACTCGTTTGGTAGTCTCCGAGTCGTCTGTAGGTAGAGTGATGATCCCAATGATGACTCCCTTGAGAGAATAAGCAACTGAAAATGTTGGACAATGATCATCTTACCTGAAAGCCAGGCCCGGGGGCAGAGTTGCAGGAGTGAGACTGAGTGCAGATGATCGCACGGTGAGCTTTAAAAGTCACGTTCTAGCAGATAATGGTTATACCCGAGAAATAACCCGCTTCAAATCTACTAGTTGAAGCAACAATGTGTACAATAAAGCTCAAATACTCTGTACTCCGTACCTATGGAGACCGTAAGTAGAGTAGAATGCACGATGATACCGCCCGTCCGATTGGTTGAGTCTGGGCCATAGCTTTGACACTAGAGCTACAAGTATGAGCGTCTAATAGTTTCTAATTTTATGCTGATATAGCTTGTACAACAATGTATCCCAGGCAAAGTAGATAGATGAGTTGAGTGGCTCTTTAAACATATGGGGCAATCACGTGACATTATATTTAAAACTGCCGCAATTATTTTTTTCCCTCTTTTCTTTTCACTTCTCCCTTACTTTTTTTCTTCACCATCACTCTGTATTCGTTTTCTGGTGTTTAATGCTGGCACTTTGATCGACTTATACAGCAGTCAATCAATCTCAGATGTTGATTTTGATAAAGTCCACTTACTAACCACTTCTACATGCAACCCGTCTTGCATCAAACAATAACCCCATGGGCTTTGTGGTCATTTGACCCATTGAAAGACAGTTGGATATGCCTGTATAGTCTCATCATCCCCTGTTTACTCTCACCTACCTTGCTATTCTTTTGGCCAAGTTACACATTCCTCCTTCACTATTCGCATGATGAACAATTTCAAGATTGAACTGGGTTGTCAACACACTTAGACTCCCGGGGAATGATCATTCATACACTGAAAATTCTGATTGAATATGAAGACGCGGATGTTGCAGTTGATTTTGCTTTATTTTACCTATATAGCAAAAAACACCCTCTATGAATAAATAATTATACATCCATTAGTACCACAAAATAAATAAATGTATCAAACACCGTTGTAGTGGATTCAATCTATATCATACATGTAAGAAAGCACCTTTAACTTAGGGGTACACCTCAGGGCCGTCCTTTGCCACCATTCTGCGCTCGACTCTCATCAAGTGCTTGTTGAACCCAGGACTCGTCTTTTCTCTCAAATGGCGTAGCTCGCTGATAGGAACTGGGCCCCGGAGCTTGGATTTGGGCATCTCGCCGCGCAGTGCGGATAGAACTAATACAGTATGAACAAAGGAGGACAGCCATTGTAAAAGCTGCAATGGGAGCATTGAGAGACTGGATGAACATCAGCATAAAGCAAAAATTGGAGAGTATGGCTAAGAAAGCAAGTGGGATGATAGTGCTAAGATGTTGGTCTTTGCAACGCATTGTACATACCCCTTTTGGCTTGCCTAATGCTTTAGGATTTGACCCTTGTTGGGTCATTGTGTACGAAGTATGTTGTGTCGTATTTTGATTTAGGCTTGAGCTATCCTCGGGATCACCTTTGCCAGCAGAACTTATTAGATAGAGCCGTAGCTTGTTGGCAATAGGAAGGACACAGTTGAGCGAATTCGAGAGAATTCAAAGAAGAAAAAAAAATCAACTAGATGAGAGATAGGCAGGGAAAGTGGTAACTAGTTAACTAGTGATAGTGATGGTTAAGTAATGGTGGGGAGGCGAAGAGCGGAGCGGAGAGTGCAAACATGCCAAATAAATGCCTTATCGCATCATTTAATCGATGCCGATGTTCTCAGGCCGTCGACACACCCATCTTACCATAGCACCCCATGGCTTCTGAACCCACCCCCTCAAGAGGGGGCATGTCCCTGTATGCCAACCTACTCAATACTTCTACTGATACGCCTGGCACCATCTCCCGTGCCCCTGTTGTCTTTAAGCAGTCGGAGACAGAACATCAACCCGACGACGCGGCCGCCAAAAAGCAACAGCTGAATCCTGGTACTTACCCTTGACTTGTTGGATACTTTGCATGCTAACTTACCCCTTTTCTTCATAGCTTCTCTTCGATTCCAACCTCCCAAAAGGCCACAGCTCTCAGCCCAGAAGCCCAAGCCGAAACATACTTTACCTAAGGCAGCGCCACAACCACAGCCCTCAGCCAACCAAGCTCCAGTGCCGACCAAGAGTACTTTGGCAGATTGGACCGCTATTGAAGATGACAATTATGAGTACGCGCGCGAAAAGCGACAACGCGGTGGAAGAAAGAAGCGCAAGAAGAACTTTGAAACACATGTTGTCCAGAACTGGGATGATATCTACGACTCTTCTCGGCCTACCAATAATGCAGAATACCGCCATAATGACGAGAAGATCGGTGAAGTCCGTCAGTGGAAGGATCGCTTGTATGCGCAAATCAGACAGCGTTCGCCGAGCAGATTTTCAGATAGCGAGGATTATGACCGGCCAAAAAAGCGTATGTTAGGTTCTGCTGCGAATGGCGATGATATTCAGACTAAAAGGATAACACCAGGACAATTTGCGCCTCCAATCAACTTTGCACCGCCGCCAAATCTCAATGATGTGCCACCACCCGCTTCGATCCCCAATGACCCATCTGGCGAGGATGCATTTGCTCGCCGTGTAGCATTAGGGCAAGGCTTTGACAATGATTCTATGCCCACTCATGCACAACTCCCGACCTCGTCACCACCCCGAGCTCAAGACCCCACCCAGATTCCCGGTAACCCACCATCGGGACAAGTCACACCACATCCTCCTCCAACACGCCCCCTTGACGTCTTCCAACCTAGCTCCGTAACCATCTCCCGCGCACCAGTTCGATACACCCTTCCACCACCCCCAGAAGACATCCCAGCCTCGGAGGCTGAACTTGAAGCTGTATTGGCCCAAGAGCAGCAGGCAGAGGAGGAAGATCTAGATGAGTCCGCGCCACGATCCCTTCGCCCCGGGCAAAAAGGATTTGCAGAAAGACTGCTTTCCAAGTATGGCTGGACCAAGGGATCCGGCCTCGGCGCTACTGGTTCTGGTATGGTGAAGCCTCTGCAGGTCAAGGTTGAGAAGCGCAAGAAGCGACCAGATTCAGAGGGTGGTGGCTTTGTCACACCTGCTGGGCGAGGTAAGATCATCGGAGGCAATAATAAAGGTGAATATGATACCAGCAAGTTTGGCCCTATGAGCGAAGTAGTCGTCCTGCGAGGCATGCTCAATGGAATGGATCTGGATGCCGAGATGGAGAATAGCAATGATGGTGGTTTGATGCAGGAAATTGGAGAGGAATGTCATAGGAAGGTACGTTTTCTTTCATCGATGGGTGTGAGGGCTTTTGCTGATTTGAGGGACTCATAGTATGGAAAGGTGGAGCGAGTGTTCATCGCTCGCAACGCCGGTACCCCAGTCCCGGTCTTTGTCAAATTCCAGAATTCCTTGTCTGGTCTACGGGTAAGCCTTTGAGATATACGTCTTGATTCAAATGTGAGTTTATGCATTGCTGACTATTACATATACGATAGGCTGTGAACGCGCTTGAAGGCCGTATATTCAATGGCAACACAATCGCTGCGCGATTTTTCAATACCGAGAAATTCGATCAGGGGATTTACACGTCTTAATTGCCCATGTTCGTGTCATTTTATGTATGTTATGAAATCTCGGTTGTTTGTCACTTTGTCCATTCTCGACCATTGCACATACAATAGGCCGTGGATTTGCTCGAAGGCCAGGTACTCAATGGCAACAAAGTGATAGGATGTTTTTTTCCGACCGAGGAGTTTGAACGGGGGTTTACATGGCCAATTGCTTATGTTCACACCCTTTCGTGTACTTAACTATGTTAATGATAACGTTCGGTTCATTTGATGTCGCTCTAGTGAGTTCTCATTGCATAGTTCTCCAATACCACATTTTATATAACACAAAATGCAGACTATGGAACATCGAAACAGTAAATCGTCTAATCCTCTATGAAGCCTGAAGAGTTCCATCCTACCAATTTAATCCATCAATCTATTGCCCCTGCTAACATGAAGGGGAATCCAGGAACGCCAAGTACGATGATACTTCTTCGACTTAGAAGTGCGGAGCAAAGGGTCTGTGTCCGACATATTGTCATCAGTGATAAACGCCAGATATGTGCGATTCTACTGGTTGCGCACCGACCTAGTAGGAACTGGAATCCGAGACCACCAGCTTCGGTTCGTCTGGGGCTGGGGGTGGCCCTGCAAAGGCTCGGGGCTAGACTCCTCTTCATGACCTGTGTAATCATCAGCATACTCAGCCACAGCTACGTGAGATAAGTGAGGCGGGGATGGTTGCACTAGGGTCGGTATGCGCGACGGACCCCTGTGGAACGACGCACGAGTCTCCCGGTTCTCAGCTCTACGAGACAGTCCGGGAGACTGGGAGATCCGCGTTTGCATGTCAAGTTCCTCAGCATCGCTGTCACTGATACTCCGGCCATCTTCGTCGCTATATTGGAACGCCTCGCATATTGCAGACCAGCGACGCTGTGTCCGCAATCCGCGGGAGATATGTTGGCGTCGCATTAGCTGATCAAGTCTGCATTGCAGACAACTCCCTTCAAGCGGGAAAGGGGTTGTGATTTGGTGCTCTTCGGTGCAAGTGTAGCCCTTTTTGAAGGCTTCGTGGCACGCAATCAGGGATGTTGCATCCGGGTCTTGGTGCTGGCACATGGCGAAGTACCAGGTAACTGAATGACACATGATGATAGATGATACTATGTAGCCTTGAAATATCGTTTGTAAATATTGTTGGTAGGAGTTTGGTTGAGGATTAATGAGTATGGATGGGATGAGTATGAGGGAGGATATGCTAAAACTCGCATAGCTTCCTTTTATACACTTTAGACTAGCCTAGAGCTGTGTTGTTGTGGAAAGCCTTTGTCCAGGAGTCCTTTGGCCTTAGGTTCGAAGAAAGAAACACTTTTTCGTCACCTCAATCTTTATAGTTACATGTGTACCTATTGTCCCCGACAAAGCCATTATGTATAGATCGTGCCTGATTCTTTGTTACCTTGGGGAAAATATGCACACCTTTGTTCATAACTTGTAGGTAATTGTCATAAGTGGAATGTCTTTGGTTATTGACTCACCTAGTCTCATCTGTGTCCGGTAGTAAGTAGTAGGTAGGACTGACCCGAAATCTTTAGCTTGCGGCTCTATACGAATACTCGAATAGATGGATATCATAAACCGGATATCCATCCATGAATGAATTTAATTGATTGTAGTTTTAATTGATTAATAGAACGTAAATGTGACGTACTAAGTCATAACAAGCTCACTATATGGAGTCGAGATTCATAGGTAGCTCCCCCAAAGTATGCTTAACCACTACGAATTTAATAGAGGTCTATTTTCAGCGTACACTTAACCTGATAGTCAGGGTAAAGACCTAGGTACCACGTTGTTCGGCGACAAGAATTTGTATTCGTCCATGGGTAGCAGAGGTTCACTTCTGGTTTCTAGTTGAATTGAGGCACCCGCCTCATATCCCCAGCCCTGCAGGCGATATTGAAATACAGTCTGCAGTTTGTGCCAAATTACACCAAATAATAGTTATCCTGCTTATTCACTTCCCTCCTCTTTGGTAATAGTATGTGAAGTACAATTGGTCTTTCCCCTTCAAACTGGGTAGCTTCACCGCACCTCTAGATGTCGGCTTCGTGGTCATTTGCCATGAATATGGTCGTGCTACGCTTAGCAGTTTTCATTTCCACGTGTCCTCTATTGGACATATCACGCGGGCTCATTGTAGGTGCAGCGATAGTCAGGGTGACAGAAATCGCGAGGGTCACCGACGAGAACTTCATTTTGGCGAAGGCAAGCTGGAAAAAAGGGGTTCTAGTTAGTACTTGTCACTAAATATAGCAAAGATGAACCTGTACTTACTTTGTGAAATTGATAGTCTGTACTCCGTAGGTCTTATTGAGCTAAAGGTTAGAGATGATCTAGCAGAGTTATAATCCAGATCTAATGATGTTAATTATGTATATAGACCCACTCCAAGGCTGATGCCGACCGAGAACCATTAGGATCGCGAGGAATGCTTATAATTGAGAGCTGTCAGAGGGTGGGGATGTAGATCATGCGTCATGTTAGTACTATATATGTCGATCATTGGTTGATTCGCTACCCTAAGTATCTTTGATAATATGCATCACACTGACTGAGATAAGCCGAGAGAAAGTCAGCTCACGCAAGGGATTATCCCCTATGACTTTCGTACTCGAAGGAATGACTTGATTTTATCCTTTTGCGTAAGCCTTTCCCACTTTCCTTTTTAAGTATTTGTGTCTTAAGAGTCTAATACCACAACATACTTTTTGACAGCTCTTGAGGAGGCGCCACACTATGGCAGTAATTAGTAATTCCTTCAAAGAACACCTGCAGCTCTATCGACCGATTCACAGCGAAGACATAGCAGCGAAGACATAGAGTCAGAACTCCCCGACACGTCTACGTTAATTATGCCGGAAATTTGCCAGACGTCCCATCTTCGCCTCGTCGCTCCGTGGATAGCTTCCACCTTCTTGTTAGCCCTGATTACGGGCTACCTACATATTTCAACAACGCAATTTCCCTGCATACCTAGAAACATCTCTATCAGCCTTCCGAACTGAACTTGATGATGCGTATCCATATATCTCTTACGAGGAACGTGTGTTCTTTGGGACACTTGCATTTGACGAGGAGAGAGAGGCAAGATCTACCGAGACATTGACCTATCTGCGCCTCAATATTTTGGACTTCCAGCTCCTGAGATTGACGATGCCTGGGCTGATTTAATGCGAGGAATACTTCGGAGCCCCTCCGGCCGCAAGGCAGCCACTTCAACTCACACAATGGAGGGATTTTATAGACGAGTTTGTAAGGATGACCGATGAATAAGCGACACCATATAGTTAGGTACACCAGAGCTCAACAAGGCCCGCATTCCGATTATTACCACTTTGAGTGAGCTCTTCAGAAAACTGCTATATTCTCCCGCATCCTCAGTCTAATCTTTCTCTCTATTGGACCTGGCATGTTCCGCTCCCTCTGCTGCCTTGACGCAGTCCAAATGGATATTTGCGAGGCGAGTTAGCATCGAAAGGCGTGCTAGTCATATATTGTTTTTCAATAAAAATAGTGAATACTTCCGCTCCTGTGGGCATTCCCATTCTGCCTCTGCTGATTGTGCTAGTTTGAGTAATATCCACGTTAGTTTATAACAATAAAGTGGCGAAGAGGTGTGGGTAGCCCTATACAACATACTTAGTACTGCCCTCGGCGAGGCAGAAGAAGGGATATTAGACTGAGATCAGACAGAAATAGCAGAATCCATAGTCACATAGGCAGTAGTCACATAGGCAGCAAAAACACCCGCAGAACCAGTTGTAATTGCTATTTAGCCTAACAATAGAAGTGAGGCTCCTGGGAAGGTTCCTGGGCGGTCCCCTGTAGGTATTACATAAGCAAACTCATTGTTCGCGTGGGGAGGTCAATTGCTATCACCTCCCCCGGCTTTGACGATTGCCACCTTTAAAATCTTCCGCTCATCACCTCTTTCTCCCTCTCTCTTTACCTATTCCTAATCACTCATCGTGCTCCACACCTTGCTTACAGCGAAGTTGCATCTTTGTGCTTGATCTTTTTCCACCCTCCACGAGTCAACCCATTCAGCTACCCACCTGCTGAACACTATCCGAGATGTCGTTGTGCCAGAACCGTCTCCAGGAAGAGCGGTAAGCATATCCAGTGTCTCGCACATTCCGCGATTTTGCGCATCACTTGCGCCACGTTTTTGCTTTTCACTGACCTCCATGGATTCTCTAGAAAGCAATGGCGTCGCGACCACCCATTTGGCTTTGTCGCAAAGCCTAAACGTGCCCCGCAGGGTGGCCTGGACCTGAAGAACTGGGAATGTGCCATTCCAGGGAAGGCTAACACTCTATGGGAAGGCGGTCTTTTCAAAATCGACTTGATTTTCCCAGATGGTGAGCGACGCAATACATTCAAGACTACTGAAGGTCCTTATACTAATCTAGATTCTTCCACGCTTCTAGAATATCCCACCAAGCCTCCCAAATGTAGGTATCTTCTTTGCAATATACCCTTGAGTCGGCTCGTCGGAATAGAGCTTCTGCTGGGAGCTAGCACCATAATTTCTTGTGAGAATCTCATACTAATATAACTGTTCAGGCAAATTCACGCCACCACTGTTCCACCCCAACGTCTATCCTTCCGGAACTGTTTGCCTGTCAATTCTGAACGAGGAGGAGGGTTGGCGACCTGCCATCACTATTAAGCAGCTCTTGCTTGGCATTCAGGATCTTTTGGATGACCCGAACCCCGAGTCACCTGCTCAGGCTGATGCCTACAACCTCTTCAAGAAGGACCGTCCTGCTTACGAGCGCAAGGTTCGCATTGCTGTCAAGGAAAACCAGCCTAATTAGGACACCAGCCCAATCTGGCTTTAATTACCCAGGCGTAAACAGCGATGGCGCTGCATGGGTCATTTACTTTTACTTTTTCTATCAGCATTGGATACCGGGCAGATTGTGGGAAGATTATGCATTTATTGTTTAATGAAGGAAGCAACTTGTGCTTTTTTATCGCGAGCATGGCGTTGCTACATATCCCAATGGATGGCGTTTTCTGGGCTTAGGGTCATTCAAAAACAACGATACCACATACATGCTCCCTGCCGGGATGCTTTGGCCTGCCATGTATTGAGTGCAGAATGACTCTCGCAGAAGAAATTCGATATACTTATTTGCTCCTGTGCATAGGTTAAATCACCTGGGCAGTCAACACATCACCCATACCTACCCGCGCCGATGGAATGAGTCCTTGGTGGGTTTTCTTGGGAAGCTGTATTCAACTTGCTTTTTAATTAACAAGATACCAACCTTGAAAACTACCTACTCGATGAACCCGAAGCCAAATCGGCAAACCTTTCTTCGTTTGTAATCCCGGAATTGTAGTTAATACTTCGTCGTGTTTAGCTAGAGCTAGATCAAGGCACCACCGTAGACCGTATTACAACAACCTCGGATAAGCCGGAACCAAACCTTCAACTCTTCCACCATTTCAGAATCGAATTGTATAGAACTCAAAAGATATCATCTTATTCTGCTTTGGGGACCAAAAAGAGAAGCCCGAAGAAACCTAGGAGTCTCATGCAATCAAAACTTCGCTATATTATCAATACAATCCTTGTGGGTTTCGTATAGATCTTCATAACCTCAATATCGAGACTGCTGCGATCTCGCCTTTAGTGACTCTGAACTCTCCCCTAGAACTAATTCTCTAAGCTAACTTTATAATTCAAAAGATCTTATGCATTCTATGCTGATGGTAGATCAACAGTACGAGGAAGAAGCCTTTCCCGGTCTATCTTTCTTTCGCAAGCAGCACAGTGTGATACTCTTCCTGAGGGCTCGTATGACATTTCAGAATAATATTTGGAATTACAAGACCCTGGAACTAGTAGCAATTCCAAAGAAAGCTTATGTTGCAGATTGATTGATACCTTGAATCTCCAGTGGTAAGTGGGCTGATATTTTTCACCATCCTCCTCTCTCCATGGCGTATATGGTAATAAATATTTCACTTGTGATGCCTTCGATATACCCAGACAATAACTGGAAAGAAGAAGGAAATATATATAGCGATCATGATGGATGATGCGTTATTAGACTTGATATTGCTAGCAAGGCTGGAATAACTAGACTGGGAGCAAATGAGGAGACAGAGAAGTGTTCCCCAGAGTTGGCAACAGAAGTGCATTGATTCCGGGTAAATCCAAAAATGGTACCCCCACTAAGTAGTTAGTAGGAGATAGTTGAATAGATCATTGGCATACACTTGTTCAAGGAGGGGCTTGGCTAGGGCTATAGTCCATGGTGGGGGTATACTAATCACGTGACCAGCAATCCGATCACTCTCCAAGGTTCCCCCTTGTCAGACTGAGACAGACTAATAAGAATATGACCCGACAAATAAGAACCGCTAATATAGCTACATATTTAGCCACAGTAAAAATCTTTAACAAGTAGAAGCTGACTGGACCAATGATCCAGGGTTCTTATCTTATCGGTGAGTCAAAAGAAAGACTTGCCGACATCGCCCCTCGCCCCGCCAGGAAGGCACCGGGGCAAATTTGAAAAAAAATCGCCGTTCTAAGGTTCCCCATATAACCGGACGATTAGTCAATTGCTACCCTTTTTCCCGATTCTCTCCTCCCTAATTGATCTTCACCTCTACTCACAGTTCCCAATTGCCCATCATGTGTGGAATTTTCGCGTGCCACCAGTGCGTCATGTCCTACCCTAACTCCCCGCGTCTGGGATGTCAAATTCGGGGAATACTAACCAGGGTATAGTCACCCCGATGTGCAAAAATTCAAGCCTACGGCTTTGCGCATGGCCAAGGCGTGAGTATCTCCATTGCCTCTTCAGTTACCTTTTGCAATTCGCATTCTACAGAATTCTCGCTAACTCGTGTCTTCATAGTGTGCGCCACCGCGGTCCCGATTGGAGTGAGTCACAGTTACAACATTGCGCAGTATATGTGGGAATCATAGGGCTAACAAATGTTCTCCAACAGGTGGAAACTTCTGCGCTGAGAGCACTAGTGAGTTAATGCGCAATAACTTGGTGTCGGCATGATATGCTAACGTATGATTCATAGTCCTGGCGCACGAGCGTCTGAGCATTGTCGGTGTTGGTACGTGACCCCTGTGAACGATCAACAATTTGAAGATATATTTGTTAACAATAGCCTGTTAGACTCCGGTGCCCAGCCCCTCGTCAACGAGGATAGCAGCCTCGCCCTCGCCGTCAACGGTGAAATCTACAACCACCGTCTCATTCGCAAGAACCTTCACCACAAGTACAACTTCAAGACGCACTCTGATTGCGAAGTTATCATCCCCTTGGTACGTCAGGCCGAGTATAACGGAATCGCAGTTGGAATTGAAATGCTGATATATACTAGTATGAGGAGTACGGTCTTGATGCCCCCAAGCACCTTGATGGCATGTTCTCTTGGGTTCTTTGGGATAAGAAGCAGGACCGTGTTGTTGCTGCCCGTGACCCCATTGGTATCACCAGCTTCTACCTTGGTCGTTCCTCGTCCACTCCCGGCGCCGTCTACTTTGCCTCTGAGCTTAAGTGCCTGCACCCCGTCTGTGACGACATCATTGCCTTCCCCCCCCGGCCACATCTATGATTCCAAGACCGACAGCTTGACCCGCTACTTCGAGCCCAAGTGGTGGGACCCCACCAACGTCCCCTCGACCCCGGTTGACTACAAGGTGATCCGTCACAGCCTCGAGAAGGCTGTCCGCAAGCGTCTGATGGCTGAGGTGCCATACGGTGTTTTGCTGTCTGGTGGTCTGGACTCCAGCTTGGTCGCGTCTATCGCCCAGCGTGAGACCCTCCGCATGGCCGAAGCTGCCCGCAATGCGCCCCCGGCCGAGACTGTGGACGGTGAGTTGGTTGGTATTGATGACGACAACGAGCTGTCGACCGTCACCACCTTCCAGCAGCTGCACTCATTCTCCATCGGTCTCCCCGGTGCCCCCGATACCGCGGCTGCCATTGAGGTCGCCAAGTTCCTCGGCACCAAGCACCACCCCTTCACCTTCACTGTTAAGGACGGCCTCGATGCCCTCTCTGACGTGATCTACCACCTCGAGACCTACGATGTAACCACCATCCGTGCCTCTACTCCCATGTACCTGCTCTCCCGCAAGATCAAGGCTATGGGCGTCAAGATGGTCCTGAGTGGTGAGGGTTCCGACGAGATCTTCGGTGGCTACCTCTACTTCCACGCTGCCCCCAACCGTGAGGAGCTCCACAAGGAGACCGTCCGTCGTGTCAAAAACTTGCACTTGGCTGATTGCCTCCGTGCCAACAAGTCCACCTCCGCGTGGGGTCTTGAGGCCCGTGTTCCTTTCCTCGACAAGGAGTTCCTCGAGACCTGCATGGGTGTTGACCCCAAGGACAAGATGATCACCTCGGAGCGTATCGAGAAACACATGCTGCGCAAGGCCTTCGACACCACCGATGAGCCCGAGACCGCTGCCTACTTGCCCGACAAGATCCTCTGGCGCCAGAAGGAGCAGTTCAGCGACGGCGTTGGCTACAGCTGGATTGACGGCCTTAAGGATGAGGCCGAACGCCAGGTCACCGACGAGATGATGAAGAACCCTAAGCCCGAATGGGGTACTGACGTTCCCGACACCAAGGAAGCGTATGTTTCACTCTTTTCTCATTTTATACTATTGAAAACTAACTTACGATATAGATACTGGTACCGTACCATGTTCGATGAGCACTTCCCTCCCTACTGTGCCGGCACTGTCGAGCGCTGGACCCCTACCTGGTCCAAGCAGAGTGACCCCAGTGGAAGGTAAGCTATTGTTCTTTGTCCCTTCCCTATTTGATTCATTTTCTCTAACAATTATTGCAGAGCCATCGCCATCCACAACCAGAAGTATGACAAGTCGGAGTAAAAGTCTGAGAGCATAAACAAAAGGATCCGTACTTTTCTGATTTAGCATTTTCTTTGGGGGATATAGCACGGGATTAGAGTATATACTGGTATATGTCGGTAAATGTTATGATCTCAATGTATTTTTCTTGTTCTTAAACCACGTGACTTTTCCCAAACATTACCGGCGGGCTTTCCCGGCAGCCGGGCAGCCGCCAATCACCGACCTCCCACTAACCCGTGCTAAGCCCCTAGGTTCCCCCAACATCATCACAACTCTTCTTTTCCTCTTTCTTCATCTCTTCATAGAACTTCTTGTCTCCTCCATCTCTAATTAGACCTCTCTCGTCAATATGTCTGCCCCCGCTGCTTTCTCCGATATCGCCAAGGCGACCAACGATGTACGCACAACTGTTGGGAACAAAACTCAGAACCTTGGCTAATACATCCAAATAGCTCCTGAACAAGGATTTCTACCACTCCGCCGCCGGTTTGTTTATCTATGGCATTGCGCCACGCATTGGAGGCTCAATAACTAATTAAATACTTTTTAGCCAACCTTGAGGTTAAGTCCAAGGCCCCCAACGGTGTCACCTTCACCGTTAAGGGAAAGTCTGCTCACGAGGGCCCCATTGCTGGTCAGGTTCGTTAAATACCCTCTCCAAATTCATTACGCAAATTGCTAACTGGTGCGCCCATAGCTCGAGGCCAAATACGTTGATGCCCCCACTGGTAAACGCCCCTTCCACAAAAAACCTCCAGATCCTGGCGCGCACAAACCCCGTCTGATGCCATTGATGTTCGGATGCGGTATTCCAATAGCGCGCCGGGTGAACCTATTTATGTTCTCGGATACCATGGTGCACAGGATTAGGCTAATATGCTCACTCCGACCAGGCCTCACCCTCACCCAGGCTTGGACCACCGCCAACGCTCTCGACACCAAGCTCGAGCTCGACAACAACATCGCCAAGGGCCTCAAGGCTGAGATCCTGACCCAGTACCAGCCCGCTAAGCAGTCCAAGGGTGCCAAGCTCAACCTGTACTTCAAGCAGCCCAACCTGAACGCCCGTGCCTTCTTCGATCTCCTCAACGGCCCCACCGCCAACTTCGACGCTGTTCTCGGCCACGAGGGCTTCCTCGTCGGTGCTGAGGGTGGTTACGACGTCAACAAGGCCGCCATCACCAAGTACTCCGCTGCCGTCGGTTACAGCGTTGCCCAGTACTCCGCTGCCATCACCGCCAGCAACAACCTGTCCCTCTTCTCCGCCAGCTACTACCACCGCGTCAACGCTCAGGTTGAGGCCGGTGCCAAGGCTTCTTGGGACTCTACCTCCGGCAACGCCGTCGGCCTCGAGGTCGCCAGCAAGTACCGCCTGGACCCCTCTTCCTTCGCCAAGGTTTGTTTTCCGCGTTTGAAGCGCTTATATAGCCATTGTGAATCACGACTAATCGCGCAATTTTCTCGCAATATAGGCTAAGATCAACGACCGTGGTATTGCCGCTTTGGCTTACAACGTCCTGCTCCGCCCTGGTGTCACCCTCGGCCTCGGTGCCTCCTTCGATACCCAGAACCTGAACCAGGCTGCCCACAAGGTCGGCGCCAGCTTCACCTTTGAGGCTTAAGCGTCTGGATCTTCAGCCTTCCAGGAACCTGACAGATGACCCAACATCTTTCGGGAAAACTTTTGTAAACTTCAGTTACTAGTTCATTCGTCTTGCTGATTCGCCAGAACGATGATCATAGTGGCGGAGGTTACTTCCAGATAATAACCATGTGTGTTGTCGTAGATCTTCTGCTTGATCACCATTCTGTATATCAAATCCAACTGTTTCCTTTGTTGAGCTATCCGATTGATTCATATGATATAAAGCACCCACGAGGTGCTTGTAGCCATGCGTACTTGAACTTGAATTATGTATGTATATACCAGAAACTATGGTATCCAAGGATCTATGTTCCAACAAAGTAAAAACAACTCCGTCAAGATGAAGTTGCCCTCTGTTTCCTCTTCTTATCCCCCCCATCAACAGCCTTAACCGACCGCCAAAAGTTCACAACAACAAGCATAACAATCAAACACCCGGAACAAAGAAAGAACCTTGAAACTGTCTGATCAACCCTAGGATCAGGAGCACCTTTGTCCTCATCAATCTTCATAGCCCCCTTCCTCCTCTCCCTCCTCCTCCTATCCTCTGCCGCCTGCGTCCTGAAATGACTCTGCGCATTAAAATGATTCAACGGATTCCGACGAATAAACCCCTCCCAATCCTCAGGATCAGCATGTTTCGTCCCAGCGCCAGCGCCAGCACTAGTCCCGAACCCCGTCCCACCACCACCACTACCAGCCGCCCATCCCTGCGCCTGCCTCCCCGTCTTACCATATCCACCCTGCTCGTAAAAACTCGGCGGTGCACCGTGGAATGCAGTGCGCCGCTTGCTCAATCCACTGGCGGGCCGCGAGCCGGCGTAGCTGCTGTGGCTGCCCATCGGGTGTTGGTGGCTGTGGGCTTGGGAGGCGTGTTGAGGGGTGTGGAAGCCGTGGTCATGGTCGTAGGTTGCGCGTTTTGAGGCGTTGCCGAGGACGTTGTAGGCGGCGGAAATGCGGGCGAAGCGTTGGCCTGCGTCTGGGTCTGAGCGGTTGCGGTCTGGGTGGTGGCGCATTGAGAGGGCATAGAATTGTCTAGGGGTTGGGTAAGGATTAGCGATATGCGTGGAATTGGAGATGGAAGGTTGTTGGGTGTGGGTGTGGTGGTGGTGTACTTTTTGATCTCCGCTGCTGAAGCGGTTATGGGGACGTCGAGGATTTCGTAGAAGTTTGGTTCCCGGGCCCGGGCCCAGGCTGGGTTACTGGTTGAGAAAAAGGATATAGGTGGCTTTGAGACCTGCTGTGATCGCTGATGTGGGTGTAATTGTGGTCGGAGGGGTTGTGTTGAGATGCTCCGGTAGGTTGAAGGGGAGGGAGAGAGGGTCGCACGCGGGAAGAGGAAAATCGCTGTTACTTGAGGTGGAGGCATTGTGAGGTATGGGGTATTTGGAGGGCGTTATATCAAAATAACTAGGAAAATAAGAGCCTGGCTGGGAGGCGAGAGGAGGGGTGGAAGAGCGAGAGAAAGACGCGGGAGATGGGAGATCGGAGGTGAAGATCGGAGTGGCGTCACTGCGGTTCGAAGCTGATCGACTGCATGAGCTTACCACGTATTTACTACTGGCTATTGGCAGATTCTACAACAAAGGATCACTTTAATGGCCTCTTTAAATGAAATAACAAATTTAATATAAATCCCCTCCCCCCCCAGCTTGGCAGCATTGCAGCTCCAACTGATGATCAGATTAGATAAGAGATCGAAGCCCTGTTTAGTTATGCCGTTTCGGGCATTAACTCCTTGATCCAATGAGAACTCTCCTTGACCGGCTTGGAATATCCAAGGATCCACATGTTGCGAGATTATTGTTTCTTTCGTTCCAGAGGTTGCATATGCTCTTCATGAGCTTCCACTCGGTGATATACTTCCCATTGTAGCTGGTGGAATCGTTGATGGGAACCGCGAGCGTGTGCTGCGGCATGGCTCTTGAAGCCTCTGAGGGTGGTTACGGGGACTTGGTTCCTCAGGACTGAGTCGAATTTCTTTCCTGCTTCTTACCGAGATAGAATCTTTGAGATATTTGATGGACGCCAACTACCGGTTAGACTGAGGGTTTGTTGATGAGATCAGGGGACTTAATGTCTGGCCGAAAGCTCACGATCGCCGGTGCCTCAGGAATAAGGTATATGGAAATGAGAATAATATAAGGAGACCAAGATAGGCACATTAGCCAACAGAGCAGCACATGCAAATGCGCGGGAGTGTCCAATGTACCCCGGTTGCAGTTGTGCTCCATGCCGAAGGAGTAATCTGAAGACGGCTCCTTAATAAAACAATATCTTCAATTGATGGACTAGAAGTCTCAAAAAGTATTTGGAGAATTTCCACTCTGCCTAGATAGAGTGCTTTCTCGAAAAGTTAATCATTCCCATGATGTGACGCGGGTACAACATCAAAGCCCTTGTTAATGAGGTATTTTATGACATTGTCTCGTTCAAGCGCGAGAATCAGTGAAAGGGGGCAGCCATTGAGATCCCAATTCCCATTTATATCTATCTCTTGAATGAGTGCGGGATAAGTCACGGAGACGCGAGACGCCATTCGCTTCTCCTGTCCAGCGATTTCATGTACCACATTCAGAATGACATCGGTATCAAAAGCAATGCCCTGCTCGAAAGCGTAATTGATGAACGGCTCATTGCTGCTTTCCAAGGCAAGTGAAAATGGAAAAAGGCGGACAATTTCCATAGCCGCAGGAGCTTGAGCAACATGCTGTAAAGGGGCCTTCCTCGAACGGCACCAAACATTGGGATCACAACCTGCTGCAAGCAGAATTTTGATGATGGAATATGCCTCTTCCTGACGGCCAAGCATAATGATAGGTCGCACAAGTCTCTTCCCTCGCCCACGCAGCGCTTGACAAATCCTCGTTCAATTAAAAGACTGACAACTGAGGTATGACCCTCTAGCACTGCCACAGACAATGTGTTTCCGACGACAACAAGGTAACTAGTATCAATACTAAAGCAGTTCGCAGTGACCGTTAAATTTGGGCCTATTCCGTCATACTTCTAGTAGCAATTCAACGGGAAGCTGAAGTAGCGACATGGCTTGTTAGTAGACAATAGTAGACAACGTGAAAGATGTTAGATAATTTCTGTCTTCTATAGACGATAGTAGATGCCTGAGATAGATTTCTGAGTCGATGTCTACAGATTGACTCATTCCAAGGTTGAGTATAAATTTCAGGGTCGTCATCACGAGGACAAGTTGTCGTAGTCCATTCGATGTACTCCGTAATAGGTCCAGGAACATTACCGCCAAGGAAATCTCCAAGAAAATCTCTTATCTTATCAGCAAAAATCTTTCCCCGAGATCCGACATTCCCCTCTTTTGCCTTTGAACATATAACTTGTCAATTGTCACCTTCAAAATGGCAGCTCAGACTACAGAGAAGTTAGATCAGTTGGACTGTGAGATTCTCAAACTTCCTGTTTGACTTATGTGTGACTGATCAGATAGCAGTGAACGTCCAAGCCGCACCCACGGCAGACCAGGTTCCCGCTGAGGCGGAGGAGGACTCGGACGACGCCCCAGACGGCGAGGGTGCCGCGGAGGCTGGAGCTGCTGGAGGTGAGTTTTATAGTTTATCGAAGTTTCTTTCCGTGGCCGCGCCTCCAGAACACCGCCCCACCCCACCCCCACAGAAACCGGGTTGAACTAACAGCGGGGTCAACTCTAGCCGACAAAAAGAAGAAGAAGAAGAAGCCCAAGAAGAGAAGCAAGAAGAAGGGTGGCGCCAAGGTTCAGAGCGAGCCGCCCCGTGTCCCCGTGTCCACCCTTTTCCCCAACGGCCAGTACCCCGAGGGCGAGATCGTCGAATACCTAAATGACAATGCCTACCGTACCACCAACGAAGAGAAACGATACCTCGATCGCATGAACAATGACTTCCTGGAGGAATACCGCCAGGGTGCCGAGGTTCACCGTCAAGTCCGCCAGTATGCGCAGAAGAACATCAAGCCTGGCCAGACTTTGACTGAGATCGCGGAGGGTATCGAGGATTCAGTGCGCGCCCTGACCGGCCACTCAGGTCTGGAAGAGGGCGATAACCTTAAGGGTGGCATGGGCTTCCCTTGCGGTCTGAGCATCAACCACTGCGCTGCGCATTATACCCCGAACGCGGGCAACAAGATGGTTCTGAACCAGGGAGATGTGATGAAGGTTGACTTCGGTGCGCAGCTCAACGGCCGCATCGTGGACAGTGCTTTCACCATGACTTTTGACCCAGTGTACGATCCTCTTCTCGCTGCTGTTAAGGACGCCACCAACACTGGTATCCGGGTAAGAACCCCTATTCTTCTTCGTTCCAAGCAGAGCTGACGGGTTTTTAGGAAGCGGGAATTGACGTCCGTATGAGTGATATCGGTGCCGCCATTCAAGAAGCTATGGAGAGTTACGAAGTTGAGCTCAATGGCACGATGCACCCCGTCAAGTGTATCCGCAACTTGAACGGTCACAACATTGACCAGCACGTTATTCACGGTGGTAAGAGTGTGCCTATCGTCAAGAGCACCGATCAGACCAAGATGGAAGAGGGTGAAGTTTTCGCCATTGAGACTTTCGGTAGTACCGGTAAAGGTTATGTGCGAGAGGAAGTAAGTTTATACTATAGTTACTGGGCCGAAAACCAAAGCTAACGTGGCACCAGATGGAAACATCGCACTACGCTCTCGCCTCCGACGCTCCTAACGTTCCCCTGCGTCTTTCTTCTGCCAAGAACCTGTTGAATGTGATCAACAAGAACTTTGGCACCCTTCCTTTCTGTCGCCGTTACCTTGACCGTCTGGGTCAGGACAAGTACCTTTTGGGCGTAAGTTAACTATGAAGTTCATAAGCGAAACACTGAAGCTGACGAATATAGTTGAACAACTTGGTTTCTTCTGGAATTGTCCAGGACTACCCTCCTCTTTGCGATATCAAGGGCTCATACACTGCCCAATATGAGCATGTATGTTTCTATTTTGGGATTTCTCCACTTGGACCGTTTACTGACTTTGTTTTAGACGATTGTGTTGCGCCCGAATGTGAAGGAGGTTATTAGCCGTGGTGACGACTACTGATGTATTTCATAGATATACGTAAATACTAAAAGCACCTTCGATGATCTCATTAGTAATGTATTTTAATGTATTGGAGAGTTAACAAAACGCTGATATCAAATGTCGATGCCAAGCCTCAACCCATCAAGTATGCCGTGTCGCCCCACGTGGAACGACCGGCTCCCGACTTTTTAAATCAGCTCCTATCTCATGGCTTAAACTTCGACACATACCAATTTACATCATGTCTACGGTTGAAACAGCTTTGCCGCACCTCCGGGTGTCGGCAGCCAAGGCATCTGAGAAAACACAACCAGAGTCCACCAGAATCCAGGCACCGGAAGCTTTGGTCGATGACCACTTTTTCTGGACATACACCGAAGAGCCACATCGCTCAAGACGACAGGCAATTATCAAGGCCCATCCGGAGGTATGTGATTTTGTTTTGCAAGCCCTCATGGTGTTATGGTGACTCCGTGAAGACTTCATGCGCAGCTTTGGCGGAGTTCCTGTATACACCTGGCCACTTTCTGGGCCGGCAGACAGCTTCAACAAATGCAATTGCAAAGCTGATTCATGTTATTATATATCTATAGGTCACCAAACTATGTGGCCCTGAGCCCCTTACCAAATGGGTCGTCCTCGGCGTCGTGTCCCTGCAACTCACCTGTGCCTACCTCCTCCGCAACACCTCAATGCTCGATTGGCGGTTCCTGGCCACAGCATACGTGATCGGTGCGACCTGCAACCAGAACCTGTTCCTTTCCATCCATGAGATCTCTCACAACCTGGCGTTCCGGTCCGCGTTCGCCAACCGATTGCTCGCCATTTTTGCCAACCTCCCTATCGGAGTGCCATACAGCGCAGCCTTCAGAGTACGTACACACTTGCACATGTCAGGAATAAGCCGGACACCACGAGAAGTCATGAACTGACAGAATACCCCTAACAGCCCTACCACCTGACGCACCATAAATCCCTTGGCGTAACAGGCCTCGACACCGATCTTCCCACAGCAGTGGAAGCCTTCTTGCTAGACTCCGTCCTGGGCAAAACCTTCTTCTGCACCTTCCAAATCCTCTTCTACGCCCTGCGCCCAATGTTCATCTACAGCCCACCCTTCACCTACGTCCACCTCCTGAACATAGCCGTCCAAGTAAGCTTCGACTACGCCCTTACCAAACTATGCGGCGGCAGCCTCCAGCCAGTGCTATACTTCATAATGAGCTCATTCCTCGCCGGTTCCCTACACCCCTGCGCGGGCCACTTCATCGCAGAGCACTACTTCTTCTCTAACGTCGAGGGTGGCGGCACAGAGTCCCTGACTGAGTTGAAGAAGAACGAGAAGTCCAAGGCCCCGCACCCGATGGACTCCCTACCTCCCCCGGAGACATACTCGTACTATGGTCCGCTCAATATCCTCACTTACAATGTCGGCTTGCATAATGAGCACCACGATTTCCCTGCTATCCCCTGGACCAAATTGTACAAGCTGCATGAGATTGCGAGCGAGTTCTATGAGCCGCTGCCTTGCCATCGGAGCTGGGTTTGGGTTATTTGGACTTTCATCTTGGATAAGAATGTTGGTCCGTGGTGTCGTGTGAAGCGCGCACAGGGTGGTCAAATTGTTGGTGGTGGGAAGCGCTGGAATGGGCGTGGTGGTGAGGGCATCTCGGCTGCGTCGGCGGGTCCGGCGGGCGAGGAGGGTGAGGGGTGGAAGGAGAGCGAGATCCAATGTTAGATCTTGTTCTGCCTTTTGAGTATAACGTCTGGTGTTGAACTCCAGCTGTTCAATTACATACATTATTGGGTGGAGTTAGGTACTAGTATTTGTTAGATATATTTGTTTACAATGAAAATGGCCTGTCATTTCCAGTGCCTGTGTCCGTAAAACCGTACAAGGTGCAAAGACAGGACCGAATGACTGCAATCACCCATACCGAAGGAGGGAGACGAAATTCCTTACTACGACATGGAATTAGCTCTAGTAGCAATCACATGAATTATCCGAGCCTGAGAATGTTTTATGAAACAAAGAGAAACGAATCGAGAGGCTGAGTCCGTTCATCATAAAATGATATTAGACAAGACAGGAAGAGTAAAGAAACAAAGCAAAGCACAACAAAGAAGAGTATGAGACAGACGGATGTCTGGCCTCAAGGGAAGTTTGGAAGTCCAGAGCGACATGAAAGTAGAGTATTGATACTGGGGGGTAAATCTCAAAGCAGACGCAGAAAAAGGCTGATGCAAGAACAGATAGAAAACGGTATGCTCTTCAAGAGACAAAAAGTAGATGGGAATTTGGGAGAGGCGTCAGCGACGTTAGACCGGAAGCATTGAGCACGCGGGGAGTAGGCGCAATGAAGCCAGATAGACCGTGAGAAAGCGACAAACGGAAGACCGGATTAGAAGAAGAAGTACGCGATCAGGAAGCTGAGCAGGCAGAGGCATGCTACACCCTGGATCGAAACTCCACCGGCCGTTGGCGCTTGTGACTGCTGCATGGTGGCAGGCACAGCCGTGCCGGTAGCCTCTCCGCCGGTCTTCCGCTGCCGCAGTCCTTGGTCTGCGAGTCGGTCCTTCAATCGCTGGATCTGTGCGTTGGCTTCGGACAGCTGGGATTTGAGTTCGTCGCTTGAGGGAAGAGCATTGGCGACGGCGGACCTGGCGTTTGACATGACAGATGCGGGCTCGCCCTGGGGAGACAGGGACTTCTTCTCGGAGAAATCGGGAGCAGGGATTGGGGATGGTTCATCGGATTCGATCTTCTTGGGGGCCGGGGTCTGGAAGTTTGCGCCAGCAGGAGAAGTGTACGCCGGAGGTTCCTCATCATGCACCTGATGAAAGTTAGACTATGTGTGTAGTGAGATGAATGCTGAGGGGCATACCGAGTCGTTGGCTGGAGCGGCATCTGTTGCTAGGTAGACAACTCGGATCTTGCGCTCAACCACATCGGCCTTGGGAGTTTGGTCGAACTAAATGTATATATCAGTTGTTGGTCTTAATGTTCGCGATCCACCATTCTGGACATACAATCTGGCCAACGCTGGCATCCTCCAAGCCACGGGAGACAGGGACGGCCTGGACCAGGAACTTATCCTTGCACTTGGCATCTGCAGCAGGATCCTCCTTCATAGCCTGAAGCAACACTTTCGAGACATGTTAACCAGGAGTAATTCAGGCGTACCAGCTTATCAACTAACCTTGGACTTCGACAGTCTTGCCCGGCTGGATGTGGCCAGAGTTGGGTCGCACACAGTAACTGGGAATATGGTCAGATAATAAATCTCGAGTATAGACATTGCGCAGAGCATCGTCGGAACATACTGCTTGGGAGCGGTGGTTTTGACCTAGTGCGCCGAAGACATATGTTAGTACTGTTTGTATCCCGCGACAAAGGCCGGGGGGAGTGTCACACATACCTTGAAGACCACAGATTCCTCGTTCGGGTTGCTCAGGCGGAGAACCTGGCATACTTCATGATTGAAGGGACCTATTGTCAAGATATAAGCTGTTGATCTAGGCTGGCCTGAGACAGGTTCGGGATTCGGCACTCACGCTTGAAGCCCAACTCGGAGGGCTCGATTTGGATAGTCATCGTGCACGTGGTCAGTATTAAATAGGTGGGAGGAGGGAACAAAGACGACAAGAGCACAGATGACTGCACGCGATTAGATTCCGATTGGAAAATAAAGGTGTGGGAGGGTTATCAGGTCTAAGCTGATGTGATGCCTCAGGAGTTTGATTACACATAGACACTTTCGCCCGGGGGAAAGCTGGATGAGTCAGCAAACAGTCAGGTGATGTCACTATTGACAATCTATACATTGTATAAGTGAAATTTGTCTTTGTTCATTTTGTATTCTAATGGGACCTTAGCTACGAGACTGTATATCTTGTTCCCGTGTGCCTCATTACTCTTCCCCGGCATTGTATCACATCCTTGCAACTTGAGTGAACATCTCCCTCTACCTGCATGTGATGCTTGGGGTGGGGTCAATTCCCACTTCTGTTTGAATTGTATGTATTTAATATTCTATTGATAGCTCAGACAGTGGACCCTGGTAATTTTATTACCCAGAATAAGCCAGCATATGCTTAATTTTCATGGTTGAAATGCAAAGAGCTGTGGCCTTCAGGTATACATCTATATTTCTGTACCTCAATCAATTTATGCCGACCTCACCATTCATTGCACGTTGAGAGATATCATCCAGCTTGTCAATAATATTGTAGTAAATGTCCTCTATTCTTGGAGCTTAAACAGTAAAAATTCACCTACAATGTAGGTACATCCTACCGTAGAACTCACGTCCTTAGTAAAGACCTCTTGTAGTCGACTATACACTGCTAGTTACTGACCATATATATATATGTATATATCAGTAGTGTGCTGTACATGAAACTTGACAGGTTCCCCTGAATACATTCTGCACACCACTGTCAAGCCCTGGATGTTCAAGTTGCGTGCCTACATCCGTGGACCTGGCCACACAGCCACACAGCCACCCAAATACATAAGTGGGAGATGCGTGCATAGGTAGTACTAGTCACGTACAACATAGATATAATTGACATTGTCACATTTTTAATGGCCTATAAATGAAATATCCCTCAGACGCGCCATCGAGAAGAAGTTGATGCCATGGAAACCCGGGGAAGGCCAGTGGGCCTTATCGCTCGCCGCCTTTCTGATACGTCACCCACTCTGTTCTCACTCACTTCTAAACTTATCTGATTCAATCTTGACAAATTGCCCTTATTTTCCAAGCGCTTGCTCCCGTCATATTTTTTTTTTTTCATATTCCGACAGTCATCATGGCATCGGACCTGGACCAGCTCATCGAAATGGGCTTCGACAAAGAGCGCGCCCAGCTCGCAGTGACGAAGACTGGAGGCTGTAAGTCTCTGCCCCTTCCCCTCATATCCACAACTATCATCTGACTGACTGGATAGTGCAAGGTGCACTGCAGTGGCTCGAGGACAACCAAGACAAGTCATTGGAGGAGATACAGACACAAGCCCAAGAAGCACAAGACGAAGAGGGCCCCGCACTTCAACCAGGGGAACAACCGCGCAGCTTAGTATGCAACGAGTGTGGCAAGAAGTTTCGAGGCCAGTCACAAGCCGAGTTTCACGCATCAAAGTCGGGACATGTTGATTTTGCTGAGTCTACGGAGGAGGTTGCTCCATTGACCGAGGAGCAGAAGAAGCAGAGACTGACAGAGCTGCGGGAGAAGCTCGCAGCGAAGCGTGCAGTGCTCTCGGAACAGGACAAGATTGACAAGAAGAAGAATGAGGTGAGTATCCCTGGCCCTGGTCCCGACAATTAGTGACTGGGAGTATTTTGCTGACATTTATTACCAGGAAATCCGAAGAAAGAGCACCAAGGAAAGCCAAGATGCCAAGGAAGAGCTCGAGCGGAAGCAACAGTTGAAGGAGGCAGCTAAGAAGAAGAAGGAGAAGCAGGATGAAATCGATGCCAAGAAGCGCATCAAGGCAAAGATCGAGGCTGACAAGGAGGAGCGTCGCTTGAAGGCAGAGAAGCAGCGAGCTGAACGTGCCGGTGTAGCCCCTCCTCCCCAGCCCGATGCCGCCCCGGCACCCACTTCCTCCGGTCCCGCTACATCTAAACCCGCCTCGGCCTATACGGAAACTCGGTTGCGATTCCAGTCATCCAAGGGTAACATCATGAAGACACTGCCCGTTGATACCACGTTGTTCGAGGTTGCCGCCGCATTGAGGGAACAGGATGGGGTTGAGGTCCAAAGCTTCGTGCAGAATTTCCCCAAGAAGGTGTTTGATAATGAGTTCTTCGGAGAGACCTTGAAGGAACTAGGACTTGTACCTAGTGCCAGCCTCGTCATCCAATGATTGATGCCATGCCCTTTCTCCTCCGAAAGGATAGATAGCTTTTACAAAGAATGAGAAATGAGATGAAACTCCGAGTAATAGTTTACATACATGAATCATACTCCCATCAGTCTTTAACTATCTTTAGATACTGCGTTTTGTTTACTTGAAGCGGCTTCCAACCAGGTTGGTTCATGAAGCTCTAATCTTATCTTATCGCGTTATCATCATGTGATATCGCGATGAGCCGCGTCTTGGTGCCTAAAGACAACGCGTTCACCCCGTCATTACATCTAATATCGAACTCGACACTCGTTCACAACAAAACATGCCAGCGTGAGACTCAATGCCCAGGACATGGAAATCCTCTTATCTCATGGAACGGAGCACTGATAGTGGTGATTTCAGCGTTGGCGACCAACATCGCGGTGGTGCGGGATCTATTATGATGCCGAACGCTTCAGGAGCCGCCGCGGCAAACCCCTTCGAGGAACCGCAACGCCGCATTAGCGAGTACACCGCACAAGAAATCGCAACATTACAAGCCCGTCTTGATAAGAAATTGGGACCCGAATACATCTCTGCGCGACCTGGTGCTGCGGGGCAGAAAGTGCATTATCTCTCCGCGGATAAATGCATTAACCTCGCAAATGAGGTATTTGGATTTAATGGCTGGTCCAGCTCGATTCAGACAATTCAGCTTGATTTTGTGCGTCGATCATATGTTTACCTGCTAGGTGGGTATTGACTAACGCTTACCAGATCGAGGAGAATCAAAATACAGGCAAGATTAGTCTGGGACTTTCAGTCATTATGAGAGTCACCTTGAGAGATGGAACGTTTCATGAGGTAAGGAAATCTCTTCGACATGTGTATTTCTGGTGGAGTGTTATGTTAACTTCAGCTCTCTTCTAGGATATTGGCTACGGGCATATTGAGAACTGCAAGGGCAAGGCCGCAGCGTTTGAGAAGGCCAAGAAAGAAGGCACAACAGATGGTTTGAAACGTGCATTGAGGAACTTTGGCAACGTGCTTGGTAACTGTATCTATGACAAGGATTATGTGGCCAAGGTGACCAAAGTCAAGGCAACGCCTGTATGGTCCCCGATGTCATCAAATTCACCATGTGCCATGCTGACTATTAGAATAGGGAAGATGGGACGTTGAAGATCTCCACCGTCACCCTGACTTCGTGCCACCTAAGAAACAGGTGTCTCTCCCCAAACGTGTACCGGAAGAGGATGATCTACCCCTTCCTCGTCCAATAAATCAAGCGAGAGGCAATAATCTCGCGAATAATGTTTCGTTTGAGGGGGATGGAGAGTTTGGCAGTATGTGTTCGAATAACACGCAACCTTGTATCTTGGCTAATGGTCTCTAGGTGATCTCTTTGATGAAGCCGATTTTGGGGTAGCTGAGACTGATGCAGGCAATCCCGATGAGATCGTAGTAGATACAGAAACCCACAGAGAACAGCAGCGACCTGTGCCAACGAACGGACCAGCACCTCAGCGAGGACCGCCTGTTCGAGCAGGATTTAACCCCGCTGTCGTGACACCATCAAAACCTGAGCGATGGAACGGCTCGGGCCAAGCGGGACGACCTAATCCCATAAATGCGCGACAGAACCCATCGGCTATCCCATCTCCAGCTGCAGTACAAGGTCGACCAATGGGCGCTCAAGGTCCTGGTCAAAATCTTGCAAACCCCAGACCATCAGTTCCAGCTCAGCAACCAGTTGGTCAGAATGCTCCACAAAACAACATCACCCAGCCTCCGATCAAAAGGGACTCTGGCCCCGGAGGATTTCAGGGGAACCAGGATATGAACCCACCGCAAGGTACACCGTCAACCGGTTTCTTTTCCGCCAGAGCAGTGGATCTCCTCCGTGAAAACCCAAATTCCATACCGTCGGGAGCACCTCAATTCGATCCACACGCAGAGAGTCCCTCTATCCGCAAGACGGCTGGTGTAGACCATACCAAAAGCATTCCGATCGCTAGGCCGATGCTGTCGAGCGCCTCCCCGGCACCCTCTCCAGCACCACCCAACAATAACAACACCACACGCGATTTTGTCAATCCTGCATCGGATCTGCAGCGCAGAGTCGGTGCTCCTGGTGGTGGAGTTGGCAGCCCGGTAAGCAGAGGTCCTTCTGTCTCATCGTATCGACCATTGACCCGGCCCAACCTCGACCAAAGGAGCGTTTCCAATCCAGCGGCGGCAAACCGAGGTAGCATGCCACCTCAGCAGAATCTGAATGGAAAACGGCCTCCATTGGTGGACGTCACCAATGCCGATGCTACACCTGGCGTATACGTCCCGGCAACCGGTCCAAATGACCCCAAACGGCCCCGAGTCTCGGATGCTGACTCTGGCCCTTCTTCTGGGCCTCGCCCACCAACGCAGTAATGAACATGACCTGATTTGTCTTTTATGCCCTCGATGGTGCATTACCGCGCAATTTCCAACTGCAAGCGTTCCTACTTCGTCGAGATTTCCTTTCCTTTTCTTTTCTTTTCTTTTTTTTTTTTTTTTTTGCCTTGACCTATAGCCCGCCGCGTCATGATATGGGTTACTACGGCAGGGAAGTATGGCAAGCGTTCCGGAGTCAAAGCAAAATGGATACACAGGATCCCAGCGGGGAAAATACATGGGTTGACTGGTTTTTGATACATTCTTTCACATTAGCATATTTCATTTTTGTTATCCTAAAACGACCCTGGAGCATGCCGGACTTCAGGACCACCGTTGCCTAATGGGGATTCAGTGCATACATGCGCCATATCCTTATTAGGCATCAATGACATTAGTACCGAAAATGAACATCATCAGCGCCAACTAGCTCCCGGAACTAAGAATTGACATCATGTTCGATACAAAAGTACGAAGAAGGATTGGAAAATTCTATGCCTAAGTTAGATGCCAAGATACGGGTACCACAAAAGGGAGCAGAACAGCCAGGGCCTTCTTCCGCTCCCCGAGGATGAATCCCGGACCAATCGCGAAATACAACAAATATCTGTGTCTGCAGGACGGTCATAGAGAAAAAAAGTACTCAAGTGTGCAATTTGGCCTTTTGGCCTTTTTTTCCTGTTTGCTTTTATTACTTGTAATATTTTATTTTTCTCATGGCTTGCATTACCCTTGTCCCCCGTCTTCCTAACGGGGGGTTGGGTGTCTATACTGAGGTAGACAAGTGTACTTGTGTTGATGCTTGTGTTTGCTATGATTTACATTTGATATTGCTCAAAGCCGACCATTGCCTCGTATACTACTGGGAAGTGATTTCAAGATGTGATCCTTTGGTGTATTTGGAACTGATAGCAAGGGTGTCGGAGTGCCCTTGAATTGATGAATTAATAGATATTAAAAAAGAAATAGAAAAGGCAATAAATAAAAAATCCCCAAAGAAGTAAATAGACCTGATCTACAAATAGTGGAACAGGGATCCTGGATCGAGTCCCCAAGCCCAAGCTACTGCATGTCCTTTGGATGTGCCAGCCTCGCTATACGGATCATAGGATCGGGTTGACGGGCAAGCGCTCAGGCCACGAGTTGACTTATCGGCGTTTATTCTCCGACTTTTTGCGTTGGCGCTCGAAGGAGATTGCGATTGTGCGTGTCCAAGATCGGTAGTAGACAAAGGTCCTTAGGGCTTGTTACTTGAAGGTGATTGCCACGTACTGTATGAGTTGGTATATTTAAAGAATGGATATCCACATCCATCCAGGCATAAGTTCACTTTTTTTTGTCAAATTCCACTGCTCATAGACATTATCTGTGAGAATATGACTTATGGTTTCGTCCTCTTTGCTCTGGCCTTGGTTGTCCTGGCCTTGGTTGTCCTATACTCGAGAACCCAAACATGTGGGCATACCGCCTTGAAGATCACACAAGTAAGGAAGTCAAGTATACAGTATACTATGACAGTATTTTCTAACCTCGCTAGGAAAACATGATCAACATCCCTCCTTGGAAAAGATCTTATGGCCTGGATGTACAGCAGCCTTATAGACGTGAATCCTATGAATTCGAAGGCAAGCAAGCTTCTTTACAACTCACCAGAGCCATGCCTAACTGTGTTCAATCGGGTTTAGATGTGTAAATGGGGGATTCCAAGGCATGGCACACGGACCTGGTCCGGTGGCAGTGACATGACATGTAAAACGAGATTAGGGCGACAAGGTAGAACTAGGAAATTGGGAAACCTCTATATTCCATGGTCCATGCTTCATAGCACTAGGAAAGTAAACAATTGGAATTTTAATATGTCCTGTGCTGGATTTCATCCCGAAAAACAGGCACATTCTACAAGTTCAACGTATCACAAAGAGCAAAGACTGGCAAGATTGCTCTTCTCCAAGCACCGTGCACATCGCACACCTTGTCGATTCCACACATGTCGATATTGATATAGACCGTTATGTACTTTGGCTAGATTCCCACCGGAAGACGGCTCGTCTTCCCCGATCGAACTACTGGGTTTCAACGTGCTGAAAACAGTTCCTGACCGCTGCCGTAGCGGGGATAGTGAGCCGGGGAAAAAGAAAAGAAAAGAAAAAGAAACAAGAATGAACAAGTACAAAAGGACTGTGACAGGTCGATTCAAGTACAAAAGTACCAGAAACGGCCGGAATGGCGGATTCCGACAAATCATGCAGGTTTGGATGGACGATCTATTCGATTTTGTGAAGTTACGTTGAAGATCACAGCATATGCATAAACTGAAACATATTTTCTTTTCCCTGTGGAATTTGGTGAGAACAGTTCGTATTCTAAATTTAAGCACTAAGCTACGTGGGGTAACTGCCACTCCATCACTTGCTCTCAAGCAGCGGCAACTTCGAAACCACCTTATCAGCCAGAGCAATAAGAGATCCGGCATTGGTAATATCCAGCGTGGTCAGCTCCGATCCCAACTTCATTCTGATCCAATTCCGGAGCTCTACAGCCGACAGTGAGTCGAGCCCGTACGCGATCAATGGTCGTGCTGGCTCCGGCTCGGTCTCCAGCCTCAGAGTCTTGACGAATTGTCCCGAAATCACCTCTAGACCGGCTTTGCCCAAGGCAGACACATCAGCGCCCGATTTATGCATCAAGCGGAATGCCCGAATTGCCTGGTCCACCGAGTCGCTGCCATCGCTGGCCTCTACGCCGCCTGTGGCATCCGCACGGCTGTTGAACAGATAGCTGAAGCGAGGATCGCTCTCGACGCCTGTGCCTTCGACGGGCAGCGGGAACCCAACTCCGGTGATTGTCTCGGTGCTGGTGGACGCGCTCAGCGGGGCGGCAGGATCTTGTTGCAGAATCGAGTAGGTCAGGATCTTGCGCAGCGTGCCTTCATTGATGGGCGTCCAGATGCGTTTGTCGAATCGTGCGTTCAATTCCGTGCCTTGCTCAGCCGCGTAGCCTACGTCCTCAATCAGGCCGAGGTCCACGGTGTTGGCGGGGAGTCCTAGCTCGTGGCGGTATCCAGCGAAGGCATCTAGGAAGGTGTTGGCGGCGGCGTAATTGGCTTGGCCTTTGTTGCCGACGATGCCCGATGTACTGGACAGCAGGGTAAAGAAGGATAGGGGGGTCTGGTGGAGCTCAGCGGCACGGTGCAAGTTCCAGGTTCCCTGGACCTTGGGCCGGATGGCCGTGTGATAGTCGTCGAGAGTCATCGTCTCGTAGGGTTTATCCCGAAGCACCATGGCTCCCTGAACAATGCCGGCAATTCGAGGACTGGCCGATCGGAACAGCTCGCTGACCACTTCGAAATCGGCCACATCACCCTTGGCCTCGATCACGGCGCAGCCGTGGAAGTTGCAGCTGCGGATGATCCGAGCGGAGGCTTCGTCGTTGATTCCGCTTCTGCTACTGATTATAATATGTTTCGCTCCATGTCGTGCCAGGTGAATTGCTAGTGTTCCGCAGGCACCCTTCAGGCCTCCGACAATCAGATAGGAAACAGTTGGATCGAGCACAAGGCCCCGGATGGCCGGCCGGATGGGGACTTGCACATCGTCATTTTCACCAAGGGAGATGACGATCTTGCCAATATGCCGTCCACTTCGGATGTGTGATAGAGCCCCAATGACATTATCGAATGGGAAAGTGGTGATAGGAGTGATGGCTTTCAGATGTCCTGCATTAATCAGGACGAAGAGCTCGCCGAACAGCCTGCGAAGCAAATTAATCACCGCTCGTTAATTGCGTCAAGTATGGGACCATGGACGAACCTTGCGATGACCTTCTCCGTCATGTCTCTCACAAATGACAAGTCCACGGCTCGGAAAGAGCAGTTTCTATCAAATGGCTCCATAGCCAAAGTGTTGCGATCGATGATATCTCTCTTACCAATCTCGACCATTGTGCCGCCGTCGGCGACAATCCTCCAGGACGCATCGAGGAGCTCTCCAACCAAGGAATTGATGATACAGTCAATACCCCTGCCACCTGTCTCTCGCAAGATCTCTTGCTCAAACTTGGTGTTACGAGAGGAAAACATTCGGCTTCGGGGAATACCATAGGTGCTCTCGAGGAACTGGCGCTTTTCTTCGGTGCCAACGGTGACATAGATCTGTGAAACGGAGGTTAGTGGATCCTTATTGTTGAAGGGGTCGAGGAAAATTACCTCTGCCTTTTTGTACTGAGCCAACTGGATGCAGGCAATTCCGACACCACCAGTTGCAGAGTGGATAAGAACAGACTATAATACTGTCAGCATGGAATTCATCTCCACTCCCGTGGTGGTTCTTCTTACCTGACCCTCTCTCAAATTTGCCATGTGGTACATGGAGTAGAGGGAGCAGAGGTATACCGAAGGCAGAGTTGCCGCTTCCTCGAAGGTCATCGAGTCTGGGATTATGTGACAACGGTCGACATGGGTACGAACACGGTTCGCATAACTTCCACCCTTGAGCATGCAGACACGGTCACCAACTTTGAACTTGTCAACTCCCGGCCCAAGTCGCTTGACAACGCCGCCGCATTCGAGCCCTAGCATGTACTCATTGTCAGGGACAATTCCCATCGTGATGGCAACGTCCTTGAAATTGACACCCACGGCCCTCACTTCCACTTCAATATATCCTTCGTCCAGTGCAGGTGGACCGTTGGTGAGGACTTCGGTCTCGGACCATGTCAAGCTTTGCAAGGTCCCGAGCTGTTCGGCCCTCAGCTGCACCAATGCTTCAGTACCGTGGAGGCTCTTGACAACGGGCTCAAGGCCCTCGTCCTCGGCATGTCTGAAGTCATTGAGGGGCGCGTCTGGGGTAATGCGCTGAATTTGAAGTAGGCCGTTACGCTCCGCGTATTCCTTTTCAGTTGATTTGCCGCTCTTGATCAAACTGAGGACCTGGTCAATGGCCCAGCTAGTGGTATCGCTCAAACTGGACTCGACGTCCAAGGTGGTCAGGTTAACGTTGCCATCCTCTTGGCGCGCGACACGGAAGAATCCATGGACCATCGCATTGTCTGGATTAGTGACAGGTGACTGAGCGCCCTGGGTGACCCAGAGGAGAGGGGTACCTGAGGTGACCAGCTCCTTAATACCAGTCCATTGGTCTTCGTTAACCTTTGTGAGCACGGAGTCAAATAGTTCGTCAAGAACCACCACAATGGCTCCGTCACTCGGTTTGGAAAAGGGGTACTTTTGAAGCTCGACAGTCCATCCGACCTTCTCCAACGTGCTTTGGAGGGCGACCACTTCGGGCGTTGAATCGGCTAGAGTAGCCACAATGAGGGTCCCTTTAGGCTCGGTATCCAGCTTGCTGGTTCCCCTCGACAGATACGCCGAGTTGCTGTTTCCTGCGGTAGGGATCTCCAGGACTGAGCCAGGTCCTGTAGTTTTCACAGATTCCAGATATGTTCTGGCGGCATCTTCATCCCACGCCGCGGAACTAACAGAGCTTTGGTCCCCGCCAATGTCGATATCGAGAGGATCTCCAGGAGACGACACCGATTCAGCCGAACCGGGTGTCGGTACTCCGCTCACATTTTCGAAACTCTCCACACTACCCTCCAAGGAGTCTTTGAGAGATATCAAGAGTACGAAGGTGTCGTCGGAGAAAAGTGGCTTGAGCTTGTTGATTGAATCTTCAACGCTCAGATGGGTAGTTTGCCCCGAAGCCTTGACAATGGCAAGGTCGTAGGTCACGTCGGTGGGCAGGCCAAGGGCTTCCTTCTCCAGACTGATGCTAAGGAACGAAGCAGCGCCCTTGTCCTCGTACTTTTGCTCGACATTAACCAAGGCTTTGGCACTGGCCGAAGCAAAGTCATAACGAGAATATGCGACACGGGAGGAGGAGTCGCCATTATCCAGCCATGCGGACGAAGTATCTGTATCGTCGAGGTTAACCTCCAACACCTTGAGTGCGGGCTTCTTGTGCGCAATCAGGTCGACGATGGTATCGAGTTTTGTTGATTCCTTGTCTGGCGTAAGATGCAATATCTGATCCTGGGTCAAGAAGGTGATATCGGGCTTCCATGAGACCCCATGGAAAGTGTGTGGATCGGGCTTTGGAGGAACATCAAGCTTGATGTAGTTCAAGCCCGTGATACGAGCCACCAGTGTACCAGTCTCAGAATCGTAGACGGATGCATTCGCAACCCAGCTCTTGTCCTGATCCAGTCTTCCTCGGCCCGAGTACACGGATGTCGCGATTGATCTTCCTTGGTGCAGAACAGAGGGAACGCGGTTGATAACGAGGTCGTCAATGATGGACGGGATCATGGAGTATTTGGCTTGGATACGTTCACCCTGAGCATTGGCAGGAACGGGAGATTGTACAAAACCATCCAGAGCTGCCGGATGGATTGGGTAGTACGACTGAGGTTCGTATTTACTCTCTGGGGGAGACAGTGATAGCAGGGAGCGAGCTTTACGTTGGCCACTGACGGTTTCAATCTCCAGCATCTTCTGGAACTTGGGACCGAAGTGCATGCCAACCTCGCGCTGTACCTTGTACCAGAGCTTGGCATTCTGCGGTGACTTTAATGGCAAAGCATCTTCACCCTCGATGACCTCGTCAACGGGATCTTGAATACGGATCAGACCATAGCAGTGGTCGGACTGCACGTCTCCTTGCGGCGAGGAGATGTGGAACTCATGCCAGTTCTTGTTTCCGGGCACCTTTGTCAACGTGGTAGTGACTTTGATGGTCTTACCCTCCTCGAGAACCAAGGCGCGGATGAATCGCGCGTTGCGAACACGGTAGGAGAGATCGTTGGGCTTCAGGCCCTCTGCCTCATCAGGCTGGAGAAGAGCTGTGTATTTCTGATACAGCCCTTCCACAGCCATAGTCACGTACCCAGCCGCAGGCATAATCGCATCTCCGCCCACTTCATGATCGAGAACCCATGGTACATTGGCCACATTCAGGTGTGCCCGCCATATAGGCGTCTGCCAGGAGCTGCCCAAAAGCTTGCTCCCAAGTAGATCATGTACGGGGAATTTCCTAAACCGCCAGTCTTTGCTGGCTGCATTTTCATGCCAGTACTTGACACTGTGGTTCCATGTGTAGTTGGGCAGGTCGATCAGAGTGCGCTCGTTACCAGTGTACTGGTTCACGACCGCGAGATCGATCGGAGCACCTGCTGCCCATAGCTGGCCGGCGACGTTGAAGATCTGCTTACCTGCATCGGCCCCTCGGGCCCACGCGGCGGAGTAGGAGATATCAACTCCTCCTTTGGTTGGTCGAGCTTTCAAGATCTGGCTCACAGGCCCCGCCAACGCTCCTGATGGACCGATTTCAATGAGGAAGTTGGGAGCGTTCTCGTCTTCGAGCAATGCATTCAGTGCCCCGTCGAACTGGACTGCAGAGACCATGTTCGTCTTCCAATACAATGCATCTGCAGTGGTGGTCTTCTTGGATTGTGTGACGGACGAGAACATTGTGACATCGCTCCTTGCTGGCGTGGACGTCGACTCTGGGTGAGTCTCATTGTACGAGGAAAGCAATTGCTCATACTCTTGACCAATGACACCCATTAGTTCCGAATGATATGCCAGGTCCACCTGAAGCAGTCTGGCGAAATGGCCCGCAGCCTTGATTTCTTCAGCTAATTCCTGGAGCGTGGCCTTCTTTCCTGAGATTGTAACACTGCTTGGACTGTTGAAGCACGCAATCCATGCTGTTCCGACGTATTTGCCCAAGAACTCCTGGGCAGCTTCAGAGCCGAGACCCACTGCAAGCATGCCAAGGTCCTTTTCGATCTCGTCTTTACGGTTGAGAGCCGCCCGACCACGATAGAATGCAGCAGTGATGGCGCCGGCGCGGTCGAGGAGACCGGCTGAATAGGCTGCGACTATTTCACCGGACGAGTGTCCGACTGTGGCGCGGGGCGTGATTCCCCAACTTTCGAGAACGGCCACAAGGCATATTTGTAGAGCAGTAACCAGCGGCTGGGAAAACTCGGGTTGGCGCAAGTGCTCGGGGGTGCGCTTTTCGGTTAGTTCGGCCAACAACGACCAAGATGGTGGCTCGGGAAGAGCCTGCAAGACCTGATCGAGTCTGAAAATAGCAGCGTTAGCGAAGACTGATAATCAACCGTTGTGGAGAATAAGGCTTACTCGTCTAGGATAGATCGGGTCCATGGGAAGAATTGCAAAAGATCCTTGCCCATTTGCGGCCATTGAGCTCCCTGTCCCGTAAACACAAAGCCAATGCTAGGCGTCTGCGCACTTTTCTTTGCCACGACCCACGCCCCTTCCTTGTCTGCCAGGTCGGTATTCCTGGTTGTAAGGAAGCCTCGGTGCCAGAGCCTACTCCGTCGCTCGGACAATGTGTACGAGAGATCAGGCAGGCTGACTTTGACACGTGGGTTAATCAGGTGGTTGCTCAGGCTTGTTATACCGGCACGGAGGGAGACAGCATCATTGGCGGAGAGCACTAAAATAGATGGGCGGACGGCATCATCATCATCCTCCAGGGAGAAGTCATCGTCATCGGTCCGGTACGAAGATACATGGCGTAATTCTGTGCTCTTCGGAGCTTCAATGATGGCATGGGCATTGGACCCGCCAAAGCCGAAGGAGTTGATGGAGGCACGAAGAGGGGCGTTGGCTGGCCAGGGGATTCCGGTTCGTGAAACGAAGACCTTGTTGCCCGTGAAGTCAACTTGACGAGAGACAACTTAGCACACCGCGATGTAAGCAAAAAGGGACGGGGGCACACATACTCTTTGGACTAGGAGTGATGAAGGTAGGATTTCCGGGGATCCAGCCTTTCTCCATAGACATGATAGCTTTCATAAGTCCGGAGATACCAGCAGCTGGTTCGGAATGCCCAACATTACTCTTGATTGATCCAATGATCAAGGGCTTCTCTGCATCTCTAGTCGCTGCAAACACACTCCCCGCACCTCGCACCTCGGTCGGATCGCCCGCCTGGGTACCCGTTCCATGGCATTCTAAGTAAGTCGTGGCATTGAAGTCGGTGATTCCGGCATGTGCATATGCAGCTCTAATGGCCACCGCTTGGGACTCCGCATTCGGGGACGCGATACCCGCAGTTCTACCATTAGAATTGGACGCAGTTCCAAGAACAACGGCCCGGATGGGATCCCGATCACGGATGGCATCAGAGAGCCGTTTCACGATCACGGTGGAAACGGCCTCAGCTTTGACATAACCGTCGGCGTCCACATCGAAGGTATGACACAGGGCGGTAGGCGAATGCGCACTGCCGACGGCACCGGCATCGATAACATGCTCAGGGGACAAATATAGATTGGAAGTAGCAACTATTGCAGCATCGATGTCACGGGAGTTTAGGTAGCGAGCTGCGAGATCCAAACCCTGAAGACTACCTGAACAGGCGGTATCGAGGGTTACGGACGGGCCTTTGATGTTGAGGAAGTAGGAAAGACGGTTGGCCATAATAGTTCGGCCAATACCGAGGGCATTACCTGCGGGACGATCCTCGGGGTCCCTGGCCTGCATATCGGCGTAATCTAGGGGATGTAGTTAGTGATGCTCGTCTTTCCAAGAGTTGAATCACTAACCAGAAGAGTAAGATCCCACAAAGCAGCCCACCGGCGCATTGTCCAGCTTCTCTAGTGGAATACCAGCATTTTCCAGACCCTCAAAGACAACCTCGAGCATCTGTCTCTGATTCGGATCCATGGCCACTGCCTCGGTACCTCCTACCTCGAAGAACCCGGCGTCGAAATCCGCCAGGTCGATGTCTCCTAGAAACATGCCACCAGCTTGTCGCATAGTCTTTGGCTTGTTTGACCCATCGAAATGAGTACCGAAGCTGAATCGAGTCTCGGGGACATCCCGAGAAGCCACCGATCCGGCTTCCAAGAAGTCCCAGAGTTTTTGCGGCGAGTTATTTCCGCCAGGGAGTCTGCACGCGAAGCCAATAATGGCCATGGGCTCTTGGTGGTAATCATTTGATTCGGCCATGGTTGGTGATTGGTTTGATGGATGATTGAGACGAGATCACTTGTCTTGATAGGATTCAAGGAATCATAGGGAGAATATATAGACATCGTATATCTCGCTGTCTCTTCTTCCTGATACCAAAGTCCCATCTTCATCTTCAAAGGATGACAATGCTACTGTCCTGTCATTGTTTACGCTTATCTTCGCCATCTCTCCACAATCCTTCAACGGTGGTGCATAGCGGCTTGGAGATGTCTCGGCCCACATCTTATCAGTATACTAGACAGTCTGTCATTAGCGTGAGAGTCTCCATAATCGTCTTCCCGGGTCATCAGATATTATTGAGAGTGTACATGGGTAACCGTCCTCGACATCTAGCGGATTACGCTCTCGGGTCATCATTGTTTCATCTATTGGCGTGGAGAGTCTGCTTATCTCCAGCGCCTCTACGCTGTTACAGTTAGTGCTCACTTTATATATGCACGATTACCTGCATGCTCACTTCAATGCTTATGGCCTCTTGTTGCGATATATATTCCTTTCTTGCGCAATACTTATACTTCTACAAATGGAATATGCCGTGAGATAGGAGATTTTTTTGCCTGGAGTCTATATCCCCTCTATTTGCTGATCCTGCCTGCCATAGAATTTAGCTTCTTCGACTGTCGCAACTACTCCAGCGGATTCCAAGTATGGGTTCAATTTCCCCCCCTCGCCAGCAGGTTGTGCAATGCAAAACAATCGATGGCATCAGTCTCGAAGGATGGTTCTTTGAGGTTGATGGCCCCGCGCCTGCTATCATCATGTCCCACGGTGTAAGCTTGCTGTCATTTTTACTTGATATCCTATAACTTATAACGTATCTTTTTTAGTTCAATTGCGTCAAAGAAATGAGCCTTGAAGACACTGCACGAACCTTCCAATCCGTGGGCTACAACGTCCTAATCTACGATGCCCGTAGTGTTGGAGGCAGCGGTGGCTTCCCCAGGAACCAAATCAATCCACACCAGATGGTCGAGGACGTCTCCGACGTGGTTACCTACGTAGGCAGCCTCCCCAGTGTTGACTCCCGCCGCATCATGCTATGGGGTATGTCCTTTGGCGCCACGGTCAGCGGTATTGCAGCCAGCATAGACCGTCGCGTCGTCGCCGTCCTAATGGTCTGCCCAATTTTCAGCATGGTGCGGCCAGACAGACGCAAAGCCGCCTTTGCACAGCTCATCAAAGACCGCCAGTCACAATTGCGCGGCAACGAACCCTTCACCCTCCAGCCGTTTAACAGCAAAGGCGAAAACCCAATTGGATACGCAGGCAGTGGCGGCCCCGGTGGAAAAGAAGGGTATAGGCTGATGAAAGCCGCAGCGGACCGTGGTCATCCAAATTTCCGCGACAGAATCACCTTGCAAAGCTATCATAAGATGGCTCTGTTCAGGCCAAAAGAGCTGCTAGAGGCCGTGGAGGATGTACCAATCATGATGATGATTCCGGAATTGGATGATATCAGTCCGGCCGAGGAACAGCTGGCGGCATTCAAGGGAATCTCGGCCCCGAAAAGATTGCACTGGGCTGAAGGAGCCGGCCATATGTCGATTCTAACGGGCGAAGGATCAGGAATGATATTGCAGGCGATGTTGGATTTCTTTGATGATGCGTTGAATGGGAACATAGAGTAGGTAGATACTTTGGCGGCCTGTTTGATGGGATATGACCTATTCTCTGTTCAAATGATATACCTGTTAGTTTGAATCTGAAAAATTCAAATTCAATAGCAAGGATATGATATTCATTCTGAAGACTATCACTTGATCTCTTACTGAAGGGCCGCCATGCTAGATGTCAAATTTAGCAGAGCGTGGATCTGTAAGGAAGAAAAAGAACGGCCAATCGGGGGTTTGGATGACGCCTTTTATTGCTTACATTTTTAATTAATTCTTGCATTGCAGGACCTGGAACTGTCATTTTCTATGCATTTTCTCTAGCATGAATCAATATTGAGATAAAACGTGACAGTTTCAAAAAAGTGTGCTATGTTCGATACGAAATTTATGAGAGTTGCCACGTACATACAAAAGGAAAGACTGGGATTGGCGAAGCGAACAGGCCACATATTGCTGAAGACCCAAATCAAGCTAGCCTAGTGAAAGAAACTGACAGTCTGCAGAGAACAGTGCGACAAAGGTGTTATCTCTCTAGCCATAAAAGGAAAACGCTAATCACACTAAACACGGCATAGCCTTCCTGCTCCGTTTAGTTCCCAGTAATCATCCGCTCCAACCGACGTATGTTGCCATAGAGCGAACTTCGGATCGTACTTGTGCTTAATCTGGAGCAAACGGTCATAATTTGCACCGAAGTAATCATTTTTCCAGTCCACATCGTCATATGTAGCTTCGTTGATGTAAGCTCCGCCTCCCAGTGGCTTGAACAAATCTTGCCACTTATTAACCTTGGCTTGGACGGCCTGTAACTCTGAAACAGAAGCATCGGGTGCGTATCCTTGTGCAAGGTTCACGGTGTAGAGGGAGTCCCTCCACGCTTCCAGCACGGCGTTGGAGCCGGGTTTATTGCCAACGTGCGCATGTGAGAGATTACCTGAGATAGCACTAATACGCTTGACAGAAGTACTGGGGTCTGTGACAATGGCTTTGTATGAGTCGAGAATGTAGGTCAGATTATTCTGCACCATTGAGGGCGAGATGAGCCATCCTCCTAGGCTGCTGTTGGTTTGGTAGATTTCATCTGGAAACCCGTATTCCTCAAAATGACCATGGAAGGTGTCTTGCACGTCTGCGATATATGTGGCGTTTATGTGGAGCGTATCAAGTCGCTGGAGGAAAGGGGACAGTGTCCTATCGATCTCTGCCTTGGTGGCGCCGGGCCAGGTTGCCATATTGAGTTGGAAAGCAGTGTTGTCAAACCCAAAAGACAATGCAAGACCCGGAATCTGGTTCCATGTAAGAATCTGGCGCTGGAATGCTCCGATGGCGTCCCAGTATGAATCGGAGTTGGTGTTGGCGAATGACAGGGCCGCGCCGGCAACGGGGCCGTCGACATGGGCTTTGATTGTCAGCGAGAGGACTAGTGCATAGTTTCCTCCTCCGCCGCCACTCAAAGCCCAGTATAGATCGGAGTTCTTGGTTTTCGAGGCTACCAAGTGTCGGCCATCGGTAGTAACAACTTCGAACTCTAGCGCGTTGTCGGCAGCAAGCCCGTAGCTGGCCCCAAGGGGTCCGTGGCCACCACCCTGGACATATCCTCCCACCATGCCGACGGTAGGACAATAACCACCCGTGAGACGGAACCCGTTATCTGCAGCTAGCTTGTAAGCGTCCTTAAACTGGACGCCGGCCCCTGCCTTGGCGGCGGGTCCGGTGTATTCGGCGCTACTGTAGTTGAAAAAAGAGAGGGCTTTCAGGTTATGGGTCCACAGTGCGAGAGAGCCCTGGCCATTGGATCGGCCGATATAGTCATGTCCCGTGTTTTTAATAGATAAGCGGATGTTTTTCTCTGCCGCGAATTTGAACGCTTTCGCCACGGTTTCCGCATTGTTGACATCGACGGCGTATACTGCGATATTGCCGGACGAGCAGGAAGGAGCTTGGACACTGGGAGTGTTGGAAGTTGCGTATGCATCCGCCAAACTGCCCAAAAATGGGCTACATGAGTTGTTCAGCCAGTAAGGAGCCATGACATTTACGGGGTTGTCGTAGCTGTGATTCCCAGGTCAAATTAACTTGCAGTCCACTAAGAGAAGGGGATTTAGACTCAGTGTCACTGACTAGGTTGCCGTTTCAATCCAGTCTTCCTGCAGAGCAGCGCATGCTGCAGGGTCATAATCAGATCCATAGCAGCGCTGAGCCAGAGGGGTACCCCGAATCAGTCGCCCGCCGATTGTGCTGTTCAAGTTGCTCCATTCTGCATCTGTAGGCCAACCAGCATCTCCCGGAAGATACCGACAAGTCGCTTCTTGTGCCTTCTCATTGGTTGGAGCAGCCAATGCCGAGGAGAGCACGCACAAAATGGCTGCGATCGCGTAGACGGGGTTTGCCATAGTTGCATACATCGATCCCAATCCTTTGCAGAAGTGAAAGCAAGATATGGTGTATGCAACTAGAAACGGAGTGGATCTGCAAGTAAAATGCAGGACATCTGCAGCTAAAACCGATTTAATATATAGCAACTCTATTGAGCTGACAAAGGACTGATGACCCGATTCAACGTTTGATATTACGCCCCCACTGACAGTCAGCAGTAACAGCCATTTGAGCACTGATGGCCTGATTATCGGCAAGGTAATCTATGATTATACAATGTTGGAACGAATCGTAATGGTAGGAAATTCTATTACAGTCATGCTTATGAGGGTTAGAAAGAGGTTAGGTCCGAGATGAGATGTTTTATATATCAAGTTTAGTCTTCTCTTCATTGTAATACCAGAATTCCTGTAATATGCTCACTATGGCACAGTACTTGGGCAACCTGCCGTTCCGTGTCGATGATGTTCCTGAGAATTGGAAATCCCAATCAATCTATGTCTTATTCACCGGGTTCTTGATTTACAATGTCTTGCTGGGCATATACCGACGTATGTATGGTTAATATCCCAACGGGTTTGATCACTGTTAATCTTAGTCTATAGTGACGCTACATCCCCTTTCCAATATCCCGGGGCCTAAATTAGCTGGTGAGAGAATATTTAGTTCGGTAACTGATTGGTTCTAACCCTATCCAGCATTTACCTATTGGTATGAGATCTATTATGAGGTTTTCCTCGGGGGCAAGTACTTCCATCAGATTCTGGAAATGCACCAGCAATACGGTATGTGCCATCATTCAAGGGTTATGAAAATCGCTGACTAGAGTGCCTTTCAAGGCCCTATTGTGCGCATCAACCCAAATGAAATTCATTTCAACGACCCAGACTTCATCGACAGTATATACGCTGGGCCTGCAAGAAAAACCACCAAACCACTGTTTGTGGGGAGAAGAACTGGAAGTCAGTGATTCGATTTCTCACCTGATGGAACTTTTGTTCTGATACTCTATAGCACCAAACTCCATCATCGCCACTGTGGACCATGACCTCCACCGTGTCCGCCGCAACAGTATCAACAGCTTTTTCTCTGTGGCATCTATCGGCCGACTCGAGCCTATCATAGTTGAAAAGACCGAAGCACTTCTCGAACGTCTCAAGCCCACAAGTGGCTCCTCAGAAGAAGGCCGCAAAGGCAAGATCCTTCAAATGCATCACGTTTTCAAAGCATATGCGAGCGACGTGATTACAACGTATGCATTCGGCGACAGTTTTCATTTTATGGATGAAAAGGATTACGGCAATGACTATTTTGGGTCCACGGACAAGTACTTTTCACTGACGCATGTTTTTGGCCATTTTCCCGTGGTGATGAGACTCATCAATGCCTGCCCGGCGTGGATCTTGGGAATCTTCATTCCTAATCTGAAAGTTATGGCAGAGAAGCAGATGGTATGTCGAGCATCGTTTCTCGAATAATGATTATCATAACATCAAGTTTTCTTGCTGACGATTGATGATATATATAACAGTGGTGGCTGAACCGTGTTCGCACAATCCGAGCATCACCCAACCCCGATGAAATTAAGAGTACAATCTTCGAAGGAATCCTAGCCAGTTCTCTTCCCCCTGAGGAGAAGACCGATGTACGAATGGCGCACGACGCGCAATTAGTCGGTCTTGCCGGTGAAGGAACTACCGGTACGACTGTCCTCCAAGTCAACCATCCACCCCTTGAGCCCTCTGCTAACATTCGAGCTCACATACAGCCTACACTCTTACAGCCGCCATTTACGAGCTTCTCGCACACCCCGAAGAACTTAAGAAAGTCAAAGATGAACTGGCTGCGGCTATCCCCAAGAAAGGCGTAGTCCCCACATACTCCGACGTGTCGACACTTCCCTACTTCAACGCGATGATCCAGGAGATCCTCCGCCTGCACCCAGGTGTCTTATCGCGCATGCAGCGCATATCCCCAATAGAACCTATTGTCTACAAAGACAAGGTTCGCGGCCAAACCTACGTTCTTCCGCCTGGAACCTGTACGTCAATGTCCGTGTCCATCGCGCACATGAACCCCGATGTCTTCGAAGATCCCACCGTCTTCCGACCGCAGCGCTGGCTTGATAATCCCAAATTGATCCGTGGGTTTATTGGGTTTTCGCGCGGAACAAGGAACTGCGTCGGGATGAACCTTGCACGACGGGAGATGGGGATTGTGCTGGCGACGATATTAAATACGTATGAACTTTATCAGGGACAGGAGGGAAGAACTCTGGAGTTGTATGAGACGGTGAGGGAGAGGGATATTGACGCTAGTAGTGAGATGATTGTGCCATTCCCAGCTAAGGGAAGTTACGGGTTGAGGGTTAGAGTTAGATATTAGATGGGGTTTGGGTGTGATTGGGTGCTTTACCTGTCTACACGCTCTGGTAGATCATATTGAAATAAAGAATTTTAATATGTGTTGGATTATAATACATTTAGGTACTTTACAGGCGCATCGCAGTGTATAGCAACCACTGCGGACTTGGGTCATATTGGCCGTTGAGAGTCACAGTTTATATCTCCCTAATACTATGGAATAATATCAACCCCTGTGAGAGTTTCCATAGATTTATACCTAGGTAGTGTGTTGGTTATTTGTCAGCGGCTTATACGGCCTCTATACTTTGAGATATAGAACTTGGATCATCTGGATATCAAGGTAGTCCAAGATGATATTACAGACATTATGATTGTGATTGCACTGCAACGTCTTTTGAAATATCTTTTAATATACCTGTGAATGCCCATTACTACGTAACTAATAATCCCCACAGAATGGCTTTTCTATACATGATATCCTTGTAACTAGAAGTGCATAACAACAATACAGGTATTATGGCGCAATACGGTAATCTGATTTAACGATGATCTGACGTCCATGCTCGACTAATTAAAATCCTTCTACTCGTTGCACATCTAAACTATATAGCTATCCGGACTAGGAAGTAAGAATTTAATGAAGAAACTCGTTATCTTCTTAATTGAGCCAATGAATTCGTTCCTTTGTAACCCCTCCCAATCACCCACCCAGCCCCTCGATGGTGTAATAGGATTCCACTGACTATAAAAGTCATGTTTTGATCCGACGGGTAATCAAGATATCCGCGTCTAGACCACATCGGGCGTTAGTGCTGCAACCAAGTACCTTTTTGCTGTGGATGCCATAGAGAAGATACATCGGCACGCCACTGATCGGCCTTGGCCCGGGTAATCAAACTCTCTGGGGGTAATCAACGACCCTGTCAATCAGCTCTAAACTCGGAACCGGTGGAATGAAGTATATCATTACTATTTCCAGGGGTATGATGGATATTAGAGAAAGAGGAATTTAACTATAAATGTATATAAATACACTATTTGTTCCAGTCTGAATCCTTTAACTACTATTATAGAGGCCCCACCCAAATACACCATGGCCCGCACAGTACTGATTACGGGCTGCTCCGATGGAGGTCTCGGCGCCTCCCTTGCCCTCGCCTTCCACACGGCTGGTCTCAAGGTCTACGCCACAGCCCGTAACCCCTCCAAACTAGGCCAAGTTGCATCCGCTGGCATCGAAACTCTCACGCTGGATGTGTTGTCCAGCGAATCGATCAAGAACGCGGTGACTAAGCTTCCCAATCTCGACATCTTGGTCAACAATGCCGGCGCCGAGTATCTCATGCCCGTAGCTGACGTGGACATCGCCGACGCTAAACGCTTATTCGATTTGAACGTCTGGAGTTACATCGAGGTGACGCAGGCATTTTTGCCTCTGCTGTTGAAGAGCCCCCATGGCGGTTTGATCGTCAACCAGTCCTCCGTGGGCTCTGTCGCCGTACTGCCCTTCCAGGGTGTGTACACGGCATCCAAGGCCGCCATTGCCATGCTGTCTGACACTCTGCGACTCGAGCTGAGCGTCTTGGGAATCAATGTTGTCGACCTGAAGACTGGAGTGGTGCGCTCCAACCTGATCAAGAATCAAAAGGAGGCAAAGCCGCCAACTCTTCCCGAAAAATCGATCTATTATCCCGCACGCGAGGTGGTGGAGAAGGCATTGAGCCAGGATGCTTTTGCTGAAGGGGGAATGCCGACTCTGCAGTGGGCCACTGCTGTGGTGGGTGATTTGCTGAAGAAAAAGCCGCCCCCTGTCATCTGGAGGGGAGAGCAGGCTTGGGTTGCAAGGCTGATTAGTGTTCTACCATTTGGAACATTTGATTCGATGCTGAAGAAGTTGACAGGATTGGATGTCGTGGAGAAGATTATGAAGGTTGGAACTAGAGCATGAGAATATTGACAGAGGGATTTGTCGGTCCATTTTGAACTGCTATTTCGAACTGATATGTTGATGATCGCTAGCCTGACTCTAGATATCATACACAAACCATCCTATGAGATACTTCAATTCAGCCCAAAATCCGTAAGCAATCTGTTCTAACATAGAAGAAGCATCCAAGCCATGGTATATCTGACTCAGCCTGTACCCTTGGAAGTATATCTCCCACCCTATGGAACTGGAAGCGTCTTCCTAGTCCTATAATGTACACTAGCTCCACGCTGCACGAGAGCCTGCACGCCCGCCTCAAACCCAGTATCGACCGCAATATGCAGCGGCGTGCGCCCGCCACTATCATAGGCATCAATGAGCCCCTGGTCGCCCACGCAATAATCCAACAGAATCTTCAATATTGTCTGGCGACGATGACTAACCGCGAAATGGAGCACCGAACGGTTCTGGCGATCGACCTTGTCTATACGCGCCCCATGCATGAGCAGCAACGTGACAACGTCTTCGTGGCCGCCAATCGTCGCATGGATTAAGGGTGTTAGCCCATCGCTGTCTATCTCATCGCAGTCGATATCCTGCTGGAGTAGCATGCGCATGATCCGATGGTGTCCCTTCTGTGCGGCTATATGAAGTGCGGACAGCCAGCCTGAGCCTGTGTCATGGGATTTTGCTGTCTCAGGAGAGAGTGCGCTGGCGCTCCTAGCACTAGCGGGTGTTGAATCGTCTGTTAGTGATTTCGGTGGGAAGTTTGTGTCGAAAATGTCTGGTGTTGTTCTGTGAGTGCTGCTGCTTCCGACTGTGCTTGCTAGGGAGCCTGGATGTTTGGGGATAAAGTCTCGATCGCTGCCGAAAAGGGTATGCTCAGCGGAATCGGTGTTAGATATGCCCGGTGAGGGGCCTGCAAGGAGACTTGGCAGGGATGAGTCCATTAAGTCGTCCATGTTTATGAAATTCTGGATGCCGATCAGTCCATTGGCACCGCCTTGTAGGCAGTTGATGCCAAACCCAGGCGGGGATTTGACAGGGCTGTGTGTCGACCTGGTTTCAGATGAGAAATTGAAAAGATCGGATGGGTCATCGGTCGCCGATACGGATGGCTCTAGGGTCTGCGTCTGCTGAGGTTGATCTGCGTTGGCCTTCTGCTGGCTCTGACGTTCTGGGGGAAGCGATCAGTACAGGCGATGCGGGATATCAACTGGCTACTTACGACGGAACCTGCGCTGAGCCAAACGATTCTGTGCACGACGGTGCTCGAGAGTACTCTTCTTCTTTTTCACCTCCATGGTCTAATTCTCAGAAGTCAATGCGTTTTCTAATTCTTTCGGTCGGAAAGGGGTACAAGGCGTCTTTTGAAGAGAACAAATGATAAGGCACATTTCAAGCCCATCTTGCAGGCTTGCAGGTTTAGTGCTTACCTCATATAGGTGTATTTATCTCGAGATTAAAATACCAGTTTTCCGCGGGGGCCAAAACTAGTAATACGAGTTATACCAAGGTCTATATTCTTTGTTATTTACTTTTTCAAGGGATGTATAGCCTGGAGTCTCAAACGTTGCACACCATATGGACTGCTGTTTTCGCTAGCCCTTGACTATAAATTTCGGCCCCCAATCGCACCATATCCTCATTTCATGGTGTCAGATACTACCAGGGAAGTCTTGGAAGTATCGACTAGAAAAAAGAGACGGCTAGATACGACCTGCAGTTTATATATAGTTCACTCGCACTATCGTGTATCCCCGCTAAGACACCAAAATATTGAATTGACGGGCACCGCATTGTGTGAGGTTGAGGTGAAGTCGATAGCCTTGCTTCTGACCTCACGACGCTGTGGGATAGACCGCCTACATTTACATCAAAGCGGGAGAGAAAAAAAACAATTAGTTAAATAAAGTTTTTGATTATTTCATTAATCATACAAAGCCTGTTAAACGATCATCGACCATTTGCTGTTCAACATTTGAACAACTGAAAACAGGGAACCATTCAGCAAGGAAAGGCAAATAATCTCAAAGCTCAACTGGGCCATAGAGAGGATCAAAAGGACACCGATGTCGAAATCATAGACAATTAGAGATGGCTGAGGCCAGTAGAGGAACAAGTCCACTGTAACGTAGACTCTGTAAATTAGACTAGCGGCGAGAACGGCTGATAGGGATGGAACCAGCGGTCTTCACTTTGGGTTGCTGAATGGTCGTGGGGCCTGGCATTGAAACAGCCGATCTTCAACTTGCTCGGAAGCAGTCCCGCTGGACTGGGCACCGCTTGCAACATTGGCAGAGGAGTAGTTTTCGATGCGAGTATCCGTGGCTGCCTGCTGGACGGAGACAGTACGAATCTGAGCCCCTGACAAGTCGCGCAACGTCGTTTGCTCATACACCGAGGGAGCAGGACCAATCACACGGGGTTTGTATGGCGTAGGGCCAACTGTGCGAACGCCGGTTGGCTGGGCTCTTTCGCCCTGTCGGCTGGGGATGTTGGGGACGTTTGCACTCAGAGCCCGAGTCGTGGTCTGGGACCGCATGGCATTGGGTTCCATAACCTTGGAAGTCGAGGTGACAGGACCAACAGGTCCTGCAAAGATGGAATCATTGAGAGTCAGTGGCCTTTTTACCGAGTCCTTTGGACCCGATCCCAAAGCAGGAGTGACCTGAACGGACTCATCGAATGCGATGGTCCTCTTGGGGACCTCCAGAGGGCGAATAGCCGGAGTACAGACAACACGTTGTGGTTGCAGTGGCGCAGCCAATTTGTCTGACGCCTGGAGGGTTTCGAACTGAGAAATGATGTCTGAATTTTCACTTCTGGTCGGCGAAAGGCCGGGCACATGTACTTTGTGCGCGTTTTTATCGGCAGAAGGAGGTGAGCTCGAACTGGAGGAAGGGGGAGATGGCGATCTGTGGCCATCAAAGGGAGTAAGGTCGCGCCGGGCATTAGAAGAAGCTTCAACAGCCTTAGTTCGTCGATGCAATGCCGAAATGGACTCTATAGATGCAACCAAATTATCCAGCCGAGTGCCGATATTTGAGGCTCCAGGTGCTGTAGGTGATGTAGCTGATGCAGATGCGATAGGTACCAGTTGGAGCAATTTAGCTTCAAGTATTCGTTCGATATCCCGAGTAGTCGCCAAGTTATGATGGGGTGCACGGATGTATTCGCGCATGTCGCGAAGTTCTGCAATAATCTGCCTACCAGAGACAACGAAACTGTCATCTTCTTGACTCTGATCATTGCGGTGAGCGTGGGATCCTGGGATGTCATTATTCGTTCTTTTCGGGGAGATGACTTCATCAATGCTCTTGGCTCGCACTGACTCGCTGGCTTTCGCCGCAAACTGAAGACCTGCCAATTCTGTAGTACCTGGACTCTGGATGGCCACTGTCTTCAAAGGACGCGGAACCTTTGTTGCTGCATTCACCGGGGAGTCATCCTCGCCGAGCAAGTCTTGAGACTGAACTTTCTCCTTTGTTTTCACCTTCTGGCTACCCGGAGCAACATCCCGCTTGCTGTCATTGGTTTGGGGAGCTTTGGCTACCGGTGCTTTCTTGACCTCGGCGAGAGGGATGCAGCGTCCAGACAAGACTGCCTCCTTGCTTGAGGAAGCCGCGGCCCTTTTTCGTGGCTGTTCGCCAGGCGAAATCTTCCATTGAATCCTATCTGCAGCGACTGCTACCACAGGAGGGTATTTCTTATGTGGTTGGGTAGGTTTGGATGTACTGGGCTGGGTTTTCCTGGACTTGAAGGACGCAGTCTTGTCAATAGGAACAACACGAGGTGATGGCGAGGGTGTTTCCACTAGATAGGGTCCAATATATGGCTGAGAAATCCTGCTTGAAGTATACTGGGGCTTGGATGACGTGGTCTCCTCGGTATAACCAGCATGAAATAGCGGTTTTGATGCTACCACTAACGAGGGTCCAGGGTTCGGGGGTGCAATAACGGTGGCCGTTCCTTTCTTTGGTGTGCCGCCCAGAGGCACATTGACCTTTGGCTCGTTGAGAGACGTAATCTTTTGCGCAGGAGCAGTCATGTGCATTGGCGCAGAGAAGCTTGTATCGATAGGCTTTTTGTACATTTCGGTTGCTCGGCGGGACTGAACTACGGACATGAAGTCCCCAGGCTGAGAGATTCTGGCGGCGAAGTCGACGCTGATCAAGAAGTTAGCATAGAAATATCAGTAAAAGAAGTCTCATCACTTACGCTGGAGGCTGCCGCTGGACCCTGATAGGGGCGGACGGGACTAAGAAAGTGGTCAGTTGCATTCTCTTTCCGTACCCGCCATCAAAACGTACTGTAAACCTGCCCTTGGGCGTTACCCCTGCCCTTGCCTTTGCCTCGTCCACGTCCCCTTCCTTTGTCATAGGTATCACCGTCGTCAGTATTGCAGTTCAACGCAGGGTCTAAATGAATGCCGGCCGACATCGTGGTTGAGCGACCGCGCAGTCCTGGGCGCCCTGAGCGTCCCGGGCGAACGACAGTTGCATTAATGAAGGTTCTGTCATTTTTAGTCTGTCAATTGGAATTCCTTGCATGGGGAAGTATGTCGATTTCTTACCTTGTAGGGGCAGGAGGGAGAGCAGCAGGGAGAGGGGGAACAAAGCCACCTCGTCCTCTCTTCCCCATGACACCACCACCACCACGACCTGCAGATGGAAGAGGATGAGGATGATTGGCATAAGTGCGTGGCTGACTTCCATTGGGATGCAACATGGCGTGCAAATTAGCCCGGTGAGACTGGCCGCAATCTATGTCATCGAGTTCTTCCATGCCACGAGTATCTCCGATCTCAGTGTGCAGATCTGCGAGAAAGATTAGTATCAAGTTAGAGGGGTTTATGAGCGTTTCTCATGCAGCACTCACTTGCCCATTTGCTCAATTGAGCTTCATCTCTTTGATCGAGATATCGCTTGGATTCGATATTGGTAAGCTGTGTGCGAGGCTGCCTCTTCAAGTCGGCAGTGGAAATCATTTCACGCCGAGCAGTTCCTAGGTCTGCCTGTTGACGTCGTCAGTCAGAAATATCAGAGAAGAAGTGAGAGACTAAATATCACCATTTGAAGGATTTGCATTTTGCGGAGCTGCTCCGCAGATCCAGCCATCTTGCTGGTGTACTTCCCGTGACGAGTGAAGTGTCAATAATTGTAAGATAAGCAAGTGCGAAGAGAAAGTCGCACAGACGGCGATAGAAGAATGAATGAGGTGGGGTGGAGATGGTGTCACCCAGAGAGATTTTATTTAGAGATCGAAGCGACCTCAGGTTCCCTTCGGAAACAAAAGGGCACGACGATACGAGGCTTAAAAAAAGCCCAAGAAAGGTCCCTAAAGGGACAAACGACAACTGGCGGATGCTATGCAAAGCGGAAGAGACACCAAGCAGGGCTATGCGAAGCACCCGAACAAAGTGAGAACCAGGGGTTCCAAGGAAGAGAAGAAGCGAAAGAGTGAGGAAGAGTGGTAGAAGGAAGAAAGAGAGAAGGTGGGAAGAGGGTAAATAAAGGAACGATCAGGGCCTGTTGGGATCAAACACGCAACGTGTCTATGCACAAACAATTGAAGTGCTAATTTGGGCAATAACGTGAAGGGTCTTTTCAGAGGTCTCGACTTCTCAGTCATACCTTCCATTAAGGATTTGTGGCCTAGTACTGGCATGTTCACGTGGGAGTTGTTTTTGGGTACGTGGAAACGTCAACGCGATGGTGAAGCCCTAGAGTTATAGAGCCGTTGACAATAATCGTTGGGTCTTGGAAATGCAGGGAGTGAGCGGAGTTTGTAAAAGATGAGAAGCGAGGCCGACGGATTGCGCAGCCGAAATCGCAAAGCGCACGTGCCTAGCCATTGGCATGAGGACGGTGTACACGTGCTCCATCGTATTTCGTCTGACTTGAGAGCATATATACATACTGTCTAGCTAGGCACATGGTAGCTACCGAATTATCGCCTACCTATCCCCAGACATCGCAATTTACCCCTACATAACCAATAGCACATAGCAATTTTTGAATGGGAGTATTGTAGCATATGATACACAAAGGATATTTGTCCAAAGTAGATAGTAGATACAAATGTACATGGAAACACAGCCCAAAGAGACTTCTCGGTCACATTGAGTGTATACATAAGCATAGCCGCCATCTGTGAAAAATCCTTGAACAATTCCTCTAGGGGGCACTGCAAGTATGGGCCTCGCCATCATCTGCAAAGACAAAGTTTGATATTAGTATATGTGATGAGGGTGCAACCAAAAAAAACCATTCGACTTGGTCCAATTGCAAACTTACTTCGAATGATCTTGACGACCGCCTGCACTATACTGACACCCATCACAACCACCCCAAAGCAAATGCATAAATACGCCGGGATCTTTTCTCGCCGTGTAGCACTGCTAAGCTTGATGTAACAGAGAGGAGGGAATATATAGGCTAGAGCAGCAGCACTAGTGGCGCCAATGAGCTCAAACACACTTCCCAGATCACATGTTATCAAGGACAGCACCATTGCAGTCACCACCAGTGCTGTTGTGAAGATAACATGCCGAACGGGGTTGTGCGGTTCGTCGGGGAAGTAGTAGGTTATCATGACGGAGCGGCAAACGAACGCCTCGAGTGGTAGTGTGGTCAACATGTTTAGGCCAAAGCAACTAGTCGAAGTCAGTCAAGAAAGTCCGTATCAAGGTCGATGGGAAGTTTATACAATCGTGCGATGTTGACGACGATATTGTCTGATGGAAAGTTGTTCAGAACGTTCCCCTGAGTTTTAGACCCGAAGGACAGGAACCCTGCAATACCCATTGCTAGGCACATCACCAGAGAGATTCCTGTTGAGTAATGTGTGACTCGGGTGAAACGGTCCAGTGTTGGCTTTTTCAATGAGCCGTATATCAGAAGACTGTTGTGGTCTGTGGAAATTAGCGATTGTGATATCAATAGAATAAAAAGGAACATACGACAAACAAAAGCTAGAACTTGTTAGCAGACTTTCGAATTATTGACAAGGACAGCGAAAACCCACCAAAAGAAATAACACCGACAGCCTGAAAAAAGCCAGTGTTGAATATGAGGTGGCTTTTGATTTCTCCGCGCGATTCAGGCGGGACCCGAAAGCCCTGAGTTATGACCGTGACAACAATGATTATCATGCTGACCAATGCCAAGGCGGATGCTTTGGCCAGCTACCTGACCGTTAGTTTCTGATAAGTAGTAAGGAAAGAAAGATCTGACCTTGGCAATGTCCCTATACAAAGACAATGGGTATGAAACAACTAAAACAAAGATAACAATAACGGCCCGGCGATCTGTGAGGAGCCATAGGAAGGACATATCCCTGAGAGACGGAAACAAAGCGCCTAGAACGTGGGGAATGGTATCGCCAACAATAATACAGAATGCGACCATGCCGCCGAATGCAAATGCCCACTGCGCAATGGAGATCGCGATAAGGCCACTTTTCCCAAAGCAGTACTGCATAGTCGCTTGGAATGAATCCGCTCCACTCAGTTTGGAGTTGATTACAATCAATCGAATGGTCCAGTCCACTGTGATGGTCAAAGCAGTCAGCAGCAAAATCCCCAGTGTCATGCCTGCTTGACGAAGCGCATAAGGTTGCCCAATGATTCCAGCCCCAATGATGCTGTTGGCCATGTTCATGAACGCCATTTTCATCCCACTCCGCGGCCGCGCATCTTCGAGATACTCTTCGGGAAAGAAATCGTCCGATGTCGCAAGTGTCACACTAGGCGCTTCAATATTTGTGAGAAGAGGAATTGATTGTCCACTGTGGTGCATTCCTGGGCCCCGATTGCCAAGTTCGTAGTCCTCATCCTCCAGCCATAGTGTGTCGTCTGGGGTGCCGTCTGGGCTAAGAGCACGCTCAATTGGATTGCGATTGGGGTTTTCGGGCTCTTCTTCTATGTCAAATCGAACTCGATTCATGGTACGGGGTGTGCGGCGCTGTCCATCGACCGCAGGTTGAGAGATTGAGGAGTGGCGTTTGCCATTTGTCGCGTGACGTGAGGGGATCGGCGACGGGAGAGGTTCCGGGTGGAAAGCTAGATCCTGCTCCTCACTTGAGGCAGACAGCAGTGTTTGAGCTTCATATTCATCCCGGCCATTCTGGGCACACAGGTGATCCTCTGACAACTCATCCCCTGGCATCGCTGACAGTAGATAGTTGGAAGTGTAACGGTTACTTTCAGGCCACCTGGATGGGGCCGCACGTGACTGTTTATCGATAAGGATCTCCTTGCTACGATAAGAGATAACAACGGTTTGCCACGTGCATATGTACTCCACTGCATGACCCAGGTATACATAAAAATGTCGTCATCTACAGTACCAGTAAGGGGATAAAACATTTAGAAAAAGACTACCAGATTACCAAAAGGCATGGCCGACTATCGCTGTTTATGCAAACCAACAGAGGTTATCAAATCCACTTCTTGATTCTAAAGTCATGACTCACTTTGTTATCCTTTTCAGGTGTTACTTTAGGCAAACTCTGTGGATTAAGTTGCAGCATCTCCTATACCTTGCTTGTATCTTAGTAGGAAAGAAAATGGGGTAAGATCAAAGCATCAAATGATAGACCATCGGTACGTATATTCTTAAAGGCAATTGATCAAACTTTCTAACAATTTTGAAAAAAATAAACATCTCGTTCATTTAGAAAAGCACAAAGGCACCCTGGAAGCATAGCCTAGCCATGTAACATAGCTCTATTAATGCTCTGAACAAAACTATCCAGCCTAGTAGTTCCTTCAATCTGGAATTCAGTCCCTTCCATGGGAGCCTGTCATTGTTTCATAGTGCGCTCTTTGTCAGCCATGAAAAATATGCTGATATCGTACAGAACCTTTTTTATGTCTGGTGTCTGATAGAACGATATCTTAAATGAGAAGCTTCAAGTTGTAACCCTCATTTCCTGCGCCAGGTTTCGGAGGATCTTGCGTGCGGCGTCTTTCCAGCCATGCAATATAAACCCAAGAAGTACTGACATGAAGAACATCATCGAGAAAGTTGGATTCCAGGTTAAGACTATTTAATTTAACCCACAACCGCTGGAATTGACCACCTCTGATAACAATGGAATGGAAGGATTCATGCGAGTGATCTGCACTCAGATGCTGGATATCTTGGACAGTGAAGAGTAGAAGAACAGTGCGATGGAGCAGATCCACCGAATGCATTGCTACGGCATCATACGGCAGAATGAAAGCCAATGCATGTCATATACTAGTCTAGGATGTGTTGCTGTTAAGCTGCGATCAATGCTCAGCAACGATATCCATTTCAACCAATATCTAGAAGAACCTACCTTTGCAATTGAGCTTATGCCACAAATATATAGCTCAAAATGGTATCAACAGTATAATTGAACTAATTTTCAAGAATTGGGTGCACACATTCTCAGGCCAAGGGACTTGAACGCCATGTGCACTGTCCATGTACCGTAAGGTCATAACCACACCCAGTCCACTATTCCTTTCTCGTTCCAACACTACCAACAGCCCCCAAATTGCTCGTTTAAATGACTGCCGCAGGGCTCAAAAATAATACATAATGCCTTGGTGCTAAGTTTCTTCCACAATGACACAAAAGCTCGACTTGGGTGGATCCACTCTACAAATCCGAGATTCAAAGTTACAGCTTCGTCTGGCCGCATCAGCTCATTTCAGCCAGCCACCAAGCCATGAAACCCCCCAGATACCGGTTAATGTCTCACACTTGTCAGATATAGAAGGTATATGGATAACGGAGGCACCAGAGCTGAAGTTGCGCTTCTTCATCGGGGGAAATTGGGATCGAGATGAAGCAGCCGCATTCGTATCAAAGTTGAGAGGCAAACTCTGTGATATGAAGGTTTGTGCAAAAGAATATTTCCCAAATTGGAAACTGATTATTCCTTGCTCCAGATCTGGTCGGATGTGGGATTTTCAGTTGAGCTCAAGGCGGGTGCACGTGAATATTGCATTGACACTTCTGGCTTTCACTGCCTTGAACTTGGTCTGCGCCGAGGGTATAAAATGCGGAACCACACAACGGGTCGGACTTTGCCCAGTTTGATGACCAACCCCCCAGACGCGTGTCCTCCCACCGGTGTACCAGTAGCTATCTTAGCTTCAATTGACGTTCGCCTGGAGTATATCTTTCAACCCAAGAGTATACCACCCGTCCAGGAATATTTCAAATTGGAGGATAGTTTTCTTGGGCGCGAATCATCAGCTTTCGGCAGTCCTCGGCTTCTGGGGACAATGGCAGACGTCACAATCCTAGAACATGAGGGTCCTACTGGAATTCAAGGATCACAGTCTTTTTACATATCTGGGGGTGAATCGGACTCATCATGCGAGGAACTCTTCCGGTTGTTCGACCTGGGAATTCAAAGACTGGTCATTTCCAACTCAATCAAAGATCCTACAATCCGTGTCCCACAGCCGGCCACAATCAAGAGCTTCGCAGAGATATCTCCCGCGGTGTTCGATCCTAGATATCGGGATGTGAGTTTTCGGTCTCAGTCATGCGAATCAAGTACTAATTCTACCCAGGCGATGAACCAGCGAGGAGTAACAATTCCAATAATCACGAAAGCCATATCGTCCATGCTGGCAGGAAATAATGATCCATCCATCAAAGCTAAAATAGCAGAGTTGTTAGAGCTCAGTCGCTCCCATCACACAGACGGCACAACGATACAACCTCAATTTCTAAGTTTCAGGGCTGCGGTCCTCTCATCACTTTGGCGTATCGCTCAGGAAGCTGTGCCCAAGACAAAACCCATCAAAATACGAGCTTCGATGCTCTCCACAGAGCGCCTATCAAATAGACTGGCTGTGTCAGACGAGACCGTGCGTCGCATATCTACGGATCAACTACAGCTCGAGAGCGGAAACTCGGCACTGATTCGTTCTATTCAAACACTCCATCGCGATGAGAATGAAGAAAGTGACGTGTGCTTGTTGAATAGCGAGTCCGATGATCAGCTTTTGGACAATCTCAGCGAGACAAGCTTCTCAGGCATCGGGGAATCGACTCAAACATCCATCAATACATTATTCTCATCAATTGGGCCTTCTCAGACTTCATACGGTGATCATGGTACTATGCTTCTCTCGAACAATGGCGAATTGGTGGATTATCTAGGAAACTATGCGACAGATCATGATCCTCGGGAAGATATGGTTGCACACGATATAGACATTATAATGGCTCATGACCATTAGACTTTTTACATGACACCCTTTCTGTGATATATAATAATACCCAAATAATTATTATAACCTTTCAATGAGCTCGAGTGTCACGAAGTAGAATTTGTTTTTCACTGGCGATACCATGTTTAACAATGAATACGTGGGTTAAAATGCCTACCTATCCGCCATCATGGGCGTCAATCATTCTTCTAGTGGCTTTAGGGATACCCAGCTAATTTTCAAGATACTTACGGAATTAAAAAATACTAGTAGGTTCCAACCTTGAAAGTCACGCTGTCTTGGCCACAAGATTTAATGAGCCCTGGACACAACACACAAAGAGCTAAAAAAAAAGGACTGAGCCCCATTGTCAAAACCCGAGCTAGAGTGAGTCTAGAATCAAAATCTCACGTTCATATGTCGTCGAAATAGTATCGCCATGATTGTCATAACCAAAATCTCCGCGTGAGGGCAAACCGGGGTTTGACCGCAGTGTTGTAAAACTATCTATTGGCTTACGTCCCATCCATCAACGTTCGCTTCATAGAGCCAATAGTTATTAGAGGAGGAAGGTACCGGGGTCCTCTTGGGCAGAGTGCTATAAAAACATCTTCATCTCCGGTCCATGGTGTGCTTAACGGAAAGTGATGAACGTGTTGAGTCACTTGCGCCGAGAGCCCCACCGATACGAGGCTGGAACACGGCAGAGCAGTAGCTGGAGGTAGATCTTGCTGACAACCTTGTCGGAGTCCCCGATCACTTGAAGGGTCCCCATAGTGTGAGTAATCGTTGATGGGCTAATGTGCCTCAGTGGGTAGGGGAATGTGAAGTTCCCAGAGATAAAATGTCAAACGATGCGGAAGGCCATTATCATGACCGATCATCACATGTCCAACAAGAGCGAGTGAGGAGGTTTATGTGGAGACGCTGTGGGGGAAGGTACGACCAGGCAAGATGGGCAATGCAGAAAAGCCGGGTTGTGGGGTCTAACGGGGAAAGATCTGAGAACAATGAGGGATGATGTTAGAAAGGTTACAGTCGGGCTTATTTGATATATTCATAGCTCTACATAAATGATTGACAGACAGGCAGGTGTATTGCATATAAAGAGATTGGTGAAGCAGAGCCTTCAAAACGTAAGACACAGCTATGTTGTGATAGCATGCCACAGGGCATTTATGCATGTGCATTGTCCTTATCAACTATCTACGGCGGTATCAAAAGTCAAGGCGACTCCTCGCCCAACCCAAACATTCTGATAGAGTTGTTCCAAGCACTGGAAAGAAGAATGAGTTAGCATGGAGCCGAGCATCAGGAGAAATTAACATCTTACGCTTCGCAAACTTCCTCCACGGTGATACCCTTGACGCTGGCAATAACATGAGCAACACGAGCGATGGCAATAGGCTCATTCCGACCCTTCACCATACACCCCTTCTGCCATTTCTCTTTCTTCAAAGCCTTTGGCAGTTCCGGTGCACCACTTAGGTGTTTTGCAGATGCATGAGAGGGGCGAATTTCACACTAGGATATGGTTAGTCACGACGGATCCGACCATATCTCAGAGCAGTACATACCCAGGGCCCATCAGTTTCGATTTGGAGCCGGTCTAGTGGAATAGCTTTAACAACCTCCAGGTTCTCCTCGGTCTTCATACTACACCCATTAACACCGACGTCAAGACCCAACGCAACCATCCGGTTCATTTCATCCATTGTCCCCGTGAAGCTGTGCACAAGTCCCCGCTTGGGAAGCTTGGCAAGCCTTGGGGCAAGGAGTCTCTCAAAGTCCTCGCTCGCAGCTCTGGAGTGGAGGAATAAAGGGAGCTGGATTTCAACAGCCAGGTCCAGTTGGGCTTCAAAATATTTGAGCTGTGGCTCCTTGGGGCTTAGGAACAGTCGGTCATAATCAAGGCCGATTTCGCCGAAAGCGACGGTGTGGCCGGATTGTTTGGATTCAATTGCTAGAGCGCGGAGCTCCTCCAGCATTTTTGAGGGACCGTCTGGGTACTCGTCGAAAAGCTTTGCTTGGCATGGATGTACGCCAACGGTTGCGTAACAAAAGCCCGCTGCAGGATCCGGTTAATACAGAAAGAGAACGTCCAGGCAGGTTCCAAACGTACGGTATTTGCTGGCGATATGCACAGCGTGCTTCGATTCTACAAGGTCTGAGCCGGTTACCATAAACTTTGAGCAGCCTACATCCCGAGCACGCTGGATAACGTCGTCGAGGTCGTCTTCATGGGCCTGCTTTCCATGATATTCACCGCGGAAAACGGGGTCACTCAAGTTGATACCAATCTAGTATTTCGCAGTTAGCTATGAGATGCATCTCCCTTTCAAGAATGAGGCAGTTAAGAAAGGGCAACATACATCGACGTAGCGGAGAGGTTTAGGTTCAGCCATATTTAATGTGGTCTGTTGTCTTCCAGTTGTGGAGATTGTTCTGGGATTTCCAGCAGATATGGAATTTATAGAAGACACACCAGCCAAGCTGCGACTCGTATAAAATCCTACAAAATGAGTCAGATCAACTTTTCCAAGACCACCCAGACACCTCACTAGTTCATAGGCTTATATTTGGACACAAACAAACCTAACGGGACGGTTCTATCTATCCCTGTCGACCCCACAGTCGAGGTGATATTGCGGCTGAAAATTTTCAAAGCACAGCTGCCAGCAGATTTGATTTGCATCAGATAACTAGAGTAAAGATCCTCGTTATTGTGTTGATGAAATGCTGCCTGTCGAGCAAAATCTGTGTTGACTCACGGTCGGAAATTATCAGCCACACTGGGGCGCTGAGGCTTCCCCTGTGGCTGGTGCTATATTTATGCCTGAAGTTACAGGCGACTATTCCCAGGCCGCTCGGGGAGAAATCCGTGGGCCAGTCGGTACTTTGCCGATTTAAGTCACTTCAGGGTTTAGATATTTTCAAACACAGGTGATGTTGTGTAAGCTCAGACTGAAAGCCAATTTCTTGTGTTGTTTCAGAGATATCGTTGGTCATTTGACCTTTTTGTACGGCAAACGTGTGCAGAGCTGTTTGCGTGGGATTTACATCGTAAACAACTGGAATGACAATCTAGAGCACATGGTGGTCCTGAGGACACCAAAGACCAGGAAGCTGAACACAGAAGCATCAATACAACACACAGCACTCCGTACAGAAAGCTGAATGCTCGAGCATGAAGCTCGGGGAACTTTACCCCGTGCAGTCGGGGGAAAGTCCGGGGACATTGCCGAAGGCCATCCCCGCCCCGGACCCTTGCTGAGTATTTAGCTCGCTGTGGGTGGCTGCTTCTATTTTGTATCCATCTTGTTAATTCTCCTTCATAATTTCACACACAGGCCTAGTGTCATTTAATACCGGCCTCAATTTCTTCCCGGCTAATCCAAGAACCCGCACGCTTATATCATCTGACAACAATGGCAGACCGAAAGGTTCTGTCTGCTCAGCAGATCTCGGAGCACAAAACGCCCGAAGACTGCTGGGTTGTGGTCGACAACCAGGTGTGGGACGTGACCGACTTCCTGGAAGAGCATCCTGGAGGATCCGCAAGTACATACATACACCGACATATATATCCTCTCGGAGTAATATCTAATCCACCTCGCGGACAGTTATCCTGAAGCATGCAGGGGGAGATGCAACGAAAGCATATTCGGAAGTTCATGCACCCAGCGTAATGAAGAACAATCTCGACCCAACGAAGTATAAGGGCGTCCTCGATGAGTCTACAATTGATGCCGAGTGGGCCAAACCACCCCCAGGGGAGAGTCCTAAGGTGGTACTGGAAAATGAGAAGCCCCCGTTGCACACCCTGATCAACTCGCATGACTTCGAAGTCGTGGCTTCAAAAACCGCCAACAAGAAGACCTGGGCCTTCTACTCCAGCGCTGCTACAGATTTGATCACACGAAACGCCAACAAGTCGTGCTTCGACCGCATATGGTTCCGGCCACGAGTCTTGAGAAATGTCCGTTCAGTAAATGCTGGGACAAATATTCTCGGCGGGAGTTACAAGCTCCCGCTATTCGTGAGCCCGGCAGCAATGGCAAAGCTCATCCACCCAGATGGAGAGCGCGCCATTGCTAGAGCGTGTGAAAGCAAAGGAATCATGCAAGGAGTGAGCTCATATGATGTTGGTACTGTCAGTCACAATGCTTACGATCTGGATAGATTTCGAACAACTCATCCTACACGATGGAGGAGCTGCGCACGGCAGCGCCCAAGACCGATTTCTTCTTCCAACTATACGTCAACAGGGACCGAGAAAAGTCCGCCGACCTGCTACGTCAGTGTTCGGCGAATCCGAACATCAAAGCCATTTTTGTTACCGTGGACGCCGCGTGGCCCGGCAAGCGCGAAGCCGACGAGCGCGTCAAGGCAGATGAGAACTTATCAGTGCCCATGGCGCCGTCGAAGGTGCAGAACGACAAGAAAGGTGGTGGGCTTGGTCGTGTCATGTCTGGATTCATTGATCCTGGGCTGACATGGGAGGATTTGAAATGGGTGAAACAACACACGCATAAGCCGGTGTGTTTGAAAGGCGTAATGTCAGCAGATGATGCGCTGCTCGCCATGAAAGCAGGGCTCGATGGCATCTTGCTCAGCAATCACGGCGGTCGCAATCTGGATACCAGTCCGCCGTCGATTATCACGCTCCTAGAGATCCATAGACGCTGCCCGGAGGTCTTTGATCATATGGAAGTCTATGTGGACAGTGGTATTCGGCGTGGAACCGACATCCTCAAGGCTGTGTGTCTGGGCGCAACGGCTGTGGGCATGGGCCGAAGCATGCTTTTCGCTACCAATTACGGCCAGGAGGGAGTAGAGCATCTGATTGACAGTAAGTGGTGGCTTGACATCCTGCTTTCTATAGTTTGCTAATTCCGGCTTTTCGCAGTTATGCAAGATGAACTGGAAACATCCATGCGGAATATTGGCATCACATCCCTGGCGGAGGCGTCCCCCGATCTCGTGCACACTGGGGATGTCGACCACCTGGTTCCAGCGTCCCGCTCGCACCCGTACGCTCGGGCCATAGCTAAAGGGCGGCGACTGGAGTCGAAACTTTGAACATTCAAAGTGAGTTGTGATGTCGTTGACCAATCGCATGCGGGGATGTGAGCCATCTATTTTTTAGGGCATACTATACAGCATATACAGTATGCATATACCAGTTGCCTGAGAGTAGGAATTAGCGACCAATACACTAGCCTATGAACCTCAACAAAAATGAATCCCAAATTCCCTGTCTAATCTAGGGATGAAAGGCAGGGGAAGAATTCAAATTGCTGCCAAGATCTATTGACACTTGCCCAGGCCGGGTCCTTACAGCTATTGAATACTCCCGAGCCCCTGGCCACAAAATGAGCACAGCCACCTATAAGGTCTGCTGATCTCAACCTTCGATCCGGACCTTCCGGTTAAAATAAGCGATTGCGGGGTGAGAAAAGCATAAATCTCGGACACGTTGCACCATAGGATATCACAGAATAACGTATACCGTGTAGGACGGAGAATAGTTAAAATGTGTAGATCATTCGGAAGGGAGGACCCAACTCCGAGTCTCACCGCTCCACTTATTTCAGAGACTATAACACTATATTATTAGAATCTCAGATCCACCAGGTCATGGGATTCCTCAACAGTTGAGGATCGGCGATTAATTGGTATCCCCAAAAATTGGAATTCCATTCTTTTTCAGCGTTTGCAGAACAGAATCGGGGGATTAGAGGTCATGCATAAACGTTGTGTAGGCATCTGTTTTCCTGGAGAATTCAAGGCGGAAGAGTATAGGTTCTGAGTAGATAGGGAAGATAACCCAATAATGGCCGATGTTTATACCGGTGATTATTTCATTGGATCGTCCACGTAATGATCAGTTTCAGGAGGGGGGGATAGAACAGAATACATCATTTGGGGGGGGAAGTGATGTACCGGGTACATCTTGTCACTCCGTGTTCTGGTGGGTACGGGGTAGCCTGCCTCGATTGCTGGGTACCTACTACTTACGCCGTAGATCTCTGTCTGAGAGAATTGTTGAACCCAGTCCCAAGCACAGTCATCGGTAAGTTTTGTATATAAAATCTTGATTTCCCCTCTTCGATATTTTAAAAATCTATTAAACTGAATCTGTTCCCCTTTGCCACAGTGTTGACGTGCTCTACTTTTTTTTGGTACACGATAACGTTCCAGACCGCCAAGAAGTACCCTCATAGCTCTCCCCAACCATTCTCATCTATAAAGCTCTCCTGTTCTCATACTGCCATACTCCTTTGCTCCCTTACTTCCCTCTTTCATTTTTCCACTATACTTGGAGACTCCTGCCTCTAGCTTTGCCAACATAGCTCTATCTCAAAAGCTATAACTCTATACACTTCATTATGGCTGCTCCCCGTTCATCATCTGTCCGTGCTCTCAGAGCTCTCTCCCAGCAGCCTGTGACTCCCTCTTCTCGCCGCTGCCTTCACATCACTGGAGTCCAATCCGCCCAACCCGCCAACACCGGCGAGAAGGCCCTCTCCAGCCATGATGTCCTCCAATCTCGTGCCTTCAGCATTGCCATGCGCAGAATCAACGGCAGTGCATTCTCAGAGTATGTCACGTCCATTCCAGTCATACCTATACATCTACCAATGCCTTCGTTCCAAACCTTGAAAAGAAATGAACCCAGACCTAACATGCTCTAGCTCTTCCTCCCGCCAATTCAATACTTCCCGTGCCACAAAAGCCCTGAACGACACCTCAACCGTCGACTTCGTCTACATGCCTAGCATGGCAGACCTCGATGCCGCCCCTCTGCAGCGCAGCATCCAAGTCCCGGTCCTTCCCGAGCTCCCCTCCATCCCATGGAGCCAAACACCCACCGCCCCACCCATGAAGCCCCAGATCTACACCGTCTCCGGCACCGGGGCTGACGTCCCTGCCAGCGCCATGAGCGAGGTCGTCGATAATCACGCCATCGATCTGGACCCGTTCTCACTGACCGAGGCCGTTGGCCGCTCGCGTGTTGGCGAGGAGATCCAGCGCAGGTCAAACGGTACCTCCAAGCCCGGTGTCGTACGTGAGCTTTGGGCTGGCTTCCTTGATGACGTTATGGGCCCCAAGGAGAGCGCTCAGAGGAAATAGAGTCTTGTGATTCCTGCCTCTTTGGTCCAACCTTGTTGCTTCCAGTCCTGTTGACGGGTCTGTGATGAAACGATTTCTTTTGTTGCTTGATACATTGTTCAGGCTTTATCTTGTCTTTTTTGGGGGGGGGGGGTTCGGATTGTTTAAGATACTAGCGTTTTGATGTAATATCTTTCCCATGGAGTGGACGTCTTCCTCCATGGTGTCAGCCAGCCGATCATAGGCTTTGTTTTCTATCTTATTCCACTACATCTCTGTCGAGTGGTTTCCAATTCAATTGAACATTACTATCCATACCATCTTCAGCCCAAAATCATAGTCTCTACTACTAACATTCTTTTTAGAAACATTTTTCTTCCATATTAAAATTTGCCTATAATACTCTATTAAGATACAGTAAGAAGATCCCAAGTGAGAACAATTTCCAACGTACAGTGAACATTCTCATACACATTTCAATCTACTACCACAGATGACTCAATACCCTCACTCATGAAAACCGAAAAATCGCATTTTCGTTGTGCCGAGGCAGTCGATCCGATACCCACACCATGATCTACGACAAAATCAGATCCATGCTCCCGGGAACTCGCCGCCGTTAATCAAAGTGCACCATTAACCCGAGGTCACCAGGCCAGTTCCAGGCAAGTGGACAGGGTCCATCACATGTGCCTTACCAAGATCGCTGTCCAAATAACCCTAACGTAGTATTCGCTGCATATACTCCGATCCTGACAGCGCTGCTTCCGTCTAGCTCGGGAACAATGACGTCGGCACATTCGCACTAGTATACCGAAATTCTGCACGTTGAGAATCGAATCAGCCCACTTCTCTTTTCTTCCGTGTCTCTAGCGCCGGGGTAATACGTTTGCAGTTCCGAGGTTTGTTTCCCGCCGGTGGAATCATGGGGAAGTTCGGAGTCTCCGCTCGGACTATTTCGGGGAGAGCTGGGGTCGATTATCTGATTGATTTATCAATTGCTTTTCGTGGATTTTGGGGGTGACAACGGTTTTTATTTACATTTGAGCATTAGGGCTACATTGTGGCTGATGCTTTTAGTGGTTATTTAGGTCGCAAGGGGTCTGTGGCTTTGCATCGCGATCTACTGGTTTTGTGCATTTGGCATAATTGGCATCGGTGTACGTTGAGATAGTCCTGAGCATACAGTGTCTTTTTCCTTAGACCTTGAGATTCTTGGGGCCTATTTATTATTCACCATATGGCCGGTCGGGAGTAGTCTCCCTTCTCGATGGGCCCATTTAGCCTACCTACGGTCAGCAGTTAATTAAGACTGAGGCTAATCAAGGCTATTGATTTTTATTTTAAAGAATAGTTGGCTATAATCTATGCAATTATACAATCGTTCCAACATATGAATTCATCGCAAGGTTTTACATATTGAGGTATAATACCTGGCGTACAGTGTGATTATTGTAGTGAACTCCAGCTTTGGGTTTGCATATCGTAAGTTTATAAGGCAACGGCTCGTGATACAAGTGCGGGACACTTTTAAGACTTCCAAGGCAGACATCTGCACTTTGACTTAGTTATTCGGTGGTATACCGGGTACTTCGTTTTTATATAACCGGCTTTGGTTTATGATATATATTCCGTACGGAGTACTCCGTAGTGACTGTTCAGTATATACAATGACAGAGCCATTCGCCTCTTACGCAATACTGCATATCTTGTGACGCAGCTATGGGACCTCCTGGATGTGTTCAATTTTATCATCAGTCTCCACAGTTGGTTCATGATCTACATGATAGATCTATTTCAGGTCTTCAGCTATTTTAAGGAGTACTTTTCACTTTTCATTTAAGTCCGGTCAAAATGCATACAACATACTAGTCATTCAAGCTCATTCAATTTGAATTTAACGAACGGTAAATTGTACGGATCAAGTAGATCAAAGTATTCAACTGCAAGATAAATGGTCCCTATCAGAGCTGCTAGGGTCCGACGTTCTCGACCCCAGTGGAGGCGTCCAGTCTAGACCGTATGTTTGTACTCTGTGCGCCTAGCATTTTTACCGTCACATTCTGTGAACAGAGGGCTTACTGATTTCAAAGGTTCCTTTTGCGTTCTATTTTTGTTTTTCAGTGTGCCCATGAAAACCTTCACTATTCAGCTACTTATCTGTTAAGCACGACCATTAATTCGGATTCTCCTATCAAAGTCCAAAAATATAAGATCAACATTGGTACTCGGAGAGTATATAGAACTTTCGAGCTTGGGCCCCACTAGCTCCATTGCCCAGACGATCAATACCGGAAAGAGCGTTAGACCAGCGAGGGACAGTGGGAGCTAGTCCTATTACAGTTTAGATCCAACTGGAGTTCTTGTCGGTCCTGGTCAGGGGTTCACAGTGGAGACCGTTCGCCTCCCCCTCTCAAGTTTCTCTATATCTTTATTTTTCTCGCTTTCTTTTAATTTCCTTACCTTCTGGTTATATTGGACAGTACCCGGCCTTTCTTCAAATGCAGGTTTTCATATTTTGTGCCTAAAATCCCCCAGGGATCATGCATCTTTCATCATGTCTGGTCTTCATTGCTGGCATCTCGGGCGTGCACGCCTTTTATCCATGGGAATTACGGATGAAACTTTCCACGGATACCACAGTCGAACGTCGCTTTGTTCCATGGACCTTGATTGAAGCGAAATCAGAGACCGACAGCACCGACACATCTACAACCGACAAACCTTGGACCCTCGACCTGAAGAAAATGCCCGTTCGCCGCGACGATGGCTATGAGATCGTCGAGTCTCATAAGCCCTCATTGCCAAACAGCGCACCGTTACACCAGGACGGAACGGATTATTCATATTTCTCTCCCGTCTACGTAGGTTCTCAAAAGAAAGAAATGTGGATGGCCATCGACACTGGTGCACCCAATACCTGGGTCTTCGACTCGAATTGCACCGAGCCTGTCTGCGCACGTCATCACAAGTTCGACGGGTCGACATCAACCAGCTACACCGCTGACGGTTCGACTTTCAGCCTCTATTACGGCAGCGGCAAGGTCGACGGCAAGATGGGGACAGACACCATTTCAATTGCAGGGCTCGAAGTCTCGCAAACTTTCGGTCAAGCCAACAATGCCTCGGAAACCTTTCAGAGTTACCCATTCGACGGGATCCTTGGCCTGGGTCGGTCGCATACGGCAGGGTGGAATTTACCATCTTTCATGGACCTCGTTGCTGATAAAAAGCTCATCAAGTCAAACTTGGTTGGGTTCAGCCTCTCTCGCTCGGCAGACGGTGGCAAGGATGGTGAAATCAACTTTGGTGGTGTCGATACAACCAAATTCGATGGTACCATCAAATACACTGCTACCAACGACAAAATCTGGAGTATCCCTGTGGATGATGTTCATGTGAATGGAAAAAGTTGCAACTTTTCCGGCAAATCCGCTACCATCGACACCGGAACCACTTATCTCTTGATTCCTCCCGCAGATGCCAAAGCTCTGTTTTCTCTAGTCCCGGATGCATCTCAACAGCCTTCCAACAAGTATAACTATTTGATCCCATGTAACTCGACTGCAACTATAGAGTTCGAGTTCTCTGGTGTCAAATATAACGTCTCCCCTAAGGATTATGTCGGAAACGCCGAGTCGGAGGGTTCGGACTTTTGCATTTCCACCATTGTCGGCTATGCATCCAACGGTGCAAACTGGCTCGTCGGCGATGTCTTTTTGAAAAACGTTTACACTGTGTTCGACTTCGACAATGGCCAAATCGGGTTCGGCGCGCTTGCTTCAGCCTCAGCCTCGAACTCGCACTCGGGCCCAAACTCATCTTCAACCTCATCCTCCTCAACCTCGTCCGCGGGTAATGGGACATTCACCGCACCGCCAGTCACTGCCGCCACCTCATCTGGTGCCGATTCCACATCATCATCGTCGGCCACCTCTGCAATGGCCACAATCTCTGACAGCTCCGCATCCCACCTCGTCCGCGGCATTAGCTGGTCTATGCTCACGGTAATGCTTGTCGCATTCGCTATTTGAACTGCATTTTAGCCCATATTTCCCTTCTCGGCATTTTTTTCGGATTTGGCGCCAATCATATATCTGCTCTTTGTATTACTGTACACTCACTTATTCCCCATGTCTTTTCCGTGCATATTCTCGATCATTGTACATGCACATCATTTCATTTCTATTAATACACCCGGGTCCACATACGAGCACCCACTAATTCTGGCATACCTTGGCGACACTGTCTCTATTCGGCTTTTTTTCAGCTGCATATATCACTCGTTTTGTGTGGAACCTCCAACATCTACCCTTCATTTGAAGAGGGTATGAGCTGTCATTATTTCGCTTTCATAGACAAAAGTCTACAATATTATTGGCCAGAGGCCAACGTCTCAGAATAACCATCTGCAGTTTCCAATTGTAATCATGTCTAATCAATGCACCAGAACGATATCACATTATCACGTTGACTTTTATGCAGGTCCGTACCCAAATTAAAGTGGAAGTTCTGGAATTTTTTTGGCAACTGAGCTTTGGGGACTCGATATTAATTGACGGGCCCCATGAGATAGATCCATGGGGGTTAATGGTTCATTGTCGGTCATACTATCCATGTCGTTTGGGTTAGCGTAACAAGTCAGAAGAATGCCATCGAGTGCTTGCAAAGTTTCTTCCATTCACAAAGTCTTCTGAGGTATGAGCGTATAACTTTTCGGGTCCGACTCTGCAACTCAAAATCAGCATCCATCCTCACCTCATACCAGAGGCAAGACCAACCAAGAATGTCCCGAGTGAAGTCCTCAACTCCATTGAACCCAGCAACGCCCATCAAAATATCTAAATCCGCCAGCAACGACTTCATCACATGTCTAACCCCATCCTCGCCTTGAATACTCAACCCCCAAATCCAAAGCCGTCCGATAAACACAAACTGCGCCCCCAGCGCCAACGCCTTAACAATATCACTAGCCCCCCTCACCCCAGAATCAAACATAACATAGATCCTCTCCCCAACAGCCTCCGCAATCCTCTCAAGCGCATCAAGGCTAGCAACAGCCCCATCAACCTGCCTTCCAGCATGGTTACTCACGACAATCCCGTCAACCCCAAGCTCAACACACCTCCTCGCATCACCAACCGACTGAATTCCCTTGATCACAAACGGCCGTCCCCCACTAATCTTCCTCCAAATCTCCATCAACCAAGGAATTTTCTCCCACGACCAAGCCCGCCCGTGCCAAACAGAATCAATCCACTTTGTCGACGCAGCAACAAGATCAACCTCAGGATCAATCCCGTCAGCTACACATCTCCTCCGAAAAACAGGATCCTCAAGTCCCATATCTGCCCCAAATCCGCGGTAGAATGCATAATTCGACGACGCGATGTCGTCATGTCGCCATCCAAGCTGCCACGTATCAGTTGTGAGAATCAGCGCATCGAACCCGTTTTCCGATGCCCGCGTTAGAAGTGATACTGTCAGCTCGTCGTCGTGCGGCATGTAAAGTTGGAAAAAACGGGTGCCGGCAGGCCCGTTTGCTGATGCGACTTTTTCAATCGACGTGCTGCCGGCTGTTGAGAGGCAGTAGGGTAGGTTGAGCTCGCTGGCGACTTTTGAGACTGCAGCCTCGCCGGATGGGTGATAGATTTTGTTTATTCCGATTGGCGCGAAACCGATTGGGGCCGATACTGAGTGGTTGAAGATTGTTGTTCTTGTCGAGCGGTTGTTTGTGTCAATTAGTTGGTTTGGGATTAGTCGGTGCCGGTAGAAGGCTTGTCGGTTTACGAGGTGTGTGTTTGACATTCCTGCATTTGAGGAGGCGTAGTACCTATTGAGGTTAATTTATCCAGCATGTATCTTGGGATATCGGCTGGGGTACTATATACCAGCCGCCCTCACTCAGCTTCTCCTTCGCTCTTTCTTCCATCTTTCGGGGGTCTGTAGGAGTTAGAATTTCTATTCGTTGGCAGAATCATAGTCAAATCTTGCCAGTATTGAATAACGGTGTTGTTCCTTCATTTTGTTTCCAAAAGTTCTCTCGCTGGTAAAGACCCCATTGAGGTGTAGTGCGCTCTTTGATATGTGGGTTTGTTGGGTCGCTCATATTACAGATAGGTGAATTCTTTTATTCCAACTTCTTCAAACTAATATATCAATTCGGATAGTATGTGAATAAAAGAGCTAGTTGCTTTCGAAGTGAGTGTTATAGATCAATATCTTTCTTATCGATGACTTCATTTTGACGTTGCTTGGCCACATCATGGCCCAAAGCTTGGTTAAGCTTAAATGAACTCCACAATCCTTCCTTCACATTTTAACCTCAAGTATACCAAGCGAAAAAGCAGTTGTCGACAGTTGAGCATATTCGATTGCAACTTTGGAACCTCGGAAGGTCTTCTAATATGACACAGAGCAACCTCCCGAGGTTCAAAGCTGCAAGACTTAGATATTCTGGTTACGACATACTCCGTGGCTGTCTTTAAGATATAGATGGCAGAAAAAAGCGGGGACAAAAGCATACCTTGTGCAAGAGAGTTTTTTATGTATAACGTTTGATACACTTTGCTTTGGAGTCCTTCGGCTTCAAAACAATATAAAAACCCTCGGCCGGGAGCGATGACATCGCTTTTCGTATCCGAGCCGAGAATCTCCGTGGGCTAACCAAATCGGGGGAACGCTACGGGTGACTGCAGTGACCATTAGGGGCTTAACTATAGACTTATACTCCGTATAAGTTCTCATTTTCACACAACAGTGTAGGCTGGGGTACTCTGTTCTTTTCCAAGGCTGCCAAGATACTCGGTCGTTAGGACCAACTGCTATTAAAGTAATTCCCTGATAAAATAGGGCGGTCGCTTTCTGCCAAGCCACCGAGTAATTAAATCCCTCTTGGTCACTACCGCCTTCCGTACACATCAGATCCTCGGCCATCGTCATTTTGAGTTCGGAGTACAACCTACCGAAATATCTACATTTCTATCTCCTTTTTGGTTTCCTTTGACATCAAAATGTTTGGCCTCGGTAGAAGATCAGCGCTTGCTCGCTCAAAATCCTTGCCTGTGCTGCCCACGCGAGCCGCAGTCGCAGCCCAGCCATCCTTCATCAACACTCAGGACTTTCACTCCACGCCGTCTCAGGCAGGGTCCCGGCCAACATGGATGCCCATGCGTGTCAAGACGCCATGGATCGATGCACTGACACAGAGTCGCGAGAAGGCTGCTGGACCGGAAGAGAATGCTGGGCAGAGCATTAAGCCTGACGTCTCGCCGAAGAAGATGTCGGACAGCTATTACAGTGCTGTACGTAAATTTTTTTTCGTATTTGGTGGGGGTGGAAATCAGGATGTTGATATTGACTCACTGGTAGATTTTGCCTTTGGCCCAAGACAAATGGCTTTTGGATTCTTATCTCAACGCCTCCGGGCATATCAGGTACGCTTTTGATGGTCTATCTATCAAAAGAACATCTGACTGATCATTCCGACTAGATTGGGTTCACTTTTGATGGACCTCGATGCCCTAGCTGGCATCGTTGCCTACCGCCACACAGGTGACGGTGTATCCACCGTCACTGCGGCGTGTGACCGGATCACCATCGAGAACCCGCTAATGGAAATTTGCGACCTTGAGCTCAGCGGCCAATGTACCTACGCGACTGGTCGATCAAGCATGGAAATCTCCCTCCAGGTTACCAAGGCCCGTCCGGAAGGACATGAGCCGAAGCCTGAAGATGTCCTGATCACTTGTGCTTTTACAATGGTCTCACTGGACCCGGTTACCAAGAAGTATGTTCCTTCTCTGTATCGAGTAATACACACAAACTAACACCACACAACTAGGCCCGTTCCAGTGGCTCCTCTCCTCGTTGAAACCGAGGAGGAGAAGCGCCTTTTCCAAAAGGGTGAAGCGAATTACCAGGCCAAGAAGGCTCATCGCACACGCAGTCTCTTGGAGAAATCACCAGACGAGGAAGAGAGCAACCTGATCCACTCTATGTGGACGAAGGAGATGTCCTACCTGAGTAAGTATCAGGAAACCTTTTACCCATCACATCGCCAAATCCAAGAATACTAACCCTCGCCCCTAGAGCCCCAAGGCGCAACTAAGCGCCCCCCGAATCATGTTTTCATGAGCGACACAGTCCTCAAATCCGCCATGATTATGCAACCGCAATACCGCAACCGACACAACTTCATGATTTTCGGTGGCTTCCTGCTAAAACAGACTTTCGAGCTGGCCTTCTGCTGCGCTGCCTCCTTTGCACACGCTCGACCAAACTTCGTCGCCCTCGATCCCAGCACATTCGAGAACCCAGTACCCGTAGGCAGCGTGCTGTACCTGCGCGCGACGGTTTCGTACACGGAGCCCGAGGAGCGCGAGGGTGATAGTACCAAGTACACCAAGGTACAGGTGCGTGTTGACTCCAAGGTGCGGGATGTCGAGCACGGCACGAAGAAGTCCACGGGTATGTTTAACTATACGTTCCTTGTTGAAAAGGATGTGCATGTTATGCCTAAGGAATACGGTGAGTTTATGCTTTGGGTTGATGCCCGTCGGAGGGCACAGAATGCTGCTGCTATTGATCCGGCGCATAAGATGAGTGCGCTGCGGAGTATTAAGGACAGCGTTACTGAGTAGACAAAAGTTAGTTGGGTTGGGTCAGGTATCTTCTCATTACGTTTAGATCGTTTCAGATTTGTGCTTTGTTTTATCTTCCTTCAAAAATTTACATATTCACTGGACCATCTGTATATCAAAATAGCACTCAATAGCGAGAAATATACCCGCAGGGCTTGGAAAAATATCAAAAATTTCAGAGAATAAAAGACACATATTTTGTGAAGGCTACCATGCAAAGAGAAAAGAATCTATGTACAACGCCCTTCATTCGCCTCACTGTTCCATCCAACAAAAGTATGTATAAAACGGGCGGGGAATATATATAGAAGAGCATAGAAGAGAAGAAAAGACACAAACCGAACGCAAATATTCCATCCAGTATTCCAGTATTCCAGTCCACCCAGCTGAAAAACCAACCATGCAACCGACTCCATGTAAAAATGAGATGAGAATGATATAAAGAATCCTCCCAGGCCATTGCAATGCAACCGCGGTATACACATAGGTTGATCCAACTGAAAAAAAAGATCCCAGTCCCCGACTATAACTCCTCCTTCCGTGGAAAAGGAAAAAATTTCAAATGTTCGTTTCAAGTCGTGATTCCAGGCTTTTTTTTTGGCCTTAGGTGGCATTCTGTGAAACGTCTTTTCACTTGGCCTTTTTCTAGTATGAATATGAGAGGGTTTTTGTTTTTGGTATTTTTGTTTGAGAGATGAGAAAAATGTCCCAGTGTGGTTGATGTTGAGGGTAATGCTGTCTTTTTATAACAGTCACGTAGAGACTCAAGCCTCTAATTTCAGACTCATCGATAAATGCGAATGAGTTTAGTCTCGATTCACCAAGAGATGAGAGAGACGATTGGTGTCAAGCGTGAGAACTATCATCCCACCCCTGGAGTATGAACTGGCGAGGAATGCAATTAACAGCACAGAGCCGCTTGCCGGGAACCGTCTTGTAGGCGGATGCTACAAGGCAGAGGAAATTCCCGATCAAAGGAGACACGACTTGTTGATTGTCATTGCTCGCTAAGAACTTCCGAGATGGCATTGGACGTCAACGAAGCTTTATCTCTAGGTCCCCGAGGCTCGCGAGGCTCGGGTGGTTGCTCTTCTTTCATGCAAGCATTTTCCAAGATGTTAGTCCACTTCCCACTGGTGCCAGCATGGCTATGCTTTAGATGCTGTCGGAAGTGGTCTGCGCGGAAGAACTTTTTGGCATTGTTGCACTCGCCGAATTTGTGCACAGTGGTCAAGTGCTCGAACCGTCGATCCCAGTCTGCCTGGGGGAAATTGGGGAATTCCTCCCCGCAGTAGCCGCACGTGTCATGAGTAGGTCCGGCATTTGTCTGGCAGGACTGTGCGCCTGAGGCGTGGAATGCTGCTTGGAAACTCACGAGCGCAGCGCACGACCATGAATGGCGTCGTAGGTGGAGGGAGTTTTGATGTCGCTCAGCTTCATTTTTGTTCTTGAAGCGATGATTGCAGTAAGCGCATGCGTACTGTTTCTCCATCTCGTGGGCACTGTTCTGAAATTAGTATGGCTCATATAATGAAGACATCTTGGTGTCAACTTACCGCAGGCCATCTGGGTTGTCGAATTTCTTGGGTTTCTTTGGACAACAATCGCAGATGAAAAGCCCACCAATCTTCGGCGCGGCCGGCTTTGGCACGTTCATAATGGTTGTCGGTACAGACACAGGCATCTTTCCAGTGGCGTCTGTCGCAGGTGGTTCTAAAGATGTAGGTCCCGGGAGTCGTTGAAGAGTAGGCTGCGATAGCGCCGCAGGAGGGCTGGGGTTGAGAATAGATTTTTCGTGGAAAGTATCGAGATCAGAGCTTGGTGAAAAGCCACCTGGAGAAGGCCGGTCGTATGGAGAAAGGCTGGTCATGCTGCTACCTCCAATAGACAGCGTAGATGAATATGAGCCCGAGGTCCGGATGCTCAAGGATGAGGTGGCTGAGAAGGTCCGTTGGCTCGTAGCGTAGTTGGGGTTGACCGAGAGTGTGTTAGTAAACGGATGGCCACTGAGTCTTCGTTGTGACAAATCTCCGTTACTCGTAGTGACGTGCAATGTATGTCTATCGTCGCTTATCGGCTCACGCGGAGGTGAAGATGCCCGTCGTTTAATGCCGTGTCTCGAATCTGGATACGGCGGAGTGGGCTCTCGAAGAATGAATTGCCGCGGGGGTACCGGCTCATCAGTCGAAAACTCCCCCTCGATATCTGAAAACACGCCCTGGTCATAGCTTCCGCGGTTCGATCGACTCGGGAGACTGATGCTATCTTCTCGCTGTGGCGTTGTTCCACGATAACGGCGTCGGCTCACATCCCGCGGAAATCCTTGGTCGTAATCTAGCGCTGATGATGGTGCATTGCTCTCCACGCTTGGGCTTCGGCCTATATGCTCTCTCCAGCCGACCTTAGTCCTGGGAGAAACGCCCCCGGACTGAGGGCTGTTATGCCATTTCACGTCCAGTGTTGACCCCTCCGAAGGCCCGGGTGATGGCAGATTGCTTGGGCTTCGTGAGGGAACGGTGAGCGCAGGGAGTGAATTTCGGTTGTCGGTTCCGAGACTGATAGATCCCCCTGGTGATGGAGGTTTCGCTATTTGAGGCTTTCCGATTTTGGATAATAGTTGTTGGTCGTAGGCATTTGATGAGTCTTTGACGCTCCGTAGTGAAAATTGGCGCTCACCACTCAAGCTATCAATGTATTAGCAAGGTCAAAGCCTGGTATAGAAGGCGAAACCGAGGATTGCACAGCCCTGGTGGATCAAGTGCGCTTACATTGGACCTGCCGGGTTCGGGATGACTGACACGGAGTTTGGAAATCCGTCTGTAGCTGGCAGAGGTGGCTGGATCTGGATATGAGTTTCGGGGTTTCGCGAGACGGGAGCCCCGCCCTGCCTCCCCTCTAAATCATCTATCTGCATCGGATCACCCTGTGAGGCGGTTTCCGCCCGTCGACCTCCAAATAAACTTGAGCTCGGGTTAATAGGCGGAAGAGAAGTCGGAGTTTCTGAATTTGCGTATTTCCAGCCAGCGTCATAACCGATTTCCAAATCGGGGATTCTGGGTGGCGGTGGAAGTGGTGGAGGAGCGTTGTTCATAGTTGTTCTAGTCCGTGACGCTATAGGTAGTGGACCGTGGGATGAGAGTGCCAGCTCGGGCATAGCGTATTGGGATTCGGAAGAACGCTTGTATCTGAAGTCATGGAAGCTCGGCGACTGAGAAAATCGAAGGTCCATTCTAGAACCAGAACATAGAGCCGGAATTCAAATCAAAGATGGGCTGCGCATCCACATGAGCCGAAGCTGAGACCAGCAATAAACTCAGTCAAGCAGAAGACAAGGTCGAGCTTGAGTAAATCGGAACAAGCAGGTCGAATCAAGATCTCAAGATCCTAGCAATAACCCAATCCAGTTGAGTGCAAACGTCGGTCGTGAAACCAGCTCCGATTGTTAAGCGGGCCGTTAACCAGCCTCACACACTCCGAAGAATTTCTCAGAAGGTCCAGCTTCTGCTTCAAGAGTGGAAGGGCGGATAGTTAGACAATGTTGGCGACAATGTCAATAGAAGAATTCATGCAGTGTGAAATCTTATGAGTCTACTTTAAAGAGTCAGATCATTTGAAAGTGGACTGGACCTGATAATAAAAGACCGGGGTCGTAGGGGAGGGGGGGGATAGGGCTGAAGAAGGCCTACCTCGGGACCCTTGTTCGGCGATTCGCCTCATAAGATGAAACGTTTTCCCGTAAGTGACACACGGAGAACCGGGTCTGTGTCCCATAGAACTTGGCCACACTGTAACTTCAAGGTGCACACATGCTTAATAGAAAGAAAAAAGAAATAGAAAAAAATAAGAAAAAATAGAAAGAAAATAGAGCTAGTAATATGTTAGAAAGATGCAATCAAAGCCGGAGATTCGAGTATAAAGAAATACACACTCTCTATGCACTGGGGGTACCCCACTAGCTGAAGCCCGTAAAAAAAAATAGAGCAAGGCGAAAAAAAGGGAAAGGCTGAAGGCTGAAGGGAGCTGATCAAATACAAGGCGAATCAAAAAGGAAAAGATTGAACCAGACCGGTGTATCGGGTAGGAATTTGGGCGGTGCAAGCGATTGGATCCAATTAAGGCAAAGAGAAGGTGATCTCATCCTAGGGAAAGGGAAAATGCCTAATCAGAGGCAAAGAGGCAAAAAAATAGGGAAATTGAAAACATACCAGCCCTAGAGGTCTCGGGCTTAAAGTCTTTGGGTGACGTGGAAAAAGCGTATATGTATGTATCGTTCGTATATGGGTCACGTCCATTACATACCAGTTACAGGGGATGTTTTGAAAAAAAAAAAAAAAGGAATTTAGGTAAGATAATGTCATTTGTTATTCTCAGTAATCAAACATTAAAAATTAAAAAATTAAATTGTAAATTTCACGCGTGAGAGACGTTGGAATGATAGTTATGGGCAGGCTGAGTCGGTAATTTTCTAGTTCGCTATTCGACGGTCTGGATGCTATAGCCCTGGAGCTTCCAGAAACCAAAATCTGGGCCCCAATACTCCAGGAAATGAGAATCGACTGGCCCAGAGTTCCAAGTTCCAGAGTTCCCGCTGATCAATATGACGCGCGATACCCCATATGGAGTTTTTGCATTTGACGGGCAGAATGGCCGTGCGGTCTTCATATATTGGACGCGCAAATGCGACCCAGATCATGGTCCACATTGTTACTACATACTAGAGTTCTAGTCGGCTATACTCAAGTCGCGATATTTGGGTGCCGAGTTGGACCTAAAATCTGGGAAGCACGTTCCTTCGAACCATGGTTTATGGTTAGAACTTGACTGCTGGGTATCGTCAAGGGAAGTATACTTGGCATCTTGTGCCTTGCAATAATATTCGGGCTTAGAAGTCTTGGCATCCAGGCTTAATATCTCACTACCAATGAATCCTGAACAGAATACGTGTATGATATGTACATGTGCAATCGGAGGATTCGGGCCCTACATTCATTAGAGAACATTCTTTTGCCTCCACACAAAAAGAATAATGCTGAGTCGTTGGACATGGGTCCACTGATGTACTAGTGCACTCCACTTAGCGCCTAGCATTGCATGCACTGCCACACTGTCGGTCCGCCTGTCATCTGGGCGTAGAGGGGGTGAACCTTGACACTTGTGGTGGGATCAAATATTCTAGAGTCAGACATTGTTGAACTGAATTTCTCAAGAAAAAAAAATCATAGAAAATGGCCTGGTCTTTGGCGATGAGTGGGAAGACGGGAAATAAGAACGTTGGAACAAACCCTCCAGGGCTGCAGGGAACAGGGCTGAGTAATCGGCCTAGTGCTCCACATCAGCTTCGAGAAGAAAAATCTCTGTTTTTCTTTTGGTTTTTTGGTCTTTTATTATTCTTTAGTGAATATCGCTAGATTGGGTATTCCGGTGCAATCTAACTTGTTCACGGCTAGTGCCACTGTACCACTTTAGGTTCTAGCCTACGTTAGTATATATGTAATATAATGTTTCATCCCAAGGGGACGGGCGAACTCCTATGTTAGATGTACGATTAGATATTCCGAGAGCTTCTTGGTCTATACGAAGGATTTTCTACTCTCAAACGTCAGGGTTGCTCAGGGTAGTTCAACACTAATTTCGAGGGGCAGTGCCCTCTTGGTGAGGGGTATTACCTCTCTAAATTGATTGTTGTCTACTCTGTATACTTCGTACAAAGCAGCTCATACAAAGACCAATCCAATAGAATTTCTCCTAGGGCCATTATGTACGTATTTCTCATCGATCGTCGCCGTCAAGCCACTTGACGTTCCGGGAGGCGCCCTTGACTTATTTAGGAAATAAATAGATTGCGGTCGGCGACAGCTGACGAGGTAAGCTACACACCTCCATTGTGGCCAAATGTTCTTACGTTTTTTGCTTCAGGTAATGATTACCAGAGCCGACAGGCAGCAAAGACACTTGGTCACCAAGAGGCGTCAGCAGAGAGGGGTTTACGGATTTTGTACCGAGTAGTTCGGCTGACTTCTGATAAAACCAACATAAACCCAGCCCTGGAAGAGTCTAGGTGCATTACTACATGGTACCTCCTAAGGCGCAGCCAGCCTTAAGCCTTAGAAGGCTGCGGCCTAGAGGCGCGGGTTACGCCTCCCAATGTTACCCGAGACGAGTTAGCCTCCTTTATACTAGGTACTTCGTAATGAGGCCTCCCGCCCCGTTGATTGCTCCATTCCTGGTCAGGTTCCCCGCGGTAATCCTAACTAAGCCTAATTCTAGCTTCCTTTTTCCCTGCCCCATGAGCAACCCCTTACAGTTAGCATAGCAAATCAGATCATCAGCTAACCAGGTTGATTGTTTGACCTTTGTCGGATGTAAATCGCGCTCCACATTGCGGAAAACACTGGGTATATTTCTCCATGATCAACAAGTTTGTATCTACGGGGCATGAAGTACACATGGAGCTACAACGTAGACACTCTGCACTTTTATACCATTGCAATCATGCATCATGTCTACAATTATGTAGAATATAACTATGGGGTCGATCTAGATATTTAGTCATAAATGCCGCGTCACACTATTGGGAAGGGGCCAGCTAAACTCGCTTTCAGTACGGAGTATCAAGTACATACCTCTTGCAGTCAAGTTGTAATAAAGGCCGTAGAAAAGAAATATAATACTGTACGTATCTAGGAGGAGGCACCAACCTCGGAGTGGGGAGATCCTCGTATAGTGGGTGACGTCCAAAGTGCCACGTTGTTGAACAAATCCACACTCTCTTACAACTGTAACTATTGCTGTGGCCATTTGAGGGTCAATAATGAATGGAGTCCAAATCAATTGATAATTCTATATTTGCCTTGATAAGCTGAACAACGAAACCCAGATCTAAGATATATATTGCCTGAGGCACCAAAGTCACCTGCTTTGTCATACCCTTACCCTATCAGACTTTTTGAGTTTGGCAGCGCCGAGGCTCCAACCTCCGCCGTTGCGATCTAAGAAAAAGAAGTCAAGTTTATCAAATGAGATTCTGAATTCTGTAATTGCTCACTCGCCATCGACACAAGTTTCCACCTTACCGCTGCCGAGTTGCAGCCACCATATCTCAAAATGGCCATGAATCAAATAAAAGGCCACAATATCTATGTCGGAGGGTTGGTCTCACTTCACTAACAGACAATCTTTGTCAGGGTTTCGCTAAAATGGAGCTGAGACTGGAGATTGGCACTGCCAGTTCCTGATTTGGCAGTTTTTATTCATTGCTAACGCGCCATTTGTAGCATATTAAGCGTCAAAAACAAAGCAGCATTGGCACGTGCAGATATCTCGCATGTCCTCTCGGTGCTGCGCCTCAACCCAGCTGAGGAACAAGAGAAGTTCTCGTCTTATCAGCATCTTTCCATAGGAGTTGACGATGTCGACGATGAAAATTTATTGGAGCATTTCCCCGCCGCTATCAAGTTTATTCAGTCCGGCCTAAACGGTGGTGGAGGTGTACTCGTGCATTGGTAAGTCAAAATACAAATTATCTAGTCTTACCTGCCGAAAGTTTCTCCCGGCTCCTCGGTCGTTCCTTGTGGAATGCATATCCTTTGAGTGGCATGCCTCCTACGTCATTGCGTGTCCACCAAGTGCGATCTACACATGGCCGAAGGATCCTGCAAATCCCTTTGGTGCACGTTGGAGCTGTCGTCTTGAAATTTCCAAGTTGTGCCTGGACTCATAATGGAAAGATGTACAGTGGCTAATACGTTGATTCAGTGCGATGGGGAAGTCCCGCTCCGCGGCCATTTGCATCGCCTACCTGCTCCACCGACAACCAGGGGCGGTCACACCGCAATCTGCCCTTGCGCTGATTCGCGAAAGCAGGCCCCTATGTGAGCCAAACGATGGTTTCATGGAGCAACTGAATCTATACCATGAGATGGGCTGCCCAGATGATGTCACCGACCACCCGTTGTACAAGCGCTGGCTTTATCGCCGCGATGTCGAGGGAAGTGTGGCGTGTGGCCGTGCCCCAGAGCCGAAATCGGTGCGGTTTGAAGACGAACAGCCGGTTCGGTCCCAAGACTCCACCGGTCGAACAGTCGAGATTAAGTGCCGGAAATGCAGGTTAGTCCCACAATCAAAGATCCAGACCCGTACTCCTGGAAAAAGAAAAACTCTATACTAAACCCATCACAGAACCAAACTGGCAACGACTCCATTCATCCTCCCGCATGAAGAAGAAAAGAAAAATACCGCCAAGTCTTCAGCAACCGCCGATTGCGGTCATGTTTTCCTCCACCCTCTGACCTGGATGCGCCCAAGTCTCTTCCCATCCGAGGACGGAGCTGAGGCTAACGCGGATACAACATATGGTGCGCACCCCGACGATGCCCCTCTGTCTGGGCGCCTCACTTGCCCCAATCCTATCTGCGGGTCTAATGTGGGCAAATTTGCATGGCAAGGTCTTCGATGCAGCTGTGGTGGCTGGGTCATACCCGCCATTGGTCTCACCAAAGCCCGCGTTGATATCGCCCAAGTCAACTTGGCCCAGGGGCCAAGAGTTAACCCAGCCATCCGGCTTCCTCCGGGAATGCGGGCCCCGGCAGCTAACGACACTGGGCGTGGCAATCTTTAAGATGACGAGTGATGAACACCATGCATACATAGTTTTACGAGTGATGAAAGCTTAAAGCCTCCAACTTACATTTTATGGTTCATGTTTGGTTGTTTTTTTTTTTTTTTTGGTTCCAGGTAATCATGTGCGAATCAAAGGAGCTCACCGGGCTTGTGAGTGACAGGTACATCTAAGCTCGGACCTGAGGGCCTGCACTCTTTGGAAAGGACCACGTGCCGCACGTGGAGAGTGGCCATAATTGCTGGCCATAAGAACATGACTGCCTTACGTCTCATTTCATTATACTTCGTACAGGCGGCGACAATGGCGACCAGATAGTGAGGCTCGGGAACACCGCCCCCGAACTTTCTAGACAAGCCACTGAAGCCAACAGGATACTCCTCTGTGCTCCAATCCATGATCTACAAAAGCAAGGCACACATTAGGCGACACGCGGGTCAATATGCCCCTGCTGATCTGTACAGCCACTGTGATATCAATCCATCACAAACCCACAAGCCATCCTCCGAAATTTACTTCGTATCTTGGCATCTATCCTGTGATTCGTATTCAATGTCCGTCAACATCAAGGTGCCATGGCCCACAGACCAATACATGGATATTGCACAAAGTCAACAGATAAAATGTAATACAGCGTCGGCGATATGAGACAGAGTCAAAGTCCCATTTCGAATTGCACATAGTAATTGAATTCGGGCCCGGCTTACCCTAGGGCTGCACCATATACCAACATGCATAAGTGGACTCGTGGTCCGAGCTAGCCTTGTCTTGTTTTTTTTTTCCCTGGTTGTGATCCCAGCCATACGGAGTATGCAGCGACATAACGGTAGTTAATCGCGCGCCAAGGCACCTTATGTTTCTCACGAAACCCACAAAAGGATACAATATAGATCCACACGCGCAAACGCATGCTCCACTTGTCTTCCTCTCTTCTCTCTAAGATTTCTTACTTCTAAAGCCCCACGGAAGTGCTGTCAGTTTCAAGGATCAGCGCAACGCCAATGACGCTGGGATTGAATTCATTTCCCCCCCTTCTGTTGACTTCCAAGGTTTGAAGCAGAAGGAGGCTGTGCAAAGCGGGTCTGTTTCCAGTGTTTCCCGATTGGTGGGTGTAGGTATTGGTATTACAGGTATGTGTTTGGTTTTGGTTTCTTACTGTGTCCTGTATTTTTGAAGGAATATGACCTTGGATGCTATACACATATCTCTATGGTATATTGTGTAGTTACTAGTTGTAGATCTCATTAATACAAGCCCTTGCTGGTTATGTTATTTTGACTAGCTATCTAGAGGTATACATGCCAAATTCATACTGTGTGATTGGCAATATCCCTTTCCCAGTGGGGGTGGGCAGTGCACATTACCTTGCAGGGGGGAGCTCCCGGTGGAGTTCACATATGGTCTGGCTTGGAGAACTTAAACAAATAATGCACAGGTACCACACATCCTTTCCACAATCCGCATCATTGTTACATAGTTTATCAGTAGATGCGGTTGTGATCGCCTTTGCGTCGATCGCTGGCATTTAACTATGTTTCAGGTCTGTCTGGGATTATTAGGCTTGGTTTCTTTTATAGTTGCGATTGAGTCTAATTAGGAAAGTCTTGAAAACATTCATTTTTATCTGGGATAATCCCATAATCAATGTTATAAGGATCTTACCATTCAAAAATAGTATGTCGAGTCTCACTTCGTTCGCTGTATGATATCTGCGCATCTGTTGAATATTTGCGTTGAACAATCCTTGTGTTTCGTGGTGACATTTACTACTAGTGAGCTACGGAATATAGGCTGCCAAATTCATCTAGCTAAATAAAGATAACACGGTGGGAGTTACACTGCCTTTGAATTTTGAACAACACGTGCATATCATGTACTATACTCACATGAGTGCGGAGCATCACGGAGTACACAAGGTATGGCAATGTCTGCCTACATGCATCATATTAGCTTAACACTACATAGTTATAGGCTTCCTTGAATCTAAACCCCATGGCACTGGTCCCGTGTTCCAGTGCAGCACTTTCTATCACCTAGACCTGCCAGGCAGCATTCAATCGAATTGATTCCAGTACGGAGTAGTTCAAGACATCTACGAACTTTAACAATTATAGATCGTGTCACTCCCAGGCAGCTGCATTGTTAATAGGAGTTGAATTTCACGTGTCTGTCTCAGTCTCCAAAGTGCTGTGACTATGTAGTTGTCTAAGTTACAGTCTATATATATGCACTTGCATTGAAATAGCATAGTACAGCATACCAAATTTAATAAACAGCGGCATGACTAGCTCGAAATTACATCTAGAGATTACTACCCAGTAGCTGTGACGAGAAATGTAACAACTATAGAGATAACGTCCTAGAAAGGTCAACAATTAAAACTACCTTGTATCTGCTAGGATAGTTACGGTTGCACAGCCGAGCCCTAAACTACATAGAGTGAGTCGGAGCAAGCCCCGGACACGGGAACGAGAGTACAAAGATTGGTTCACGTACCATGGCAGTCTATGTACCACCGACAGTTTGTTCAAGCCTCACATGCATTGAAATCCAGAAGGCCCCAACAAATATACGACTACGACAGGCTTTGGGTCCATCGCGCTAAGCGGGTTTTTCGCTGGCAGAAGCTTAATCAGCTGCCATGGATCAACATTTATACGTATATGTACCTAGCTAGTCTCCTAAAGGTCTAGAAATAGCTATCAAAGCTGCCCCACTGACAATATTAGGGGATTGTTGGCGGTTATATTCTGAAAGACCCATAGATTTAAACTATTTAAAATGGAGAAATAATCTCATGCTTATAAGGGCTTGTACATAAGTTGGCGCGGTGGACCCAAAAGCCTGCCGTACATGACCAGTGGTTCCATCAGGAACATACCGAGTGAGCCGCCCACTAGCGCCGAGGCAGTTTTCTACGAGGGGGGGCCTTGTCTCGGTCTTATTTAGGGGCCGCTCTAGATAACTAGTGCTTATTATATCCCCACCTAACAGCACGACCCTTTGAAGGTCATGCAATACGGGAAGAGCACCCTAACACTGAGTCATTTACCGCAGAAAATAGAAAGTTAACAGTTCCTGGTCTGGGATATAGGAAGTTGCCCGGGCGAGAGTGGCTGAGTGTCAGAACCGTGTTGGGTGCCTCGTAGACAAATGTGTACCAAGGATAAGCGGGTTACATAAAAACCAGAGGTTTGGGAATTTCCAAGAGTTGCTACTGTAGTCGGCATCCTGCAGGATCGGAAATTCGTTTGAGAGATAAATGAAGTCCATTGTACACATGGGTCCTAGGATTGATCGTGCCCGAGTCAGGGGCGCCCCGTGCCGGGGGCCAATACCACGTCACACTGGCTGAAACCTTTATTTGCCATTGGGGATTGTATGCCTTGCTGATAATTGGGCGGAAAGTCCGCTAATAAATGGAAGACGCGGAGATGTGGGGATATGAAGCTTGTATGACTCAATATTTCCGCGTGTTTGCGTCCGCTGCTATCCGCAACCCGGTCATAACAGCGAGTAAAATGGTTCGATAATGAATGGTTTATGGAAGAATTACACAGGCCGTGCAAAGTGGTGGACATCAGTCGTCAGGTAGGCCTTCACTGTTTTGTGCCGTGCCCTGCTCCAGTGTGCCTACTAGATCAGGGGGACGTTGGGCGAATCAATATGGCGTTCTTATCTCGAACTGCCTATACTCACGCCCAAAGGGCACGAGCGAAAATAAAGACTAAGGATTTCCTGACGGCACAGAGGGAAACAGTGTGGGTTGCCTTAATCTTTCCTGGTTGCGTTTTGCTATTTCAATGTTGCGTAGCCGGTCGATGCGCATTTGATAGAAATTCCTGTTTTGCCGTTAGGAGTCACTGCCATGAAAATTATGTTTATCACATACTTGTGTAAAGAGAAAATTCGAGGCGAATCATCTGACTTTGTCTCTGTCCCAGACCCTTTCTGGATAGAAGCAATCTGGCAGAGATAATCAGTCAACACGCTCATACGAAGCATTTTTCTTAGCTCCCTTCGCCGTGGAAAGACACAAACCTTATCATCTCTGTCTTTTTCATCGTTGGAGCTTAACTCAGATGTGTCTTTGTCTTTAGGCTCATCTTTGCCCTTATCTTTCTCCTCTTTATTGTCCTTGCTAGACGCCTTCTCGCGCTCTTTTTTTCGGCGTTGTTTTTCTTCGTACTCCTTTTTTACCTTTTCAATCTCCTTAGCCATTTGCTCTTCCTTAAGACGTTTTGCTTGGCCCTCTGTGTCGATGATCGGAGAGCAGAAATGCTTGTCTTGCAAATGTGCGGGGCACACGTAGAAGAAATCCTGAGTGAATGAGCCACTTCATGTGCATAAAATTGGGGAAATGAAGCGAAGAGACAGTCGGGTGTATCATATGCGATATAGAAGATCACCTTGCATACCTTGTTATCGGGTGTGATCATCACACTGGTGGATGGTTTGTAGCAAATCAAACATGCTTTTGCAGATGTATCCGCGACACGACGCACATGGTAGACGTTTGTTAATGACATGATTTCGTGTCAAAATGTTTGCTCTAAGCAGCCAGGATTGTTTCCAATCGTATGTTGCTGTTTGGAGTTCGTGTTGAACAATTGTAGATGGACTTGATGAGGTTGGTGTTGAGTGAGAAAGCGCCGTCATGTGACCCATACTTCCAAGAGCAAATTGGATTTAAAGAAGTCTTTACAAAATAATTGGAATTCAAGATGATCTTGTTGATGGAAATAAGGTATTGATTCACTAAAACTGATGTTGTATTTCAGCCAACACCCACCACGCCCATCTTAACAAAACGCCGAACCATGCATTTGTCCACTGATTTCAATCCCAATGGGACTAGAGAATAGGACGAGAGATAACGATACATGAAGTTTTGTGAAGAGAAATCATGAGATATAGTGAACATTAAAAAGATTGCAGCAAAAAAAAAGATCATCATAGATCATAACACCTCCTCTCCGTCGATGCCAGCTGCCTCCTTTGCTAGCCTCAAATCTTTGCCTGCGATACCGATGTCCCGCAAGTAGGGTCTGAAGGCCACCAGTAGATCCTTGAGACCACCACGAAGGGTAGCAAGCACAACTTCAACATCTGGAACTAGACGGGCAACTGCTTGCGCCTGGGGATCGCTTGGTGGGGGGAAGTTAATATCCGTCCAGTGGGCATCTAATCCACCCTGGTGGGCAAATGAATCCAAGGTGAGGGTAGTTTGGGTCAGAAGTCGCACAGCTGAGGGCACATCGGCTTGAACTTTGCCATATGGATCTTCAGCCAAGCTGGCAATGAGGAGTCGAGTCAACGACTCCACAGCATCCACAATCAAGGATAGAGAAGATTCTGGTGTGCCAAGAACAATGGAAGAGAGGCGTTGGGCGTATGTTTGACGGAAAGGTTGACCGATAGGCGAACGAAGAATCTGCGCCAGAATTGGGTTCATGTCTTCGGGTTTATGGGTCGGGGAGGGACCGCCGGTAAGTAGCTTGAACTTCTGAGGAGAGTTGAGATATTTCTGCTTCTGCTCAGGGCTAAGCATTGCCGAAGATGCCCGGTCGAAGACATCACGGACTCGGGCTCGCGCAGTTGGAGTCCAGTCTTCTGACTGACCGATGGATTTAGCCGCCGAGCTAAACGCATCGCCAAATTTGTCCTGGCGTGAGGTAGCCTTTGGGGCAGTAGTGAAGATGTTGTCATCTTTGATCGGTTCTGAGAGTCGTGGGAGAGTTTGAAGAACAGGCTCGGATTTCTCGGCTTGCGGCAAAGGCTTGGTAACAGGGGCGGGATTTTTGCTTTCCTCGATGCGAGTGTTGATGGCCTTGATTACATCGGTCGTGCAAGCAAGAACTTGGGACCAAGCTGAACCACCCTCGCGATCAATTTCATTGAAAATGGCCTTCCGGCGGTCGGGAATGCGTTGGCTGATGAGACTGAGTTCCCAGAGCGCGAAAATCTTCACAACTTCCTTCTTCGCCTTGAGGCCACTAAGAAGACTGCCATTGGGGTCCTTGGCTTCTGTTGTGAGTGGCTGCCCGCGCTTCAAAGGCTCCTTGCCGATGAAAATAGAATAGAAGAGGTTTGAGGTTTGCCAGGAGAGAACAAGCATGACTCCAGGGACTAAAGTTTTGAAGAAGAAGTAGGGGAAAATTGAGGGAACGAAGCTCTGAGGTTCGGCTGCAGATCTCGGGAAGCTCCAAAAGAGCTTGGCAGCGTACAAAGACCAACTCCACGCAAAGCGTCGGAAAAATACGGGGTATATCACGAGAGACGCTACAGCAACAGTGACGCTTCTGATAGCCCCGGCGGCCAATTCTTGCGGCAGAACACGCTGCAGATACTTGGAGGTTGGCGGTACAGGATGGGTACGCTCGTCCTTTGTTTTGGAGCTTCGTTCCGCGATGGGCACTGCAATGCGGTCGTAGTCGTAGTAGAGGTGGAACACGGCTTGCACACATGCTAGAAACGCATGGAAGGAATTAAGGTAAATCGGCCTTTCGTTCAATGTTGGTCGCTCGTGTGGCCTATATATCATCAGTCCAGATCGGAGTCACTTAAAAACATACTCAACGCACCTGCCCCGTTTCACAAGCTCGAGGTTGGAATCAAGCGAAGACGACCATACGTAGACTTGAGTGAACCACCATGCCGAGAAGATGTACCAGCCAAAAGTTTGCGCGATTTGTAACAAAGTGAAGGATTTCATAGTGCCAAACGAGGAAGTAGCTGTTCTCGAGCCGACGTGCATTTGACTGACGCGAAGGACAAAAATGGTGAGCGAGGATATGAAGAGTAGCGCGGTTCGAACCCCACAGCTACCAAAGGGAAACCATAACCAGAAAACTACATAGGGTACTTTTATCAGTTCTTTGTACTTTCAGGACTTGAAACCGAGCCTTTGAGGCTCGACCCGATAAGGTTGCAATGTACTCACGGGACGATTTTTCCCCGATCGCAATTGCGATGATATAAGAGACCAGCAGTGAAAGTGCAGATGCATGAACAAATCTTCGGTGCAAGGCCGAAGTCAGGATTCGCCTGTAGGGCCGAGTTGGTACGACGGCCATGATGTAAGCTTTGGGAGTGGGATGCGCTCGTGGAAGAGAATAGTTGAAGATTAGAGCATGATCAGGATGATCTTCGTATGGAGAGCTCCGGGAGCTGGAGAAAAGAATTGGCGGACCAGGGAAGGTGTTGACGAACGGTCACGGCTGACAGCTGGTTGTGTTGAGCTGGTCGGATAGGATCGATCAACACGAGGTCTAGGAATATTTTGAGGCATCAAAATACATCAGCCACAGACAGTCATGTGACAGGTGGCTAGGGGTTGCATTATGCCACAACGGCTAGTCTATATCGAGCCTAGTGGTTGCGTGGTACGTCATGTGAAGGCGGTCTGCACACCAACGAGGCTTATCGAAGGCAGCAGGGACCTGCAGATAACTCGTTTATTATTGTCCAGTCTTCTTCTTCCTTCACTTTAAGCACTCATTTATTGCTTTTTGATTACACATAGAATGTCTTTCGATAGACTAAACTCGTTGGAGGCTCAGCCTACCACCATGCGCAGGGATGAAGACCCGCAGTACCGCGATGATCCGGACTTCGACCATCTGGCCGAGCAGCTCTCAGACCAGTTATTTACATTGACATCAAACATCTCTCGCCTATCCAACCAAATTGCCCTTCTCGGAACCAAACGAGATACAGATCGTGTGCGTGAACGAGTTCACAATCTGCTCGAAGAGACCCGTACGGGGTTTAGAGATGTAGGAGAAGGGATTAAGCAGGTTCAGACATGGGAGGACGTCAATGTACGATTTATCTGTTTCCACTCACTGTCAAGCATTTCTTGTTAACGTCCGAACTTATAGCCCTCCCAGAAATGGACACAGCAAAAGCTATCGTCCGAATTCAAGGCCACCTTGGATGAATTCCAAACTATCCAGCGGCGTGCACTCGAGAAACAGCGTGCTTCCGCGGTTGCTGCACGTACAGCATTTGAAGAAGGCGAACAACCGTCCTCTGAAAACGATGTCCAATTACAAGAGCAGATGCTGGAAGAGCAACACCGTATGGCCAACCAGGGCGAGGTGGACTTCCAAGAGTCCCTGATTATCGAGCGTGAGGCAGAGATTCGAAACATCGAGCAAAGCGTCGGAGAGTTGAATGAACTCTTCCGGGATGTTGCGCACATCGTTACGGAGCAAGGAGGACAGTTGGATATTATCAGCGAGAATGTCCAAAATGTCACCCAGGACACACGAGGCGCCAATGTCGAGTTGCGCAGTGCCAGCAGATATCAGAAGAATGCGCGCAACAGAGCTTGCTGTCTCTTTGTAATTCTTTCTGTTATCCTTGCTATCATTGTGCTTGCAATTGTTCTCGGTTAGATATTTCCCTTTTTTCGTTCTTGTTCTTCGTCTATAATGTTGTCATGTATGCGCACGATATCCCTTTTGCGTGATTGCACTTTCGTTAGTCAAGCATCTCACCTTTTTGCTTGATTTTATTCTCTTGCTTCTAATTTACGCTTCCCTTGCCAACCTTCGGTGTAAATGGAATGGAGAACATTAATTCATCGCTGTCTCTTAATCCTGTAACCTGATATCGTACAGAATTATATGTGTTATACATGCAAAATACACCCAATTGGGTCCCAAATCCTGCCCGTGCTCCGTTGTCGCCTTTGTATGTGCAGTGCGAAAGCATATTCCGCTAGAAGACGATCGTCAATGGTGCCTTCATAGACCCGTGAAGCGGTTGAACCTCAGCCTCCAGCCTTCATAAGTGTTCAATTTGGGCCGAACGTCGAGGAAGAAACTGAGCTTCCCGGGGTTGGCATTGGCATTGGCAGCCAGGCCTGATTGGGTTGCATTGCTTTCCGATGGCTTGCCCTGGTAGAAATCGATAACGTATTCAACCCTTTCGCCGCCACAACGCTCAACAATCCAGTCATGTCGATCAAATGGGTGCTGGTAGCCAAGCCATCCATTGATTCGCGCACGCGGACTCAGGTACTTTGGATCGACTCCAAGTCCCCGGAAAGAATATAATTTTGGTCCTCCGCATTTCTTACTCCCGGGGTCGGCCACGGGGCCATTTTTCTCCCATTCGAGGATCTGATCCCATGCCCGTTCATTGACGGCATTGTGAATGGGAATAATGGAGGCCACGGAAGTCGCGAGCTCCGAGGCCGAGGCAGTAGATCCAGGAGTGTTACCCTTGCGCATCAAGGCCTCGAAAAACTGTTTCTCCGACGGATAGATCCAATTTCCAGTGGCTTCATCGCGGCCAGTCTCGGATTCGGAATTGGATGGGCTACCATGCGACGCAGCATATGGGGACGAAGACGCCTTGTTGGCCTCGGGGCAGGCACTTGCTGAGCTGAAATCACCAGCTCGAGGGATGTTGCTCACTTCGCGGTCTGTTGATAGGGGTCGTTGTGCTTTAGGACGTGGCTGTCCCTGTTCGGCAGAGACATCGGATGTAGGATGAGGTGAGTTTTTATTTTGTTGCA